AAAGTGACGAGTATAATTATAGCTTTATTATTAAAAAGCTTCGTAAGGTCGAAGTATCGCATATCTCGGAGTTGGCTTAAAAAAGAAGCTTTGCTTAAGCTTCGACGTTTCTTTTATTATTAAAAGCGTCGAAGTTAATAAAAAAGAGCTTTTAATAATCTTTAAGAGCGTTGAAGTAAGGCTTATCGTCCGAGTCATCCGAATAAAAGCCGTATTCGAGTTTAGCGCCGTATTTTATTTCGTTAATTAAGTAATAGCGAAAAAGCTTTAGCGTATTCGGATTTTTACAAAACGATTTAAAAGTTTTAATCGCTAACTTAAAAGCGTTTCCGAAAGAAAAGAATTTATTAAATCGATTAGATCGATTTGCACTAGCGCTAAGGCTATTAAAAGTTTAGCGCTAAAAAGTAAAGAAAAAGACGGAAGCTAAGCTACTTTAACGGTTCTCGTAATAAATGATTTGCTTAACCGCTGCTTTTTAAGCCGAGCGGGATTCGTTACGAGCTTTATTATAAAAGCTCTTCGCGAATTAAGTATTATACTTAGCTTGTAAAGCGTCGTAAAGCTTTGCAAACGCGTATTAGCTAACAGCTAATTGTTAAACGGCGGTTTAAAAGTCTTTAAAAGTTGTAGTCTTAGCAAATTCTAAATAGAGCTAATCGCGTAGCGTTTTAATGATTTTAAAACGCAAAGCTTTACGTAATCGGTCTTCGTCTTTGATTTCGGCGGTAGCGGCAAGCTCCGAAAAAATAAGATAAATGTTTTAAAATTACTAATTAAGCTTTATATAAAGTTTTTCGAACTTAATTAACGCTTTAGCCTTCTTAACAAAGTCGTTTAAGAACTCGAAAGCGATTTAAACGAGTTCCGAAGCGGTTACGAAGTTACTACGATTTATAATTAAAAAAGCTAAGAACAAGTAAGCTATCCTTTCGGTTTAATTAAAGACGTAGTTTTTGCGTTAGCGTTTTATAAAAAAGTATTCTTCGAAAACTTTTAAGTTATCGAAGACGCGGGCTTGCTAGTAGCGTGCTCGATAGCTTACACCGTTTAAAAGCTTTTATTTAAAGTTAAAAATCCGCTCGATACAAGCGCGACCTTAAAAAGCTAAAAAAAAAGCTTTAAAAGTATTGAACTTAATTAAAGTGCGAAGGTTAGTTAGCTTATAAAGAAAAAGTAGTTTATCGTCGTCGGCGAAGAAGCGGCGAAGGTTAACGGTTCTATAAGTAAAGAAAGTAGTTTAAAAGACCGAGAGCTTATATAGCTCTTTGCTTTTAGAATTATCTTCGAAAGACACTTAAAAAAGCTTTAACGAGCGTTTTATAGTTAGCAAGACCGCTTAAAGCTAATCTAGTTCCTTTCGAGCTCGACAAGCCTCTTTTTTAGCTTTTTTAACGAAGGTTTTTTATTCGCTAGCGCTTTTATCGAGCTTTTCGTTACGGGTTTTTATATCTGCGAAGAGCTTCTTAAGCTTAACGGCCTTTCGTTAAAACTAAAAGAAAGCTTAGTGTTAAGCTAAAGCTTTTTCGAGATTAATAAAAGCCGAAGGATTATCTTTATCGTCTTGCTTATTAATAGCTTCTTCTTAAGTAAAAAGAATTATTAGTTAAGCCGTAAAAAAGAAAGAGAGAGCTATTAAAGCAGCTTTAAGAGGTATGCGAAAGATTTTGCTCGCGGAGCGAAAGTTGCTATATTATATAAGTGCTATCTTTTAAGTTATACTTAAAATAAGCTTTTTCGTAACCGTTAAAGTCGTTTAAGTATTTTGACGTCCAACTATTTAAGGAATTCTAAAGAAGAAGAATATTATTAAAACCGTTTTCGGCGGAGTAAAGTAGTTGTTGATAATATAACGATTTTAAGCGATTATTTAAAAGAACTCACGAAAGCGCGGAAGTTCATATAAAAGCTTAAGAGAATCTTAAAGTAATAACTTAAAATCAACAACTACCGAGTATAAAAGTCGAAAGTAGCTGAAGTCTATATATACGAAAGTAAAAGCGCTAAGGACTCGTGAACTATAATTTATAAGTCAAAAGCGGGGAATAAAAGAATACGAAGAATACGAAAGAAAAAAGGAAGGAAGTAGCTTGGCGCATGTAAGGTGCGTCCAGGAGACCTGGCGTGTCGTCATATATATTGCTCGTATACGGCGCATACCTACGCTTTTTTAAGACAGATTCTTTAGCACTGTTTATAACAAAAAGACGAAAAGCCTTGCGAATTGCAATTAAAGAGATTCGTCGATTACAAGCTAAAAGAAAAGTTAAAGACGCTTTAGCAATGCGAAATAGACTAAATACTTTAAAAACCCTTAACCTTTCCTTGCAATCAGACGTTAAAGTTTATAAAGAAGTAAAAGGTAAACTAAGCAAAAGCGAATGGATTGGACTGCATAAGCTAATTGTACGTAAAAACGAGACTTATAAAGTACTCGTAAACGACCGAATTAGCGAGTTCCGTTTAATAATTATTAAATCGTATTATAAAATACTTTTAAACACGCTAAACTTCGAAGAATCTTTGCTATCGAACCGGTTAATTAAAGCTAAACTACTATCGGTTTAGCTTATAAGACAACTTACTCTAGCTATTAAGATTAGATTACGCTCGCGTAAACCGAAAAGCAGTTTAGCAGTTCGCTATAGCTCTCGTCACTTCTTTGCAAGTATAAAAGAGTTTAAAGATTTTAACGAGCAATTTCTTAATCACGAAAATAATATTATTATAATATTCTTTATTCATAAAGAAAAAGCTGATATTGCGCTCTTTACGAAGCTTAGAAACGAAAGAGTTATTATTACGCTCGGCGAGCAATTCGTAAAATCACGCTTTTAAGAGCTAAAAGGCTTAATAAAGAAAGAGGTATTTAAGGTTATAAAATACAACCTTGCAGTCTACGGAACAGGCCGCATATTTAACTTTCGAATAGTCGATAAGGTCAAAAGCAAGAATACCTTCGAACCATACGAAAAATCACGCTTTATTATTTAAGCTTAAAGCGACGAAAGCAAGTATAATATTCTTATTTAATCTCCGATTATTTAGCGCAATAACTAGCGTTTGATAATTTCTTTAGCTTTATTCTTAAAATCCTTTAATTAAGCAATAGTATCTTTGCGAGATATTACTTAAGCTTACGTATCGAGTTAGCGTTATTTTAAGCGTATGATCTTAGCGTATTTGCTTAAAGACTTCTAATATCTATACCTTTCGAGCTATATCTTATTAATTCGTAGACCTTTATACGAGATTACGAAAGCAAGTACTTATTAGTAAGACACTTATTATAGACATCATAAAGATAAGCTATTTATAATCTCTTTTATATACGACTTTTGTTTATTGATTTTTATAACTAACAAATTCGTTATCATTAGAATGCAAACAAACGATACGCTAATAATAGCTAATAAAAAGTTTAATAACTTAAAAGAGCAAGAGCTTAAAAAGGCTGATTTTAACGCTAAACTAAAAGAAACGCTTATAATAGAAAACGAAGTAATATTCAATAAAAGAATACTAAAGAAGTTCGCTAATAGCTCGATTCTACTCAAGCAGAAAGACTAAAGAAAGAAGCTAGAGCTAATTACCGAAAATAAAGACAACTACTTAAAGCAGCGAATACGTGCAGCTTATATTGCAAGCTTATATTAGCTCGAAGCTATTTTCGACTTATTTACCGCCGCGCAGATTTAACAAAAAGACTTCACTTTAAACGATATTACTTTTTTAAATAAAAGAATTGCATAGATGATAAAAAACTAATAACGAAGTTTATTATACTTTAATATCGACTTACGTTTAGCGAAGCTATTCGTATTCGTAAACGAAAGCTTTGCTAATAACAAAGATTACAGCTTATAAATTAGTTTTCTAATCATCTTAATAATCGAAAAGAAGATTAATAGCTCTTTCTTTATCTAAAGAAACCTTATCGCTGCTAGTTCGATAAAATGCAAGCGAGTAATACGCTTCGTACTTGCTTCGGAAATCTATAGCATAATCTTCGATATAAATATTGCTATTTGCGTAGCTACCACTTTTAAAATAATTACTAACAAGCTGGAAATCCTTAAAGTTTTTATAATCGTTTGTACCGACTTATATTCCTTTTACGAATGCTTTATTAAGCTCGGAACTATTAAAGAGAAGCGCTTAATAATCGACATTATAGCTTTTAGACAATCATACGAGCGCCGAGAGCTTGCAAAAGTCAAATAGATTAAAAGAAAAGATAATTTAATCGACTTTATAACGAAAATCAACTTAAATAAGTCGTTAGTAACCTTTATTAATACGAACAAAGCTAACGTACGTATCGAAAGGTAAGTGGAAAGAGCATAAAAAAGTCAAGCCGAAAATAAAAGGAACGGTGATAGTATTTTTACCGATAACGTTAAGAATAAGAAAGCTATTTTTTACTTGTATTAAAATTGCAATTGCAATTGCAACTATTGCAATTGCAAAAAAGAAAATTGCGAGTATAAGAATAAGAAGATCGGAGTTAAGGACTCGATCGGGGATAAAGGTGGCCCGTGCACCCTTAGCATAGCAACCACCCATATGTAACTGCACTTCGCAGCTAAAATAGCTTCTTTTCTCTTTTAGACTTAACAACACCACGAATGCAACCACTTGCCATTCGTATCAAGTCTCACGTGTGCACCTTATTGTGTAACCAACAGGCAGTTAAGCTTTTTAATCGTCCTCGAGCTTAAGACCGTCTTATAGGTAGCCGTCATATAGCTATCTTCGTTTATATTTCTAAAACAAGCTTATTAATAAGCTCGTCTTAAAAAATTGAAATAGTTCGATAACCATTTCAAAAAAAAAAAATCGTAGATAAAAATCATTTCTCAAATGGAATCGTTTTAATAATAATTTGATAAATTCGATGCTAAGATATTTTTCGGTATCGCTATTACGGCTTATATATCAACGCTTTAAATTTTTATAATCGAAATCGATCGATTCAGCAAAAGTTTATCCGCGTCAACATGTCCATTTCGATTATGGTGAGGGTGGGGTGGTCAAAGGGTTGTGTAGTAGAGGGTAGACTAATTAATAATAAAAAAAGAGATCATTTTCTTAGTAATTCACGTTTTCAAGAACGATTTTCAGTTCGGGGACGGCTATAGGACGGTCGTAAAATAATCTTAAAACGCTCGGAAACGGTCTTTTCGTAAAAAGATCGACTTTTATAAACGACGATTTGATCGATCAAAACGATCATATTTTAATAATAATCTTTTAACGAAAAGACAAGCTCTTATAAAAGACGGTTTAATCGATTGAAAAAGTTCCATTATAGCTACGATTTAAACAATTTAAACCGTTCTTTTTCAAATTCTATCCAATCTTAAGTATCGGCCTAAAGTGATCCATTGACTATGCTAACCTCTTAGGATCGTCTTTCAAAGACACCGTTATCGGATTGTCAGCTGACGTTTTAAATAACCCCCTAATTGCCTTTAAGGTATGTAAGAAGTTGAATCGGATAGATAGTTGAGTGTCGTATAAATCCCTTTTCTCCTCTTTCTCAATATCTTTTTCTATATTACTTTATGCTTTCAGACTTCAAAGGAGGCTCTGATATATACACACCTGTGCTAACCGTATTGCGCCCTCCAACTCGTGCCTATATCTAACGTAACGGTAGACCAGCCGAACTAGTGAGCCCGCTCTTGTTCCTGGGTACCTAAGTACTGACGACGTCGATGGCGATAGTGGCCGGCCAGCTCCGGAAGTGGTTAAACTCATGTGATTTGACGGAGGCTAAAATCCAGCGCGATCTAAGGCGTATAAAAGTGTTGATCGCCTACCATATATCTCCTCTGATATATACAAGCGGTAAACTTATGAGAACTTCAAAATCATTACAACGATTTCGTCCATTACTTTTCCCCATGCATGGAAAGCCCCATGATGTGGCTGCTATAGAAGCCATAGAAGCCACAGAAGAGCAGCAGTATCCTCGAGCCATGATTGCCGTCCGAGCAGACGCGGGCGGCCCTTTTGACTCGTCTGGAGTAGAGAATATAATGAACCGATTCTCCCATTTTTCCGAGTCTGACGGTATTCCCAGATATGCATCTTTAAATGCCCCTACCAGAATCGACACAGTTTACAAGAACAGCACACTCTAGGCTGTCGACTTCTTTGTCCAGTTTTATATTCTCATGTTTGCACAACGCTACGGCACTGAACCTTTTCAAACATCAGGATCTCATACGACATTATATGGAACGACAGCTGAGATAAAAGCCAGGCTTCTTTCTATAGCGCTGCCGACTTCGATATGGAACGACAAGCAGAGAATTCCCACTGCGCTACTACGATCTCAGCTCCACTGTGAGCTGTTTCGTCATCCGGATTCCAAAGAACCAGGACTCGAGTGTTATTGGGAGGAAAGTCTGACGGAGCAGGAGGTATTTTGGGTGCATTACGAATGGTGGGAAGTCGAAGAGGTCAAGTGTGTGTTAATAATCTTATTCTCTCTGGAAAGCTGCACCTCAAAAAGTACGGCAGCAGCTAACTCAGACGATGGCATTACGGCGGAAAAATCTGTGTCCCACGAACGAGGACTGACACAGCTGCGCCACTTTATTAATAAGTCGATCGCTCGAGCTGCGGCTTTCGGATATATTTATCTGAATCGATTCTTTACCAAACAATTTCACGGATTCTACCAGATTGATACCGAAGATTAGGGTTGTCTCTCAGCAAGACGACCTTTATATAAAAGACATTATATTGCAGCTGGAATAGCACCGGAAGGTGCTTACATAATTATGTGCGATGGAAGAACAAACCAAGATCCATACCTTAAGGATGAGATGGAAGAATTCTGAGATGGCGACCTAGTCTCTATCCAGGAGTTGAGCTAGAGCACTTCAAGGACTTAAAGCGACTTTCAATCGAGTGTCGGAGGGTTGAAGGCGATGCTGTATAGATCTAAAGGTTTTTGCGACTTATAGGGTGGGTATTTTGGGACAGAGCGAAGATTTACGCCTGGTTGGAATTCAAGAAATTCGAGATGTTCCGCCTTGAGGCAGGCGACTTTGACGAGGATTGGGATGCGGCGCGAGGTCCTCACCAGCGGCTAACATACTCATGGGATAGGGACAGACACGGATAGTGTAGCGAAGAATACTGACTGCGATCGACAGCTTGATTCGGGGGTCTAGACTCCATTATGATTCTAGAGATCAACCATTGCTTCCTAGTGTCGAGCCTATTGTTTTATAGTCACGAATCCAACGAGTCTAGATCATTAATCAATACTATTAGATTCTCGTATAAACCACTCGCTTCATACTCACTTGTTCCGATGTAGCTGAAATTCCGAATACGTATTGAATTGTACTTTTGTAGGCTCGTCCCAGCTTCCCCTTCCAATAAAATAAGGATACTGGTCACCAACACTGCGCAGAAGTATGAATGTCGAGAAATATGACGGCATTTAAAGATTGCTACGAAGTGCAACAAATTAATTTTCCTTTCACATCAAGTATAAACCGCGTAGAGGCTAAAACAAGACCGCGCGGGTAGACTAGACATCTCCTCCTTTTAAGTAAGTAACTAGGTAGGTTTAGACTAATTATCGAACGAAACTATAAAGTGTCAATTGCAGATGTAGTTCAAATTTATCAAAAATCAAAGATGCCTACTGAGCCTCGAGTAGAGGTCTATAATTATCCGTCCTGATAACGCGCCTTGCTAACTTCCAGGATATAAAAAAAAGCAATCTTGAACAAATGAAATAGACGCAAAAGTGAATATCAGAAACAACTGTGACGCACTTTAAAGGTTTTGCGGCGTGCAACAAATTAATTTTTGTTCACTTTAGGTATAGATCGCGGGAGTAGACGAAAATTCTCCTCCTTGTAAGTAGGTAAGTAACAAGACTTAGACTAGGTAGTAGTAGAAGTAGTAGTGCGAGCCTATCGTTAGTGTCCCCCGGATAACCAATATTTTTTTCCTACCAATACACTCTAAGGCCTGAAGCTACCTGGATCCATCCATCTATTCCCTCTGACACCAAACCTGTAATCTAACATGCCTCGCTTAAATCCCAGAAAGTAAACAAGGCCCGTGCAAACAAAGCCCACTTGCGAAGCGACGCGCAGAAAAGCTTCTACAGACGCTAAGCGCACAATCGATCCCGGCGAAGAGGGACTTTCCGATCTCCAAGACATGCTATATCTTCTCTTCCCTAACGGGTAGTAACAGCCACGACTCCAAAATACATGAACACGATGCAAAGTACTTGTAGCCGGTATCAGGCTAGGTAGCTAGCAGCAGCAGCTTTTCAATATTTTTATCGGCTTAAGCTCGCTCAGCATTCATTCCTCAGCTAAGAGTAGAAGGCGTTCGCAAATTTCCAAAGACGGAATGATAAAAGGCATATATGATGATAGCAACTCGGTTGAATAGCATACCCCAGCGTATTCTCGTTGAACAGAAAGCCAATATTTATTCGGAGTCTATTTATCGACTTAAGTCTCGTTTGGTCCCACCATCCGCCGGACAATCTCCTAGATGAAACCACATACGAAGTAAGGCTGTCACATACGACCATAGACTGAGGAGAATTGGGCATCCCGTTCGCTCTGCCATACACAAGCCTCAGATCGGCAGATTAGTAGTTGGGTGGGTGACCACCAGCGAATACCTGCTGTTGTATGTTTTAACTCCCCCGTTTTTCATCTCCTTTTTTTCCTTTCAATAATCCCGACGGCTCTTTCGCGCGGTGGACTTGTAAGCTATCGAAGGCTGTATGAGCCACGTGCACCGCATGGCTCGAGTCCCAGGGGCAGAGTGCGAGAATAAAACCTCACGTTACGCCCTCCCGGGTGTAGGACGGACAACAGGAAGATCATGAATGTAGGCGAGAGAACCTTTGCATGTCAATTTACAAAATGGAAATCCTGCCATCTCTCCTCTCTATCAAGTGCTGTCGACACCGTCGCAAGATGTTGGAATTGGACATTCTGAGGTCAAGTTTAATGATAGGTGCAATATTGGTCCCAACGTCAGCATTTACATTACCGCACCACCCCTAACTAGGTATTGGAAGATTGGGTTCTGAGGGAATATAGGTGCGAAGGTCACCCTTTGATTCATCTAGACTGTTGGGTTGCTGGTAATTTAATCATTCTCCCGGGCCGACGCTTTGCTCTGGAGGGTAGCACTGCAGGAGCGAGCTTGGTTGAACTTTGCCAACAGTCCTCCCTTCTAAGTCTCCCACTCTTCGCCAAATTCGTCGATGCAAAGCTGTTGGAATCAGTCATCACAAGCCGTGACATCGCTGAATCAATACCCGCGGAATCAATACCAAGCTCCTCCATCCTCTTCTCAACCCAAGATCCCAGATCGCCGAAATATCCCTCCGGATCAACACCTCGCCACGCTCGCAACGCAAACCAAAGGTGGTGTACATCCTTGCCTACTTGGATTATGCGGTCGTAATCGGATGTTTCCGTGAAGAGAGCCTGTGCGGGAATAGGCAGTTATTTTTCTGCTCATGCACCGGGAAAGAAGAACGTGCTATGATATGTTGCCTAACCTTAAGAAGTGCAAGACGAAGGACGGAGTAAGGGTGGACGTAGCGCTTCTGATAAGGGGATTCAATCAGGGTCAGATATAAGGATACGGCCAAGAAATACTGAATAAATACAAATACGACATTCGCGGCAGGGACGACGGCGAACTCGAACTCCATCGGAAGAATCATACCATCAGAGGTCATCCAGATTGTCGGCGTGCCGACGACCTTGTTCCCGCAGGAGACGATGTCCCTGACGGCCTGACCATCCATCGAGTGCGCGGCGCCTTCGACTTTACAGGTACAGTTTCGTCGGCGCCGAGCCAGCCGATTTATACGAACAGACTAAATCGATATGTAGAAAATGGAATGACCAAAATAAAAGTATACTTACTGATACCGACAGTACCATGATCTGCAATGCATTGGCAGCGCTATACGGAGGGTAGAGCTTGGCAAATTTAGCGAGGGCTCAAAGCCCGCCAAGAAAGGGGATGGGATAGATATACCAAACCATATACCAACGTCAAAGGCACCCCCGCGCCCGAGACTGGTACTCGAACGAACGGCCAGCATATCCTGTCCTCATGCGTTCGTTGATCTTTGGAAACCGGGGGAAAAAATATTGCAACGCACGCTCTGATGAGCCTTGGGTAGGCGTTAATTTTAGTAAATTTTGACTTTATAATTGGGAAGATTTTCGCCATGGGGACGGACAGATTTGCTGGCCGCACGAGTTAACTCACGCCCGTACTCCATCTTGCTAATCGGTAGCAACGGTGGATCCCACGGCACACACAGCCTTGAATTCCCAGCTGAGGCCTCGAAGTACGAAAGAACTCGACTCCAAGCTGGAATTAATCTTGCTGCACCGCAAGCTGCCATAGCTAGGTGTGTACAAGTTGGTACCGCATTGTGTATTAATATGTGGCGATGGAGGCGAAGGTATCGACTAGATGGATAGTTTTCTGAGTTTATTTCATATTCGTGTCACGAAGATCCTCTCAGCTTCTGTAATTGACTGAGAAATCCATACCCATTCTGAGGTTTGCTCTCTCCAGAGCTCGCCTCCTCTTCCAACGTCTCGACCCTCTGCCGCAACCGCGTATCTTGCTCTGCTTCCCTTAGTAGATCTCGATGTCTATCTTCGACCATCTTGGCCAGATTGTCCACAAACTTGGTCCTCGCCCTCTCTTCCGCGGTTCCTTTCCATACCACAGCCAGCTCCTTAAGCTCTTCCACCCTCTTGGCAGCGGCTTCGATGCCATCCACAGGATCAGCTCCTATCAACAGATCTGCTATCTCGTCTCGTAGCTTCTTTGATACCTGCTGTCCTTTCTCCTCGGTACTATGCATCTCCGAGCCAGGCTCTGGTGCGGAAACCGAGAGGAAGGAAGAGGTGACCGAGACTTCTGAGGGCGGAAACGTCCAGGCCATAGCGTCTCCAAACGTCTTTATCACAGTCTCTAGGCGTGACCGTACCAATGTCAAGGTCCGCAGCTTCTGGATGTATGGGGGATCGACGGTAGCTGGTTCTTCTTCTCGTACTGGCGTCTTGGGCACCGTCGTTTTCCTTACAAGTTCCTGGTCCAAGCCAGTGGGCACGAACTTGACCACATCCTCCTGCAAGCCCTCCGTCAAGGCCTCGGACAAGCTCAATGTCTCTCCCCGTAACACCTCAACCTCGTATGCCAGGCGACTGCCACTCCGTAGGATCTCGTCGGTGAGTTGGGTCATAGTTGTCGTCAGCCTGGTGGTATGCGCGCTGAGATGCGAGAGCAGGGTCTGTGTTTGGGTGGAGAGTTCAGCGAGCGGCACGCTGCCTCCTCTTGCGGATTGTGAGGCACTGGCGGCGCTTTGAAGAGCAGGGAGAGTGGCGTTGAGGTAGCCTGCAGGGTCGAAGGAAGGGTCCAGGAAGGGCTGCAAGGCTGCGTCGGAGACGTGAGCGGATTTGGGCTCAAAGGTGATGAGTGGTGGTGGTGGTTGTGGTTGTGGTTGTGGCCTGGAAGTAGCGCTGCTGTTCTGAAGACGCCTCGAGGAGGATTTCGAGTCCCAGGCCATGGTGATGGGTTGTGGTGATGGGTTGTGAGGGAGGTACCGGTATTGAGGATGCAGAGAAGAGAGAAGAGAGGGAGGAGTGTGTACATTGGTCACTAATTGAGCCATGCACGACGCAGAAGGTACTCCGTACAAGCTTTGGATTGGCAGGGGTAGCTCCGTACTGTAGCTGCTGACTGACGGACATCACGGGTACAATGTGTGTATATAAATATATATGAGAATATATATATATATATATATATACATATATGTATGTATATTCATCTCTATTCTTCACTAGTCTTTCTGTAATCTATAGTAATCTCCCCTCCCTTCTCTTACAACTCTTACAACGATCCGTCCCATCCCATCCCAGACTTCTTCTTTATCCAGGTCCGTTATCAGCAACCCCCTGCACCTGCCCCTCCCTCTCTGATTGGCTCCTTGTTCGGCAAGCTAGTACTAGCGATGCCGCTTGTTGTACAAGGCTACCATTTCAACCTTGAACTCTACTTCCTCCTCCTTCCTCCCTCCTCTCTCAACACCACGAAACACTTTTTTTTTCTCCCCTCTCTCTTCTCTTCCCTTCTCTTCTCCTTTCCTCTCCATTCTTCACTACAACACACTTTACTTTTCTTCACTTCTTTCTGTAATCTTAGGAACTAAGAAAACGGATGAGGGACTCTTAATTCCGGACAAAGTCTCTTTCGCCGATTGTATCGCTCTTCTTCCATGCATAGCGCTGCAGCTCCTTACTCACTCAGCCTTGTCTGGTCCAGCTTTCTCCTTCACTTTCCAAGCTTGATTCCTACCTCACCACAGCCCACACACATATTCCATACCAACCCATCGCTCAGTCGCCCATTGCAAAATTTCTACTTAATCATCTCAACGACGACGACGACGACGACGACGACTACAACGACGACGACTACCGACCGCATAATTAGAACCCCGGAATCACACCCACCTCAGATCCAAGGCAGCAGCAGCTGCTGCTGCTGCCAGTGTTGAAAATATGCCTCGAAAGCAATTCGTCGCCGACATCCAGGTCACCGCCAGCCTGAATATTCCCAGCATCGGCAAGATCGAGAGAGGCCCCGACGATGATGTTCTCGTGTCTTTCATTCCTGCCTCTGGTCCTCCCATCGAGATCACTTTCATGGCTCAACCAGGTTTGTTTTTTGCTACTTCGTCTGGGTGTTCAAAAAAAAGCATGATGTGTCTTTTTTTACCACGGCCATACCCCTCCCCTACATAATAACTTCTCGTGCCTCAAAACATCGCTGACCTGACAGATGTTGCTTCGTATCCCTCTGAGAGCATGTTCATAGCCTATACAGACTCCCAAGGCGTCTCACCAGCTGCGGCCGCTCTGATTGAAGACATTTACAATATCTCGCTCGGCGTGCGTCTTCCAGATCTCATGACCACCGTGTCACAAAAGCTCCAGAGAGTCTTCGCAAGTGGTTCGCGCGAGGATCCTGTAACCATTGATGACGGTGGCGGAGACACGGAAATGCTCGATGCTCTTGGCGTAGACGATGATGAGCAAGACTCGGATGAGGAGGGGCCAGAGGAATACTATTCCGGCAATGATGATGATGATTTTGGTATAGAGTCTGTTCGATACGGCTTGAACTCGCATACGAATTCTGCTCTACGTCTGAACCCAGTAACAGCCGCCAAGATAAAGACCCGCATTCGAAATGACCTCCGGTCTGCGAAGATGGCAGGATTCAAAGTTGGAGTCATCACTGGAATGGAGGCTGAATCCGTGAGCAGCATCCTCAGTCTGTCTATTCGGATCGCCAAGCTCGGAATTTCAGAAGAGGCCTTGCAGGCTTGGGATCTCGAACCAAGACAATACCTGATGCTGTTGATTCGTTACTCAGACGGTTACAAGTCCTTCGACGATATCACCGCCAACTCTGCCAAACTCCCCGACGTCTCGTTCCGGGTTGGTGTGGGCAACAAGTACAAGTGCACTCTCCTCGAGGCTCTCGCGGCCTTCAGCGATGCCACGAAGGACATGAGCAAGCCTCCCCGAGGAGAGGCCCATGGTGCTACCGGCGAAGTCAAGAAGAACGTCGCTGGATTCTCGAATATATTCATCAGTAGCTCGCTGAACCAGTTCACCAATACCCAGTTCATTACCCTCTTGAAGATTCGCGCCTCTATTGCCGTGGGATGGGAAGGTGCTAAGCGTTATTTCAATGATAAGCAAGGTCACCTGGAGGGTGGGAACGAAGATCTCCCTGCAGTGTACTTCGAAGAGTCGGACGGAATGAAAGACAACATGCTACCGAACCGAATTGCTATAGACCACCTTACCGATCTTCAAGCCAAAGACATCTCATTTCCATTCATCGCGATGCAATTTACCTTGCGGTACTTAACTCGCTGTACGCAGTTCTGCCTTGTTTGTCACGACAAGATCGAGAATGTATTCGAAGCACTGAAGCCTTACGTCTGTGAGAATCCTCTCTGTCTCTACCAGTACATGTCGTTGGGATTCGGACCGAGCGTTGAGCACGAGATCATGACCCAGCCATATGTCGTAGACTTGCTTGTCAGCTTTTGCCACTCAAGCGCGCTTGTAAGTCGTCGTGACCTGATGAATTTTCCATTCCGCTGCAGTTGCACAGCTAATGACCCCCCTCCCTCCAGGCCCTTCGACTCCGAGACTACCCCACGGGTATGAGTCTCTCGGTACCTCCAACAACAATCACGGCTCCTGTGACCACTGCTGCTCTCGTTGGCTTGGGCTCACACCAGAAATTTGAGGACACTAACAGATCTCGAAATGCTTTCAAAGATCCTGCAACGGTCTCAATGGAAGTCCGATTTGATCACAGTCGTCACGAGGTTATTTGCGATGACCTTGAAACTTCTCCCGTTCACACCGGAGCGTGGGTCATCATCACAGCAGCCAGTAAGCGAATTCTTTTAAATAAAAAATCTGTCGACATGATCTCCAATTCCAAGAAACCTCCCCCACCTACAAGCAGCTAAACTCGTTTCAAAACAATGTTTATCTGAGTAACTTACTGACTACAATTAGATGGCTTTGCCGCAGAGCATTATCGCGTCGAAGACGTCTCTTTCTTTCCCGTCATCAGATTATCCTCGACTCCGATCAGCCGTCGCGGACCAGATCTTAGTGCACAATCTGCAGATAAAATAGTTCCACTTCCAGCTACTGCAGCGATGACTCCTCCTCCAAGTAGTCTCTCACCGGCCATCATGACCATCTATCGCCACAATTTTGACGATTTGAACGACGCATCGAAGTCCTATACAATTGTCATGCTGATTGAGACGCTGCCATCCATCAGAGACATGCGAGCATACTTGGTCCAGCAAAGTCACAACACTGAGCCAAGTCTAAAGGCTTGGAAGGAGCGTATCTCCCCTGCAGCTCTCGGTTTGCTTCGCTGGATTATCGCTTCGAATCGTTCTTGTATCGTGCAGGTGGACAGATGCCCTGGTCAGAGCGATATTGAGCTGGCCATATCCAAGACGAGACTTGATCAGAGGGTATCGGATATCGAACCAAACTGGGTCCAATTCCGATTTGCGCAAGGCTCACCCGACAAGGAGCAGAGATTCTTAAATGCCCTCCGTGCCCAGAAACCCAATCTCAATGCCAAGTATCCAACCATTTTCGCATGGCACGGTAGTCCGCTGGCCAACTGGCACAGCATCATTCGGACTGGTTTGGACTTCAAGGAAACCCTTCACGGTAGAGCATTTGGCCATGGTGTGTATCACGCAATGGATCAGGCGACTTCCATTGGCTACGCGCAAGTCACCCCAGGTGTAAGTTCTCTCGTCTCTGGCTTTGTAAGTCCGTGCTAATCGCGACGTAGAGCGTATGGGAAGGTTCAGAGCTCAAGATCCGATCAGCCATGAGTTTGAATGAGATCGTGAACTGCCCCAAGCAATTTACAAGCAGCAGCCCATATCTGGTCGTTCAACATGTCGATTGGATTCAATGCAGATATCTGTTTGTTCAAACGACGGGTGATAGACTCGTTGGTCCCCCAATTGGACTCAACAGGTAAGTCTGCTCTTCTTACGATTCCCATGTGGGAATGCCGGCTCTCAGCACGCTGATACTTCCAACTTTCTCTTCCAGTGAGTGGAACACAAGACGCGAAGTTGAGCAAGATCCCACTCGGGTTACCAAATCAACGCTGGGCAAGCCAGTTGGTATTCCAATCTGCGCTGCTTCAATCTCGCGGGCTTTCCACGTCGACGCAGCCGATACTCCAGCCAAGAAGAAACGCAAGCACAACTTTATCAAAATCAAGAAGAATGAGAGCTTGATTGAGAGTGATGGAGAGAACGCCTCAGACCTTGATCTTATGCGCTCTGACGACGAATTATTCGCCATCAAGGACAGGGGCAAGGGACTCGTGGTATTGTGCGTAACCTGCAGGCTTCAAATCACCTCTAGCTAATCATTCCCAGGAACTCAAAGCAGCCAGCTAATCCATTGACCGATTTTATCGCCGATTCACTCGACCAACACACCCTTCCGATGTTGCAGCCACCAATGTACGCTACTCCGATGGCCTCAAATGCTCTGAATAGAAACTTGCAGGAACTATTGGCAATCCAAAAGAAGACACCATTGCACGAACTTGGCTGGTACATCAACCCAGACCTGATCAGCAACATCTACCAATGGATCGTAGAGCTGCATTCGTTCGATGCTTCGCTTCCGCTTGCGAAAGACATGAAGCTAGCCGGCGTCACCAGCATCGTCCTCGAGATCCGGTTCGGCAAGGATTACCCTTTCAGCCCACCGTTTGTCAGAGTCATCCGACCCCGCTTCCTCCCATTCGCAGCTGGAGGTGGTGGCCATGTCACGGCTGGTGGCGCCATGTGCATGGAGCTCCTGACCAACACGGGATGGACTGCGGTCTCGACGATTGAGAGCGTTCTCCTGCAGGTCCGCGTCGAGATGATGAGCCAGGACCGACCGGCTCGTCTTGAGACCACGGGCAAGCAGATGCAGCGTGACTACGGCACTGCGGAGGCTATCGATGCGTACGAGCGATCCTGCAAGACGCATGGCTGGGCCATCCCACCTGGATTCCGCGACTTTGCCAACCCTTCGGTTTAGATGGGATGCGATTTTATGATGGGCGTTTGGTGGTGTCTGCATTTCCGGTGACCGGGCAGGTTGTTCCTCTCACTATTGAGGATCGCCAAAATAGGTCAAGGAACATGGCGTTTGTTGCCCGGACGGGGGAAGGGAGGGTTTCATTTTCACGAGCGGGCGTGTGAGCATTTCTTGCATTGAAGGGCGTTATTTTGCAACGACATGGCGAAGTTTTGGGCGCAAGATGATGATACCATAGCCTGCGAGATGAGAGACAGGCGCAGCGATAGATAGAAGCTATGGATAATGAAGCAGTCTTTCGCTTCTCACTGCTAACGTTACGTATTGTGACTCGCTGTCAGGTCGGTCTGCGATCTTACTTTTTTTTTTTTTTTTTGCCCCTTTTAATTACTATTGATACTATTGATATTGGCGAGGATAGCAATTGTGTGGCTTCGGATAATCGTTATGCCTAGTCCGACCGGATAAACAGCCCCCGTAGTTGGTTCCGTCATGTGTGCTACATAAGACGAACCGAGATCATCGCTCCACCACCACAACACGAAGAAATGTTATTGTCAACCGACCATTCAATGTCGCCGACTCTTTAAGAACACTACAATACGAAGGATATTTCCGCCCCTCGCATATCAACAACTCTTCTGCAGCTTCTACAACTTCTGCCTGCCGACAAGCCTCATCACTGATCAATCGTCGAACAGCCCCTCTCTACCAGTTCCAGCTTCACTTCACCCAACTCAACAAGCTTAGACACCTAACTACTCGATTCCCCTCCCAGAGAGAACTCTGCCAAACTCCTTACCTCGAACATATCTGGGATAGGTCGACCAACTTTAACCTCAAACTCAACCTCAAACCCAACCTCAGCCTCAACCATGAGCGCTTCACCACATCCCTCTCCCGTCATGGGCTCTCATCGCATCGAGCGCCAGCACTCCAACTCGCCCCCTCTCCAGCCGCAACAATTGTCTAAGAGAGATAAGAAGCGCACCGTTCTCGCCGACCGCCTCGCAGAAATCACCATGTCCTTCTCTGCGAATCGAGACCAGCACTACCGTACCCAACTCCAAGCTATCCAGATCGACTCGAACCTCATTGCAGAGGCCGACGTTCATTCCAAGCTGCCCCTTCCAGACGAAGCCGATCAGATCGATGAGCTGGTCAAGAATAATATCCAAAGGACTATGATGAAGGCTCTGGGTCCAGATCCTCCCCAGCGGGCTGGGAGAATTTATGCCGAGTTTGCGAAGGAGGTCAACGATGCGCAAGAGGAGCGAGATGCGGCTATGGTCACTCTCAAGGTGGGTGTGCATGTTTCCCGTACTTCAAGAAAACTTGCTAACCAACTGATTGAAGAGGGACTACGATGTCAAGATGAATGAGATCAACTCCTTCCATGCCTACAAGAAGCGAGTCGCCATAACCGAATACAAGTCCCTTTCCGACACCCTTCGGGACCGATTGATCAACAGCGTCATGAGCAAGAAGGCTCGTCTTTCGAAGGATAAGGATGCTATTGAGATTGGAGAGGGTAATACACATGCGCTCCTATTACATCCAAGCCAATTTGGCATTGCGAACCCCGCAAGCCCCAGTGCGCCCCATGGCAAGCGAACTACCAGACACCGCCGCGATGCTGAAGAACTCCCCAACTTCACAGAGAGTCATAAGCGCAAGAGAAAGGCTCCTGACAGTGACGAGTCGCCTGCCCCTGGACGTCACCGTAGTGATAATGATGCGAGCACCCCGCACTGGCTTGCCGAGAAGCAACGATTGATGGCGCACCAAGTCGGCTCCTCCCTCTACAGCGTCGACAAGCTCTTCAACGAGAAGGAGCTTTGCTTGACGTACAACGCGTCCGCTCTCGCAGCCTACGCATACATGCTCCGACACGCGCCCTTCTCCGAAGACGCAGACAGCCAAACCAACGGCAAACCCGACCGAAGCTCTGACCACGAGAAAGCTCCCACAGCAGGCGATGCCGAGGATGAAGATGAGGGCTCCCCTCCAGGCGGCGCCATGATGGAGCGCCAGTTCTCTCACGCTACGCGGAGCACTCGCGGCAACGTCGTCTCTTCGGGGTACGGGATTGACATGTTTAACGAAATCAACTACCCATCCAACCTCCTCGCGCTTACTCGTCAAATCCCACGCCTCCCACAAATGATTGTCAGCGGCAACACGCGCCAATTCGCCACCAATCCCAGTAAAGACGCCGTCGTGCCCTTGCAAGGTCTCAGTCCCGAAGAGGCGAATGCGGAAATTGAGTTAATGCGCCGTGCACGCACTTACAATGACGAGCGAGGCTTTGGCTCGAACCTCGAGCTGGAGCCCGGTGCCAAGACTTTGCTGGAAGAGGCAGCATGGCCGAAGAAGTATAATCATTGGGTCAAGAGTGACAACAGGGAGAAGATGGGGAGTGGGCAGCTGCCGATGAGCAATATGCGCGGCGACCTCGGAGGCGAGCCGATGGTGAATCAGATTTCGCAGGGGGCGTCGAGCTTGGGTGGTACGCCGATGAGTCGGCAGGCTACGGATGACAGTACTACGAAGATGGGGAAGCGGGCTGCGAGGAGATGATGAGTGCCTGGTTGTTTTTCTTGTGGCCTCCCTTTCTCACAGGAGTATGGAAGATTGCACATCTGGGTGTACATGGTGGACACGGAATGGTGGATCGGGATTGGAACGGATGACGGCAACCATGACCCGGCGGCGGCGTTATGGCAATGAGAGGAGAAGCGGATTCGGGAAATCGGGGATATACCACGGCTGGCGTCTTTCTGTCCAAATTTCCCTCGCGGACGCTCTATAATCGAAATTAATATTGAAACTTTGTCTTGCTTGCTTGCTATTTTGGTACCGGCTTCCTCTGCTTGGCCTCTGCTTGGAGTCAAATGATAGTTGTATATTCATTTCCCTTTTCCTCCCGCTGTCATATCCTTCCCTTCCCCATTGTGCTACTGCGTAGGTAGACAGGCAGGCGGGCAGGCAGACAGACAGTATATATATAGTCTGCAACCCCCCCCCCCCCTAAATCTCTTCCCCTTCCCCTTCCCCTTTCAACTCTTTCCATGGACAAGTTGACAGCTGTTCAAGGAAATGGATTTGCTCGCTCGGTATTTGTTTCCAATCCAAGAGGGGGGGTTTTGGGATGAGATGAGAGTTTGGCTCGGGTGGGTTAAGTTGGCTTGGATTGGGTTGGGTTGAGTTGAGAGCGGAAGAAGTGAAGGGGGGGGGGGGGGGGGGGGGGGGGGTAGAGGGGGTATTTGATATTAGGGATTTGGGTTGATAATGAGTGGATAAGTATGGATGGATGGATGGGTAGGTAGAGTAGATGTGCTGGATAGGTGTGCTGGGTGTATTGTTGTGCTTTAATGTGTTTTATTGTGGGTGCTGCTGTTTGCTGTGCTTGCTGTGTTTGCTTTCGGTGGTGCCGAGGTTGGGTAGGGGCTGAATGGCGATTGGACTTTTCCTTCCCCAACCCCCGCCCACCTCCCCCTTTTTTTTTTCCTTTTTTCCCTCATTGGTAAAGCGAAGGCAAGTGATGGGGATGTGAAAGGAAAGGGCAAAGAGGAAAAGGATAGGTTCGATGAGTAAGTAAGGGTTGGAAGATGGAGTTCGGGAAGTTTGGAATCTGGCACCTTGTTCTCTTTTCGTTAATATCATATAGGTATCCACAGGTGTAAAGACTTAGTACGAATATACCTTTTTAAACCCCTATCATCAAGTCTAAGAAAGGAAGCTATTCAAAGTGTGTGTGCGTGGAAAGGAGTATATCTTAATGCTGAGACGGGCAGGCGTTAGTGGCTATTGTACGGTCTATACCCAATCGCCTAATGTTTATTTCAATGTCCTTATTAATATACTTATTTGGTTACTTTTACTTCCTCTGTTATAATAGTAGCAGCAATCGTAAAGCTCAGCATACGCTTGGCAACTCTCGTAATTATATAGTAATAAACCTTCGTTCTTAAACGTAGTTTAAAATCTAAAAGAATCTAAAAGTTATTCGCGTATTCTCTACTCTATGTCTACTTAAAAACCATCGTCCCTTCATGTTTCCATTATTTTTTTTCGTTCTATTTAAATTAACATCGTCTCTTTATTTTTCCTCTGCTTCTCTCTATTCCATTCTACTTTTAGTCTCTGTCTCTACAGCGAACAGCTGCGCTAGGTTAGGTCTCCAGCCTCCTATAGTTTTGTTGCGTTATTCCTCTTTTAGTTGTTCTATTATCAGTATATATATTATGCTCCAAGTGTGCTTTTTAGCTCTGAGAGCCGAATCGGGAAGGTACGCGGAGCTTGAGGTTGGATGAGGAAGCCGAATGAGTGAAGTGCTGAAAGGCCGCTGCACTAATCATCTTGTCTGTTTCGGAGGTGGCAATGTTGAAGTAGCCACTAGAAGAACCGAGACGACTCAGTGAAGTGGGTGTAGTAACCAGCCTAGGTGCTCGAAACGCCTACGAGCAGGTATTTCCCTGTTCCTTACACCGTTTGTTAGATTCCGATGAAATCCACTATTACTGCATCCTTGAGATTACGATAGCTTTTTAAAGAAAAGGGTTTGTGGTAAATTCGCTCGAGCCGCTTGTCTTTATTCGTAAAGCACGAAGAGGTCTTGGCGTTCTGGAACACTCGGGAGGGAAAACATACGGCAAAGAAAACCTCTGCAGTATATGACCTTGCCGACAGAACATCCAGTCTTAATACTTGATTGGATGCGTGGCTCGTTGCGTAAGGATTGAAATCGATCTCGCGAAAGATGTTGAAAGGTTACGGACGAATGGCTGGGTTGCTCGTATCGAATGAGTAGTCTTCGCGAGCTTTTTGCTCGGTTCAGAAGAGTCAACGCGATACATTGGAACGGAATAATACTCCAGGTGTGCCCTGCAAATTTCTTTGCTGTATTGCTTGTGGATGGTTGTGCGCAAGCCTCGAGCGTAAACCAAAAAGTAACAATCTTGGCAGGATTACTTCCTTTTCATTTTGATTCCGAAAACAGAATAGACGTTATGCCAAGTACGAGATGCAATTTAGTCCAACCTCGGATTTCTCTCCGCCGCCATAACACCTCCCATCCCATTTAACTTATGTAAGGGCATAGAACGAGCCAGGAGCGAAACAAGTGGCCGGTAGATCATCTTCACATTCGCTCCCATCCTGCAACAATATCAGCACCCAGCACAAACTCTGCTTCCATCGCAAGAATTATAAATCGTACCTCTTGGCCCCTTTAAACCGAACGGAACCGATCCTTCCCTGGCTATCGCTGTCATCCACGCCAAGCTCGAACATGACAATCTCGTTCTCCACTCTCGCCAGAATATCAAGCGTCGTGATGCGCAGACCGAGCAGGATTTGCAAGTGCTCGCCGTTCGCTCCACGGACAGCCGCGAGATCGAGCAGGCGAAGGGCAGCAGACAGGTGCTCGTGGGCTTTTGACAAGGGGGTGATGGTGGCGAGGAGCTGGAGGGTTTCGATACGGGTATCGAGGTGGAGGGAGGAGGATTCGAGGATCTCGGTGCAGTGGTGGATACAGAGGTCGAGGTCGCGCTCGAGGTAGGCTTCTTGGGCCTGCTCTCTGTCAGAAATATCCCGAGCTATAGAAGGTATCGATCGAAAGGCTGAGCGGAGTGAAGTGCTCCATGAGGACGTGGAGATAGACTTACCCGCTTGAATTGAGATAAGTAAAGCTCCGATTTCATCTTCGCAATGAACGCTTCTGACGAAGACGAAGTGAGAACGCGTCTGACGTGATCATTGTTGGGCTCTGCGACGCTTGGGAGCGGATTCTTCAGGATGCCCTTAGGACGGATAGTCTCAATCGGGGAGTTGGTTCGGCCATGCTGGTCTGTGGGACCCTTGGAGCGAAATGCGTTCATGAGTGAGGTTTTCTTGCGGGAGCCAGTACCGTGTGTCTTATGGGAGGCCTCGGATTTATGTGGTACGGGCATCTTTGACGGCATCTTGAAGGTGTTTCGGAAGGGTGATGTTACAAGAAGGTTGAGGAAGAGCTGAGTGATTTATTTTTTCAGGACGTTGTTGCTGCTATTCTCTCAGATTCCAGGGCTTGAAATTCACTTTTGAGAAGTCTGAGGTGAGTAAAGATATTTCGTTTCAAGAGGAGAGTCTTGACTCTTATGCAAAGGTGAGTGGGTGAATTTTCTCCTTGCAAAGGAGAGCGAGTGAAGATTTAACTTCACTATCACAATCTGTTGATAGGTCCAGAAAATAATTTCACTGACATTGTTTCTACGGATCATAATGTAATGTGGTAAAAAACTTCTAATGGGTAGTCGCAATGAGGAAATCTATTATTGACTTTCTTCTCCCCCTTATCCCTGATCTCGCTTAATTCCTGGCCTGCCTTCCTCTTCCAGCTTAGACTTAGAGACGATTTACTAAGGGCTTGCATTGAAGTGCTATCAAATATGGAATCTGAATAGGTTTTTTTTCCATGATATGGATTTTTGACAGATCGTGAGCGCATCTTCCATAGAGAAATTGAAGCTCGGAGTCGCTCGGGCCTTGGTTGCACGAGAAGGTTATTTTTACCTTTTTTTTTGGAAATATTTTCACGTTGAAAATAGCCAGGTTGTGTTAGGAATCGATATTCAAAAGATTTCTCCTGTTTTGAGCTATTCACACAGTATATGATGCTTTCAACGTGAACTTCTTGCTTATGTATACCGGTCTAGCCTTTGAATACATATTTTCTGATTCAATACCACATTTTCCGCATCTCCGAACTGGCTACTGAGACACTAAGATTCAGAATACTCAAGTATGCAAAAAATATTTACCTACAATTGATTCAAGCATGTACAAGCCTGAAGTGAACAAATGTGAAGCTATGGATGGTTCGGAGTGATGAGTGAGGGCTCGTGGTTCGTGGGCAAGTTTGAATTCGCCAGAAGTATACATACAGCATGAGTTTAAATTGAGAGATGCGGCTATGATGACGACAATCAGGAGGCTTGATATTAAATGCACAGTTCCACACCTACGATAATAGCTAGAATCCTGTCTCCCCAATGCCTCATCCAGTTTGTTACACCAGGACATTTTTCTTGCTCTTTTCTAACTTTCCTTTTCTGCATTTCAGGATCGACCGGATGTTTCTTTCAAAATTTAATATCACTGTCAGTTACTGCTATCCCTCTCAAATGGGGTGTTTACGAAGTTAAATGTAAGACTTCCAAAAAATCCGCGCTAGTCCTCGCTTCGAAAGGCCTCAGCCTTGCTTCATCACTTTGCTTACTCCAAACATCACAACTCAAACCACCACAACAAATATGTCCGACAGACCTCGTTCTCGGTCGCCCAGCACAGGCTCCTCGAGAAGACGAAGCCGATCCCCCCTTCGACGTTCTGAATCAGAAAGGGACCGCACCCGCGATCGTCGCGACAAACCACGAGGCGGCGGCGGAGGCTTCAAGTGGAAAGACAAGCGTAGCACCACCGACGAGCGTGAAGGCGGAGGCAAGAGATTAGAGCGTGGATACCGCAATCGCTCGCGCTCACCGCGCCGAGACAGGGAGAAGCCCGCCGAGCGGGAAAGCAAGGGCAATTCGGTGGAAGACAAGTTCGGCGTCGCGGACAAGTTTGGGCCCTCGAAGGCGAAGAATACGGCGGAGAGTACAGACAAGCCACCCGAGCGCGCGCCCGCTGCTACGGCGTCGGTACCGCAGGCTGCGAGCCATGGGGAGCCGATGATTATCGTGCATGTTAACGACCGATTGGGGACTAAGGCGGCGATTCCGTGTTTGGCGTCGGATCCGATCAAGCTGTTCAAGGCGCAGGTTGCGGCGAGGATTGGGAGACAACCACATGAGATCCTGCTGAAGAGACAAGGAGAGAGGCCGTTCAAGGACCAGTTGACGCTGGAGGATTATGGAGTCAGCAATGGGGTGCAGATTGATTTAGAGATTGATACTGGGGAATAATAATAGGGCACGAATGGATGGGCCCGGCGTTGGGAAAGGGTCAGAGTTTTTCAACTGGGCTTTTCTACTTGGAGGATTGATATCACTAAAAGCCTGGGATTTGCATGAATGATATACTCATGCTCTATTAGGAGTACAACCTTACTTGGGAGGTGCTTCACATACCTGCAAAACCGAAGAGCCTCGGAACCCGACGGGGGGTTTTTTCTTTCTTATCGATAAGTGAGAACGACAGCCTTCTCCTCGAGCTTCAACCTCCTTCACTCACTTCTCCTACAAAGAAGCCAACACCCCAATGCCTCAATCCACCCTCCAGCAGCAATGCTAACAACGAGCCCCCATCTGCGGATACGCCGCCCCTCTCCAACAACAGTCGAATACACCGTCTCAACCTCCCCAACCCTCACGCTCCCCCTCCGCCTTCTCATCCTCCTCACATCCATCCTGCGCCTCGTCGCCGCCCTCGCCATCCTCCTCCTCCTCTACTCCAAATACCTACTCTCCTCCTACGCGCCGCCTCCGGCCCCAGCACCGTCTACCCGCACGCCGCCATCAGTCCTGTCCGAGGCATACATCTACCACGTCCTGGGCGCCACGACGCGCACCCGCATCGGGACGCTGATCTCCCTGCTCGCGGCGCGGATCCCCCTCATCCTGCTCCTCCCGAGCTCCGCCGCGCTGCTCTACCTCCTCTCCCTGCGCCTGCACACCACCGAGTCCCTGCTCGTGCTCCGCGGCCTGGGCATCCAGACGTCGTCGTCCTCGGCCACCTACCTGAGCAGCAGCGCGACGCGCTTCATCCCGACGGTCAAGATCCAGGATGTCCTCGTCAACGAGGCCTTTCGCGGCTTCGAGGTGAGGTACTACCTGGTCGTTGTGGTGGAGGGGGAAGAGAGCGTTGTGGTAGTGTTTCCGAGGTTGTTGCCTAGGAGGGACGTCGTGGAGAAGGTTTGGAGGGGATGTAGGGCTTGCTTGTTTGAGGGAGCGAAGGAGAAGGAGAGGCTGCCTGCTGTTGGTGATGATGGTGGTGGGGGAGCTGGTGGTGGTCGTGGTGGTGGTCGTGGTGGTAAGGGGGACTTGAAGAAGAGGGAGACAGGTTAGGAACGGGTTGGGCTTGGGAGGAGGGCGTTTTTGGATACGATATATACCATGGGAAAATACCAGGGGCCAATGAACCTAACAGAAATACTGCACGATACTGTACACGTGCCAGCGTTTCCAATCACAGTGATGTATGTTTTTTCTGTCAGCCTATCTACTTGTCTGCCTTCTCGGCCGGGGTATCTGCAGAGGCAACCACATTATTCAAGCGCCTGAAGCCCAGCAGCTTCATCTCCGCTGAGTTCTCGAACCCTTTCCTAACCGCGTACTTCTCGTTGATGACATCCACCGTCTCCATCCTCAGCTTCTTCATCACGGGCGTGTAGAGACCCTGTAGTCTCGGCGAGTCCCCCCCATCAAACACCTTCTGACTCCTGCTTCCCTTCTTGGGCTCCCCAACACTCAAATCCCCAGCCGGTCTTCCTTGCTTGGCGATAACACCCAAGAGTGTGCTGGCTAGAATCTCATCGACCTTCCTCTCCCGCCAGACCTTCCAAAGCTCGTCCATGATCCCAGCGGTGCCGTATTTCTGGTCGCCGCTGTTCGGATCATCGCCGACATAGTGCCATTGGATGGCATCTTTTCTTTCTGCGTCATCCTCTTGCGGAAACACGCAGTTCCAAAGCACCAGCGGTGTATCGGTAGCCATCTCGTACACCGGCCGTCCGGGATTCGTCTCGACGTCCAGTAACTCCGAAACGATAGACGGCTTTTCAAGGCCCTGTCCAACGAGGAACAGCACAGCGACCATGTGCCTAACCTGATGCCACAAGAAGGCAGACCCGTGAAGCGTAAACGTATACACTTTCGGATTCACAGCCTGGCGAGTAGAATGTGGCGCAAAGTCCGCACCGTTGACAAACGCCAATCCACTCGTCGAATCATCCACCTCCTCGATATCTGCGTAGAAGATCCTCCTTTCGAAATTAGAGATCTGCTTTCCCGGGTCCACTTTGCAGAAATTCCTGAAATCGTGAATCCCCTCGAATAGCTTGGCCGCTTCTCGCATCTTCTTGATGTTCAGCCATCCATCTCTCATCTTGCCTTCCATCGCCACCGTCTGGCCTTTCTGAGTTGGGACCTCCAGCTGCGGAGGCGTAGGCATGAACGCCGGCTGGGTGAAGAAGTACCGATATTGGCGTTCTCGGCAGGAGAAACGTGCCGAGAAATCCTGCGGTGGTGCTGGGCACCAGGCTAGGATTCTGATGTCTGGTGGGAGGAGACGATTGAGCAGTGAGCAGTAGGGGATTTCATCTGCAATGGGGTCGAAATTGAGAGCTTCTTCGTAATCCGGGTCTGAGAGGCCGAGATCTGGTGTCGGAGTCATTTGTGGCGACAGTCTGGAAGGTGCTAGAGCCGGCGAGGCCATCTCGACCGAGCCAGGTCTGGCGTATGAGTTGAAACCTCGCGTAGGATCGTCCGGACTGACTGTCGATGTGGAAACATCCTCGTCTGCCCCCTCCTGAACCTCTTCCTCGGAGGCTCTCTTCTCCCTTTTCTTCGCCAACGGCCGATTACTCCTCACTCTAATGCCAATCACCTGCCCAAAAGCACTCACCCCTTTATCCGTCCTCCCACACTTGCTGTACTCACACCCATCCCAGTTCACCTCACCCGGCTGTCTCGGATTGACCACATCCGGGAAGATAAGTCTCGCCTTGTTGAAGGCTTTCCACAGCTCTTCCTCAATTGTCGGGAGAGGCGTGACGGATTTCTGACACTCGAACCCGTTGTAGCGCTTGCCGAGATAGGCGAGCTTGAAAGCTACAAGCCGGGTGCTGTACTTGGAGGGGTCGAACCTCCTTTCTGTACGGGGCTTTTTGAAGGACTTCTTTTCGGGGGTTGTGTCGAGACTGTGGTTTTGCTTTAGCTCCGTCCGGTTTATCATATATATACAGAAGGGGGTTGATATACCTTAGATTCTTGATCTTCAGCTCAGTTTCCAGCTGTGTGACCCTCTCAATCAGCTTCTCCTGGCTCCATGTTGCGTATTTCTCAGCAGTTGTTTGTGCTTTTCCCGTTTCCGCTTCCATTTTCTTCCGATACGTTTCCGAAGCAGCAACACGTTCTCTGTTTCCTTCAGTGTTCTTTATCCCAACTCCACTTTGTGACGTGAATGGTGAAGCCGAAGAAGTCAGTTTCAGACGCACGGATTCCAGCCGTCTAAATGAATGGGAGAATAAGGGTCGCATACCCAGCGACTGATCAGACTCACTTACGGCGATGTGCGGGCGTCCAGAGTTTTTATAGAGAGCGCTAGGATGACCCACGTGATGCGAAGATAAAGCGGCACGGGAACACGTTCTTCTTGTCGACGCCGTTTTCTTTCAAATTCTCTCACCCATTGAGGACTCGAAAAGATGTAGAGGTCATGGCCGATATCGAGACGCCTGAAGCTTCGATCCTGTTGCTTGGGGATGCCGAGTGTGGGAAGAGCACTTTCCTCTCGTGAGTATGCATCGCGCGCACCCGTTCAACGACCATCACCTCCGAGATGCATTCTCTCCATTCGTATCTTCGCGGAATTGATCAGATCCCATAGTCGTGTGAGCAAAGGGTCCATCGCTCATAGCAGCAAAGGCCCTCTTCCCCTCCTCCAAGACGGCAACCAGCCTTTCGTCTTGGACATCACGTTTTTCAACCGCCCGTATCGCTTCGAGTTCTACGACACGAGCAGTCCGGAGCACTGGACTCTGCTGCAGCCAGACGTGATAGTCCTATGCTATGACATCTCTTCACGGCTATCCCTCATCAACGCGCAAAGATTCGTAGGTATACCTCTGTGGAGGTCCACGCATCCAAGTTTCCAGCACTATTCCATTCTCATCATCATCATTATCAACATCATCGTCATCCTGTCTCACCCAACTCATCAACCCCCACCGATTCCCCATCCTGCCCTCCCAAAGTTAAAGGTAAACCCCCACTGACACCCAACCCCAGTGGATCAAAGAGACCACGCGGATCTTCACAGCGCAGCGCGAGCTCCCTATCCTTTTCCTCGGCCTTAAGCGCGACTTGCGAAGCGAGACGGACGCGAACGGCATCATCTACCCGCAGGAGGCGTACCGCGTCGCTCAGGAGATGCGCTGCGATCGGTACCTGGAGTGCAGCGCCGCGACAGGCGAGCTGGTGCGTGAGGTGTTTGAGGATATCTGCCGGACAGCGGCGTTGGCGGGGACGAAGGAAGGAGGGAGTGGCGGGTTGAGTGAGGGCGGGTGTGAGGTTATGTAGTTATGTAGTGATGATTGAGTGCTCTCGGTTCTTGGTTTGGCTCCTGATTTGCGCTCAGGGGAGGGAGACTGGGACCCGGACTGGGAGTATGTATATTCAATGTCAGTTTGCGTAGTATGTCAGGATTCATATATCATTTTTGGGGTATTTCATACTTGAAGTGAGAAAAGGCCGACTCGATAAGGGTAATCAAGCCATGAGCTTACATTCCTATAAGATGGAACTAAGATAAAACCCCTTTTGAATATCAGAAGAAGTGTTCTCATAAGCGTCATTTCCGTATCTCATGGCACGGGAATTGTTTACAAAGCTCCCGAGTCTTGTGACATTAAGCGAGAACCACCGAAAGACTTGCCCGGATCCCATTTGGACAACAACACTTCACCATCACGCGAGAATAAGGTTAGATTCCGAACATCCCCATACCATAGCTAAAACGTTTCGACTTTTCTGGCCATCAGATAGAACACGCATGTATCTATTCTTATGAAAGTCAAAAAATGGAAATCACTTGGGGTTAAGGACATTCCTGGCGCTGCGACGAGACCCAACACACTCTTGCCGAAGAAACAAGCAAGACCAGAATCTATATCATTAAAAGTTTCATCATTCATCAGGGATTAAGATAACAAGCAAACGCTATGCATCAATAAATCGTGACCAAAATTGCTCGCTATGCAAATATGCACCCTCTTCCTTTCCTCTTCCTCCTCCTCTAAACAGTTCCCTACCTCTAACCTACACAAGTGTCTACTGGTACTCGTAAGCCAGCGGGCCATCCCACTGTGAAGTTTCGGCATCAAAGCTGATACACTCGACGCCCGTGCCCTTACCCACGGCGTTCGCCCAGATCTTCCACACGTCCTTTTCGACGGTAGCGCTATCTTTGCACGCGCTGAAGGACTTGCCCTTGAATTTCAGACTGCCGACTTGGCCTGGCGCTGTGGCGGGCTTGAACTTGAAGGGGGCAGTGAGGCTTCCTTCGGGGACTGTGAGGTTGTTTCCGTCGTCAGCGAAATGGTGGATTTGGGAGAGAGAGAGAGAGAGAGAGAGAGAGAGAGAGAAGGTGGGGGAGACAGGGAAAACTCACAATCACGGCTGTGGGCGGCCAAGAAGGCCAACGCACCATCAGCGGCAACGTAGACCTGCTGGCCGCCTGCAGAGACGGAATTGAGGAACAGGGTGTTGGCCTCTGGCCGGGTTGTGAAGACGGTAGTATTTCCTGCTTCCATGCAGTTGACTTCCACTAGAGCACATACCAGAGTGGTTAGCGCGCTCGGCTCTCCAGAGAGGGAGAGGCAAGGAAGATGGTTCACCTACTACCAGGGCAGACGGTGGATGTGCCGTTGTTCAGGTTAAAGAATTTGTCTTTGGCGTTGAAGATGAGTTGGTGGATAGCGGTGGGGGTGCCGGAGGTGGAAATTGTGAAGATGTTGGAGTCCATGTTGCGGGCTTGTAGGTTGGGTGTGGGAGATGCGCTAGCGAAGCCAGCGAGGGCGCAGACGAGAGCTGTCTTGGCGTACATTTTGATGGCGTTGGTTTGGTTTTCAGGATGAAACCAGAAGAAGTGTTATCCTGGTGTTTGTGTGGTATTGTAGTTGTCTTGATTTCCAAGTGGTGTTGTGGTTGTTAGATGTTGTAGAGAGAAAATGTGTGATAGTAAATAGTAAAGGTTGGGTGGAACCTTCTCCAAGAATATATATATACACACACCCTTCCTGCCATGCAGTTGGACACCAACCTCTCGGCATCATAGGAACGGACCACTCTTTTCGTACTTTAAGCAGTGATAGACATAATCTCGTAACATGCTTAACCTTTATTCTAGGACAGTGGACGATTACCGGCAAATTGTCGTTGCCGATCATAGATTATAGCAAGCTTCCGCCTAAAGCTCTCTGGACCCTCCCAAATCTGGAGCCTCAAGCTCTAAAAGGCTCTAGACTTGATATAAGACGCTAAAAAAAGAAACGAGATAGATAAAAAAACAAAATTCTAGGTCGTCCTCACGCCATACCGTCACAGCTAATCCTGATCTGGAATATTCCAAATCTCCCAAAAGAGAAAGGCATCTGCTGGATACGGACGTATATTATCATCCTGCAGCATCCATCGGTTTTAAGCGAGCGTCGATCCATTAGCGTTACTATTCATGGCCCTTTCTTTGCTTCTCGAATCTCAACTCGAGGATCTGCCAGCCTGCTAGCTCATTCAAGGTATAAGCGAAGAGTTGGCTACTATTCCCGAGCTCGCTCTTATTACCAGATGCTTGCTTTTGGAGTTGCCGTAATTAATCAATAGCGCGTTATTAATTTAGATTGATGGCTTCAAGCCGCTATCCATTATTCGTTTAAATAAGTGATCGGCTTAATATTACTCCGGTAGCCGAACCAATGGAAGCCCTTGTGGTCAATTATTCTACGAAAGCGCTGGGGTTAAAGTAAGTGCCTATACCCCTGCTCTATATGGCAGAATCGATGGCAGAATATTTCACCGCTCAAAATCACCATGGCCGAGGCGGTGACTTCCTTTACCTCCAGCACCTCCGAAAGCTCTCAAGCTTACGTATCAACAACACCAGCGTTATCAACGCCGATTCAGCCCAAATAGACGACTTATTGGACCGGCCACTCAATCTCAGCTGCAAAACAAAAAATCTACGGCATGTTTCTCGACCACCCTGCGAATCAACAACGAAGCCGAAGCGGCGAATGCAAAGCACTGCGGACTCCGGAGCGAAAATAAATTTGCAAATGAGCAGCAAGGGTGGGAAGATAGATTCCTGAATATAGAAGACCCCAATCTTAAGTATATTTACCGAAGACCAATTTCTCCCACGTGTGTTAATAGCGATTCAAGCTATTATTAATCAACGAATCCTTTTTTCTTTCCTTTTTAAATAACGGAAATCGATATTACAATCACGGCGGTCCTCTGACCATTTCTTTAAGAAGACGGTCATAGGACCGTGTGAAATCAGTAGCGCTGGTTTTCAACGAAGAATAGGTGGTTCATTCGCAAGACCGACCGTCCTCGAGCAAAGAGACCGTCCCAAGACCGTCCCGCGGCTTTAATCCGTTCAGATTTTTAAAAACGAGACTAATGATAAAAATCGCCTCATAATCACAAAGGCCGACTTCAGCTACGACTGATACTAGATCTCGATAATCAAGCTCGGGCCTGGTTAGCCTACCTCCCCTCAGGGTGTACCGGTACTTACCACTTACGCCTGTGACGTTGTACCGGTTAGGTACAAATGGAACTTTCGGAGGAAGACGAGATGCGACGTCATATTTGTTAATGCTTCTAGAGTCGAGTCGGATTTTTCCTGGAGACTCCGGCACGATGCAAGACGGAAGAAATAGGTAGTGGGGCCGAGCATGTCCCGAGTCTGCGTTCAGACGTAGGTAGGTAACAGAGGTACCGACCGGTACTCCATACAGCGGGGAGGTGTTGTGTTGTTGTCCCCGGTCAGAAGCCAAGGGGGGTTGTGGAGAAGGAAAGGTACAGAGCCCACACTTGACCTGATAAGGTACAAATGTAAATACGGTAGCTAGCTTTTGCGTAGAAGTTCGTAGAAATTCACGTTACTACCTGACTGAGCTAGGCTCTCAGCTTACTTACCCTTTGTCTGACCAAGGACAGCACTTCACCACTGTATCTCGGTATAGCTAGAGCCAGAGGAACGAATACATACATGTCCGGATGTACAATACCGATACACAACACGCCAACCTTACACGACGTTACTCAAAAGTTATTATCCTATTTTCTTATTCTATGGCTGGTTCTCTAAAACAGAGGAATGCAACTCTCCCACGCCTTACTCCAGCACTTGGGAAGCGTTCAAGAGGAAAAAGCCAAAGATTTCTATATCTTTCTGGTCTTTCCTTCCAGAGATTGAAAATATCAGTATGTGTGAGCCGCGAAAGCGGTTTACGGTGAGGGTATAGCAATTGTACGGAGACAAAGAGTCCGACGACACGACGTCACATCGCCTTCATTCTCTTCCCCATACCCAATTTCAGTCCGAGTCCTGCAACGCCGCCAATGAGGAATGCAAGCAAGCAAGCTGGCCAACAGTATCAGAAAGCCAAAACCATGTGTGAAAAGAAACGAGATAAACGGCCTGCCCCGCCCGTATGTATACCTGCCTGTGCCTAATCCCAGAAGAGAGCGCTGATGGACTCGCCGTGGTGAACGCGACGGATGGCCTCAGCGAAGACCTGTCCGACGTCCAAGACCTCCAGCTTGGGGCACAGGCGGAGGTGCTCGCCTTGCGGGACGCTATTGGTCACGACCACTTTATCCAAGGGGGAGGCATTGATGCGGTCGATGGCGTCCCCGCTGAATACACCATGGGTGAGCAAAGCGTAGACTCTCGTCGCGCCCTCCTTCTTCAGCAGCTTGGCAGCTCGGGTGATGGTATTGGAAGTATCCGCCAAGTCGTCAACGAGTATACAGACTCGGTTCGTGACGTTTCCCACGAGCATCATGGTGGCATTTTGGCGCTCGTTAATACGGGTGGGTCGACGTTCCTAGGAGTATAAGTTTGCGCAAGTTTGGAGTTCGGGGACGCGTTACCTTGTGAATCAATGCGAATTCCATATTCAGGTCGTCCGCAATAGAAGTTGCCCTCTTAGCTCCACCGGCATCTGGACTGACAATTACGGCCTCTCTGAAGTTCGGTATCTTGGTCTGGATGTACTTCTTGAGCAGGGATTTTCCATACAAGTTATCCACCGGGATGTCGAAGAAGCCTTGGTACTGCGGGTCATGCAGGTCCATGGTGATGATATGATCCGTACCAGCACAGGTCAAGAGGTCTGCCACCAGTGTACCGGCTTGGGCAACCCACTTCTTATATCCTGGCTTCGGCTGGAACAGTTTACTCGTCTCCTTGATCATACCTTGGTTTTCGAAGTTGTGGGTGGTGTACGTTGGGCCAGAGGGAGGAGCCCAGCTTGGGCCAGAAGAGCCCGAGTTGCCGCGATTTCGTCCATTCATTGAGGACTGGGAGTCAAGCGTCTCCGATCTTCGAGGCGGGGTGATCCCGTTGGTGTAGCCATTCTGTTGCTCCAAAACCGTTTTGGCCAGCTGCTTTTTCAATGCCTCCGTGCCGTTGCCATTGCCATTTGCGAGACCCTGGGTTTGAGGTTGTCCCGGGGCTGGCGTTGTCGGCCGGCTTTCGAAAGTGAAATCACCTCCAGTAACATTGGTTGGGGCTTTCGATAAGGGGGCACCAATCTTGTTGTAGGGAAGATCGGGTTGTCGAGAATAAGGGAACAGAGGAAGGACAGCCGTGACCTGTTTCGCCGATCCAGTCTTGCATGCAGAGACCATTATGCAAAGGTCAATGAAGTGATCGTTCACATTACCCCCTCCTGACTGGATGATGTAGACATCCTTTCCCCGAACCGAGTCCTGGATCTCCAGGCGGCTTTCTCCGACTGAGAACTTCTTGAGGATTCTGTTGCACGGCGGCACACCTAGGATGTTAGAGATGGTTTCGACGAGATGAGGGTGGGAGTTTCCCCCGAGGACGACGATGTTGCGGACCATGGCGCAGTCCGAGGAATGTGGATGTGGATGTGGATGTGGATGTGGATGTGGATGTGGATGTGGACTTGGGATTTCGAGTTGGGTATTGAGGAATTGGGGAATTGGGAATTGGGATTGTGAATATCAATCCAGGTGGAAATGTGGGTTCCTAGGAGGGGGAGGGGGGGAGGGGGGAGGTGACTAGGTAGATGAGCTAGATGGCTGGCTGGCTAGCTAGCTTTGCAACCGCGGTAAAAGTGAAGGCAGATCGATACAGTAGGTTATAATAGGACTTCAATGCGCGAAGAACTGGAGTGGCGGGGCAGGAGAGGGCCAGCAGACGATAGAGATGCTATGAAGAGCAGAGGAGCAAGCGGCGGCGAGCGTGGTGTTGACAATCCATTTGATATGTGATTGATGTAGTTGTAGGTGTTGTTGTTGTGGTGGTGGTGGCGGTGGGGGTGGTGGTTGTTTGGAGTAGACAGGACGAGGAACAGGAGGAGGGGAGGGGGAGAAGAGGTCTGAGGTCTGAGGTCTGCAGTTTCGCGCAAAAAACGAAAAAAAAGTTACTGAAAGCTCCCGTCGCTTGGCCTGGGCACCACACTTATCCCGATCCGGTCAAGCGGTAGCGGGGTTGAGGTCTGGACCCGGAAAAAAAAGAGGTCAAGGCTGAGGTCAAGGCTGAGGCTGAGGCTGAGCAGATGTGAAGATGTGAAGATATACTATCCTCAGGTAGATAGTAGAGATAGTAGCAATCTTCTACCTCATACTCTGTACTTCAAAGGGACCTCTTGAGGTAGAGTCGGAGAGCGAAAGAAAAGAAGAAAGAAAAACAAGATAAGAAGAAAAAAAAAAAAAACAATGGTAAGTCCACGTGCTCCACGTGCACACGATTTTGGTTTTGGTTGGAACCTCTCGTATCAACTCCAAGAGGTACAGATGACTACCGGTATCTACTCTGGCTTGCCTGCTTGCACTTGCACGCAGATATCCGCTTGCAGACCTTACACAATAACAAAACACAACACAACAGAATACAGCATACCCTGTCTGAGCTTTGGATCAGCCTGCAGAGAGTCCAAGACCAAGGCTAACGAGAGACAAGAGACGAGAGACAAGCAACAAGCAACAAACGACACGCAACAAACGACAGGCAATACACAGCAAATATCATGAAGATCTTGGAGGCCCAGTCCGCGACGCTGACCAACTATGAAGTCTTCACGCACCTTAAAGCACAGAGAAATGGATCCCGCAAGAACGGACGCCCAACTGACCTCGACAATATGGTGCATGAGGTACGATGAACACTCAATGCAATGCAATGTAATGCAATGCAATGCAGCCGTCCTTACCAATCACTATTGCTAACCAGCACGTAACTATCACCCATAGCTCTTCGAGTACTTCAAGGACCCGGCATGGCTATCTCCTCTCGCCAGCAAGCCCCTGACCTACAATGAGCGCACCATCAAGACTCTGCTCCAGCGCCTCCGCCACTGGGACTTCACCAAGGGCGAGGTGATCATGATTCTGAACCACCGACCGGCGAAGCCCGAGAACCTGAACACCATGGTGCAGGAGATGGAGCAGCGCTTCACCGACGAGGAGCAGCTGGAGATTGTCCAGATCATCGCCGAGGTGTTGGGCAAGCCGAACGTGGTTGAGGCGTGAGGGCAGCTGGAAGTGGAGGTGGACATAGACAGGTAGATGGTGGAATGGACATGGCGTTTGGGTTTCGGGAAAGGAAGAGCGTTGCATTGCATGACATTGCATTGCAGTACATTGTACGGCGTTGGGTTGGGTTGGCCTAGCTTGGGCCTGGACGAGTTTCGGATAAGTATAAAAGACCGAGAACTCCTGCAGAATATAATCGGATTTCCTTCTGTTTCTGCAGAGTCACTGCCTCTCTGGCCGCCTTGCATTTCTAGGGACTGGTGAGAAGCAAGGGAGCTGTCAGGATGATGGTCGGTCCCACAGATATCTTCACTGATTTTCCCTTTGCAATATACCTGAGCCGTTCTGATTTGATACTGCTCTCTTCGGATGTCCACTGTTTTCATTTATTTTTCCTTCGGAAAGGGAGACCTATTGTCCCAGCCAGCATGCTATTAAATCTCGCGGGTCTTGTTCTTAACCTTATTCTGCCTACCCGCTGCCAACCTCATCTGTTTCATCTGCTTCATCTGCGTGCCTGCTATGCGCTTCAGAATAAGAGTTTCATTCTACGAGTAATGCGGCTTCTTCTACCCCCACAGCCATGGAAACCCAGCACGCGGTTTCTTCACTGAAGGCAAGTCAATGGGTCCTGCACACAGACATGGGGTAGGTATTGGAACGCGTCTGCCTTCAATCACTCGGGCCATGCGTTTTCCATATACATATACATATACATACCTACCATCTGCGCTCTCTCGAATCCTGCTTCATGCTTGACTTCTCATCCTCTCCCGGTCTTTTCATTTGCGCAAGAGAGGGCTCGTCTTAGCCGTGGCTCTCTTTATTGTTCCAAGCCCAACCCTCGTAGTCATGCTTTTCAAGATCGTCTATACGATACCTATACCTCGATCCGGATCCTAACGCCTATTCTTCCTCTTCTTTCTTTATCGAGGCTTGCGACTGTTGTAATTACCTATATCTTGATCCAGGTCCCAACGCCTGTCCTTTTTATTTTTTCTTTATCGTCCCCAGCGTCGTTAACATATTTGTTTTTGTTTTCGAGGGGCTACGATTCTTTACCTGTACGAAGGGCTTCTTACGAACCTTCGGCTCTCTTTCCTGCGGCAAAGAGAGTCTGGAGAGCCGAAATTGAATCAAGGTAGCCTTTCGAAAAGATTTTCTTTTACCGGCGATCCGAACGAGCCTCCTTCTATCTCGACTACTACGCCGATTAGGATCTATATTTAACGAGCAGACCGATTGTGTTGGTATCACAGGGGTGATGCAAGGTCCGAATACGTATTCGTTTCTTCGAGTGGATTCAGCTTGTTTTGCATGCCTCTCTAACTAGGTACGTAAGGTAGTAGCTACTTATAGCCACCGATGCAAACGGAAGGTACAAACGGAAGGGCAAACGGGAGAGCAAACGGAATTCCACGTGAGTTGGCTCGTTTGACTGAGTTGACTCAGTTGACTGTAGTTAACCAGTTGTTACGATGCTGGCAGGCCTTAGGCCATCAGGCCACATAGGTTGGTTGGAGGATGGGGGATTAGTAAGCTGGGCTAGTCCTATCCAAGACTAAGCCTACGCTAGCGGCCGCCAAAGGTACATAACTTCTCAGCTCTCTTGTATTATAGTTCTTCTCTTCCTCGTCTTTCTTTCTCGTCACTAAGCGTACCGATAGGTAGCTTATTACAATACTACCTTTTCTCAGCCGTAGCATAAAGAAAGACCGACTACCACCCTCCGCTGCGAAGCATTATATCGACCTCGTTTCCGATATACTTCGAACTGCCTCAGCTGCAATTCGAAGGTCCTTTCAAGTTACATTAGCTCTCGCTTTCCCTCTCAAAAGTTTAAGTACTTTGATCAGACATCCCCGCTGATTTCATAGTCTTAAAGAAAGCTAAACCCTTAAGCTCGAACTGCTATCGCTGCAATTCGACCTTCACCTCTCACCTTCGCCTGGACTGCCTTCGCTATAATCCTTCCTTTTATCTTTCTTTAAAACCTTATAAATACGACACATATACAAAAAGGATTCCGAAGCTTCTTTATTAGAACGGCGATTGATACCTTTATACAAACCCTACTCGAAGGCTTAAAGAACGTGCACGCTTCGCTTGTATTGATCTTCCCCCTTCTTGCTAATAGTCACTGTTTAGCTTTAAGTCTTTTTTTCTACTGCTTAATTGACAGCTGGCCTTTTCGTTGTGTCGTGCCTTATACAAGCTAGATTGAAAGACTAAGGCTACAAAGATCACGCTTGCTTTAAAGAAACTTCTTGAACTTGAATGCTTTCTTTTTATTAATGCTGCGATCTACTGACTTCTTAGTCACCGCGCGTAAGCTCTACGCGTTCATTTCTACAAGGCACTTAATTGCTATACGCGTCTTAGCGCTCTTAAGAACATTAGAAAACGTTGCAAAGCATATCGAGAGTTACTTTTCCTTTTAGCCTTTATCCGAGATCATCGACCTTTCTTTCGATTTTAATATCGAATGGACTGAAGGTCGAAGTAGCAAATTCATACGCGCTTTAGATGCTTAAGTAAAGATTGCAATGCTAAAAGATACCGATAGTGATAACGCACTTTCTTTATTTAACGACGCACTTTCACTTGCACTTTAGCTAGATCTTTAAGCTATTGTTTTTATTATTAAGCGCTAACGATACGTCTTCCCTCGACCTCTTATCAGCTTAATTACCTTTTTTATGATACGACCTTTTACAATCAGTAAGCAATTCTCGGACAGTTTAGTATTCGAACTAGTTCTTATTCGCGGCTCTCTCGTCGCTATGTCTACACTTACTTTCGTTTTTACGACGGCTTAGCAAGAAGTCATGACTAACGCTATCATGACTGCAATTGCACAAGCTTTGCGAAAAGAACGCGCTTTTAAGCAAGCCTTTTCGGCCACCCAACCTGCTGTCTAGCATGCTATTAAACTTGCCGCTTTAGCAGCAGACTTGCAGCTAGTCTTCGAGTACTACTTTTTAATCTTAGATCTTTTTATACTCTTTGTCGAAAGCAATAAGGTCAAGTGGCCTCGCTCTTAATTTAGCGATTATCGAAGTGACGTTGATTACGACGCATAAAAGATGGATATAAAGCTTTTTCTTAAAGAGTACTCCGGCAACTTCTTTATTAGCTCTTCTTAAGTAAAAGCTTATTTTAAATGCACTTTAAGAAAAGCTAAGACAATGATTTTAAAGCACATATCTTTCGACTTTGCCGATACTTGCAAGGGTTCCGCTAATGTTTTGCGAATCTTAGACTATCGTTTCTTCGATCACAACCGTGTTTAATCAGCTCGCAAGAACTATTACTAGCTTATAATAAATAAAAGCATATCTTACAACGATTTCCGAACCAAGTTCATTGCTTTCGCAATCATTAGCAAGATTTCTCGCAGCCGATAGTTCGAGGACTTGTGTAAAAAGATCTCTTTCGCTTTTAAAACCCATTTGATAGTCGAGAAATACAAGATGTAAAGCAGCTACGAACGCTTAGACGAATACTTCGCTATCGTTAATAAAGAACTTCGCAACATTAAGTCGGAAGAAGCTGTTATTGCACGTCGCTACGCTTCTTACGCTTCTTCTTTATCTGCTAATGTCTCGTTCACTTTAAGTGCAAGAACCTTAAGCATACGAGGCATCTTGAAAAAAGATAATTAGCGCTTAACCTTTTTATCTTTTCGTGCTACATCTCTTTCCCTTTTAAGTTCGCGCTCAACTAGTCTTTTTAATATCGTTTGTTTTAGTTGCAAGAAGCTTAGCTATATGCAACGTGAATGCCTTGACTTTAAGCTTAACAAAAAGATCGTCGAAATGACTATTAGTCAAGAGCTTGCAGATGACCTTCTTTCGAGAAACTTTTAAGCCGTGGAAAAGACTTTTACTACGGCGTTAGCTATAATTTGTAGAAAGAATTGCGATTTGATTTCCGGTCTTTTATTAAAAGACCTTAGTTCTTAGTTCTTATAGAACTAGCACGCAATGGATTTTTTATTAAGACTACTATATATATTAATAACGGAGCGAATATTTTTAACGCGATTAAAACCTTTTTAGCTTTTTAACTCTTTACTCGATTCGGTAACAAGCTTGTTACTTTACTTTACTTAATCATTCTTACCGGGTATAATAGCGCTTTAAATGATTTAATCACTTACGCTATACTCTTTACTCTTATAATCGATCGGCGTCGTATTAATTTCCTTTTCTTGGTCATCAACTTAAGTTTTATAGACGTATTAATTAGTCGCAAGTTCATAGCTTACTACGATATTGGTCAGAGATTCGGGGCTAAATCTTAGTTATATTAGCCTTTTGATATGCTTGTTATTCCGTATTTTAGACTACGCATTTTCTTAGACTTCTCTTATACGGTTATTACACTGAGCTATTAAGAGGATGCCTTTCGTCGCGATTAATTATTAGAAGAGCAAGACGCTAAGATTTGCATCTTGCAACTTATTCTTAGCTTAGCAAAGTCATTTCTAACGCGGAATACTAGCTTTATCCGTGACCTTTAAAAGCGCTTGGCTATAATAAAGACCCTTTTACGAGGCTTGAGTAGCGAAGTTTATCGTAGCTAACCCTTTTTTAAAGAAAAGACATGGCTCACTTTTAATAAGCGTAAGCGCTAGCACATAATAAACATCTCTCTTATTAGCGCGTCCTTAATAAAAGCTATATTAACACGCTTTCGAAAGAATTATAAAGCTGCTAAGCAAGCTAACGCATCTTTCTTTAACGAGTTCGTATTCTTAGCTTTAATTCACGACATTCAGCGCGAGTAAAATCGGCGTAATATCGATTCTAAAGATAAAGAAACTATTTAAATTGCTTTTATAAATCGTGCAAACCTTGCTTAAGCACTTAGCGCGAAGTACGCTGTTAATAACGCTAAAGTAAACTAAGAATTGCCTTCCGAATACGCCGAATTCAAAGACCTTTTTTCGAAGAAAGCTTCCGATGTCTTCGCAGTTCGGCGGCTTAAAGTAGACTATAAGATTACTTTAGCTATTAAAAACACTTTGATTACAAAGCCTCTCCGCCGCTTTACAAACGACTAGCTCTCGGAAGTCAAGCAATACGTCTAGGACCACTTGTACAAAAGATTTATTAAACTTTCGAATGCTTTTTATTCGGCCTTAATTCTTTTTACTAAAAAGAAAGATAGATCTATGCGGCTTTGCGTAAACTACCGCCGTTTGAATTCAATCACTTAAAAGGATCCTTACCTTCTCCTTTTAATAGATGAGATAATAGCTCGTATCTCTTAAGCTAAAATCTTTATTAAAATCGATATTCAGCAAGCGTTCTACTGCATACGTATCTCTTTCGAATCCGAGGATTTGATTACATTCCGGACCCGTTACGGTACTTACAAGTATAAAGTACTTCCGTTTGGCTTTACTAATAAACTTACGACGTTTTAACGCTTCATTAATAAAATATTGATAGAACACTTAAATGATTTCTGCTCCGCTTACTTTGATGATATTTTTATTTACTTTACGAACGAGTTAAAGCATACCGATTATATTAAAAAAATCATGCGTATCCTTAACGATTATAGATTATAAGCTAACATTAAAAAGTGTGAGTTTAGTATTTACAAGATTAAGTTCTTCGGTTTCGTAATTAGTACTAATAGTATCGAAGTAGACTTAAACAAAATTGCAGTTATTATTGATTAGAAGTATAAGGAAAACGTGCGTAGCGTGCAATCCTTTTTTAGTTTTTGCAACTTTTATCGGCGATTTATCAAAGGATTCAGCTAGCTTTGCAAGCTATTAAACGCTTTTACGGCTAAAGACGCCCTTTTCTTTTTCAATTCAGCTTGCAAAGAAGCTTAAGAGAAGCTTAAGACAGCATTGCAAAACGCTTTTATTCTGTGTTATTACGACCTTTACAAGCAAACCCGTCTTGAAACCGATTCTTTTGATAGCGTTGTCGCTAGCGTCTTCTCTCAGCTTTAAGACGATAGATTTTATTACTTAGTCGGATTCTTTTTTAAGACGATGATTAACGCGGAACTCAACTACTTTATCTACGATAAAAAGCTCTTAATTATTTTTCGTTTCTTTTAATACTATAGACCTGAGCTTCTCGGCGTTTAAAAGTCCGTTTATATCTATACCGACCACCGCGCGCTTAAGTACTTCATGATTACAAAAGACTTTATTGCGCGCTAAGCACGCTAAGCGGAATTTTTCGTTAATTTCTACTTCTTTATCATGTACCGAAATAGCCTTATTAATACTCTAGCTGACGCCTTTTTACGACGAGATCAAGACATCTCCTTTTTAAAAGCTCGTTAGCGGGCGGTCCGAAAGCAGCAATTGCTTTTCGACGAAAAGTTGTTTTTAAAAGTATTGCACAATTTGCACGAACTTCTTTTACAACCCTTTTCACCTCCTTTTCTTGTTATAGTTGACTGCAATCAACCTCCTTTTATTAAAGATGAACTATGTCCGATCCTTGACGAGCTCGCTTAATGCTGCTTAATAGACGAATCGATTACAATTGTCAATTCGATCTTTATTATCACTCTTAAGACGGCCGATATAATTTTACAAATGGTTTTAGCTTTTGTAAAAGAAGTGCTACCGCACTTGCTTAATCTAAACGATATGCTCTTCGATGAAGACCTCGCGGACTATACTAATATAATTACTTACGACATCGATAGCTACGACATTATCGACCGCGTCTTTTAAGCTAATACTACTTCGCTCTTATTGCAAGACATCCGCTAATCCGTAGCTTAAGGCTATAATATTGATTATGATTTACGGAATAGTAAGCTTTACTTTCAAAAGCGGCTAGTAATCCTTTTCGAGCTTTTTAAGCTACGCACAGCTTTAATTCGCTATATTCACGATTAACCTTGCGTAGCGCATGCTAGTATTACTAAGACTAGACAGCTGCTAGAACGCAAATACTCTTAGAAAGGACTTAGCGCAAACGTAGTTCGTTATATTGCAAATTGCAAGTGCGCTAAGATGAAAGCTAAACGCGACAAGACCTTTAGATTGCTCGTGCCTTTTCTTATTTTAGCCCGGGCTAATCAGCATCTTATAATAGACTTCACTGAATTGCCGTTGGACGAAGAAGGCCACGATTTTAGCTTAGTAATTATAGACCGCCTTTTCAAACGCTTAATCATTATATTATGCCACAAGGAAATTACTGCAAAAAGCTTTGCTGAATTGTTTTTAGCTTATTAAGTGCGCTATTTCGGTCACCTTGATTCTATCGTTTCGGATCGCGGCCTTTAATTCGTATCGACCTTTTAGCGCGAACTTTGTCGAATTGTTAGTACTAAAGTCAAGCTTACTACAGCTTACAATCTTAACGTCGACGGCTAGACCGAGGTCATGAATCAGTATATCAAGCAACGACTTCGCTCTTTTTGCAATTACTACTAAGACAACTAAGGAAAGCTAGTCTTACTTATAGACATCGCTCAATTGACTTTGCTTCACGAGTCTTTAAGTAGAATCATCCTCTTCTAGGTCGCTAATAGCTACGAATCACGCTCTTCTTTCGACTTAGTCAATCCTGACCCTCTTTCTTCGGCTACGGAACGCCTCAACCGCGAGGAAGCCATTCAGGTCGCTATTAAAGCGCAACATGCAATTGAGTTTGCTTAATCGTTAATTGCGGTCTAATAAAAGAAAATGAAGCGACTGGCTAACCTCCGCCGCCGATCCGCTGATTGGACAGTAAGCGACGAAGTGTGGATCGACACGCGCAACTAGAAAATGGACCGCCTTTCACGGAAGCTCTTAGACAAGTGGTATAGACTAATAAAAGTGCTTGCTAAGGTCGGTGAGAGTTGAAAGGTCCAATTGCTTGAAAGTTGGAAAATACACTTTGTCTTTCACTCACACTCTTTTCGCAAGTATACTAGAAACCCTTTGCTAAGTCAAGTTAAAGAGCTTTTAGCACTTATTCAGCTCCTTTCCGAACAAGACGAATAAGAGATCGAAGAAATCCTTAGCTTTAAAGTCTCTTACAACACTTTATATTATCAAATCAAATAGACTAGAGCTGATGACGACCTCAATTAGTACCTTTGCTCCGACGCAATGACTAGCCTTTATATGCTCCGCCGTTTCCACTTCGCTCACTTTTAAGTTAAAGGTCTACTACGTGCTCTACTTCTTTAGTTGCAAGCTTACAACGAAGGAAAAGATGATTACAACGAGTTGGAAGACAATCGACTTATAACTGCAACTGCGAAGACGCAGTTTTTCGAAAGGGGAGGGTAGTGTTACGATGCTAGCAAGCCTTAGGCTATCAAGCTACATAAGTTGGTTGGAGGATAGGGGATTAGTAAGCTGGGCTAGTCTTATCCAGGACTAGGCCTACGCTAGCGGCCGCTAGAGGTACATAACTTCTCAGCTCTCTTGTATTGTAGTTCTTCTCTTCCTCGTCTTTCTTTCTCGTCACCAAGCGTACCGATAGGTAGCTTACTATAATACTACCTTTTCTCAGCCGTAGCACCAGTCTGACCGCTAGCCCAGCTCCTGACTAAGGTCTCAGTTCCAACAGATTGAAAATAGCAAGAGAATTTGCGATAAAGAGGGAACGGAGTAAGAGAGATAGAAAAGGGTTCAAGACGATCTACGATATTGCGCCTTCAAAAAGGCCACTTGGCTGACTCCGGTCTGGCCTCGAATTATCTCGATAATCGATACCGATATACGTTACTTACGCTATAACTTGCTCTTAAGGTTTTTCCTCCGACGGAGATATGTCTTTTTTACGATCTTTTTTATCCTTAAGAGAAAAGCATGATCGATAACAGCTGCGCTATACCAACTTGAATTGCTTTTAAAGGTTACAAAAGCTATGCGATGCCGCGGGATTAAAGACTCGAGGCTATATAAAAGAGAGCTTTTTTTCAACGTGGTTTTTATTCTCGATTAAATAGTACTTTATATATAATTGCTTTACTTAGCACGTCGCCGTACTTTATAAGAGGTCTTAAGGTCTAAAGCATTGCGTTTTAGGTACCCGCCCGACGTTCACAAATATAACAATAACAATAAAAACAACAACAATATATTTGTTTTCAAGGCAATTGTCGCCCACCGGGCCCCTCTCCAGCGCTAAATCTATATTCATGTTCGATGGCCATTCCATCTTCCTTGCTTCTTCTTTCATACAATCGCTACAAATTCAACTTCGCTTAAGATACATTTCAACGCGACGCGACCCGCAAACACAATAACGACAACACATACAAGAACAATAAAATAAACAATAGTAAAAACAAGAAATATTTGAAATAACCAAAAAGAAAGAGGAAACAAAAGGTAAATCAGTGATTGGCCTAGGGAGGAGTCGAACCCCCATCTCCACATCTTCTACACTCACACCCCGAGGAGCTACAAGTACAGTTTTTGATACAGGAAATCAACCCTAAGGTTACAACCCAACAATTACAGATGTGGTATGCTAACCGCTGCACTACCAGGCCCTACTTGTTCTACTATGAACTCGGTTTCGGATACCGAATATATATCGCGTAGAAATTGTTGGGAAGGTGGCCGGCAGTAAGTCGGCGATTCAGACAAAGCGGTAGGGTGCAGGAAGGTGAGACCGATAGAGGAGTGGTGCTGGCTGGGAAGGGCGAGGTCGGAATATCATAGTCAAATGAAGGGCAGTGAGTGCTCGAAGAAAGGGAAGGAAAGGAAAGGAAAAGAATTAAATTTTTCATATTGCTCGGTATCCAGCCGCAAGAAATATACATCGATAGTATTACTGTACTCTCGTTCTTTCTCTTATAAACTCCTTCTTAAACAGTCCTTCCAAGTTTCCCTCCTCTCTCTATTCCTGTGTAAGAAGAGCGTAAAAACCTCAATACTATACTCTATTTCACAAGCGTTGTGCTGTTGATCCTCTGCAAGACGAAGCTTGAGTCAGCGAATCTTCTCTGATGCTGGGAGATAGGTATGGTACGGCTTCTTCTTTTTACCAATGGTTCCACCTAAGCCACTAGCAATTCTCAAATCTGCATTTCTTTTCTCCGTAGTCCATTCGAAATTTTCTATGCATATACAGACATCCATCCATTAGCGACTAGATAGGTTTACAAACGCTATAGAAAGTCTAGACCTCAAATCCAGAACTGTTATTTATCGTCTACGGCATGTGCTTTTTTCCTTTTGTTCTTATGTGAGTGGTTTGGTAACATATGCAGCATGGATACTTCTTCAGCTTGTTTCTTGAAATATATACATTCTCTACCCACTCTCTGTCTCCTCACACTACTTCATCTGGGTCCTCTTTACTTATTCATTTATTTATTCCTTTCCTTCCATATTTTATCAATATACTTTCCTCACTCGTATTTAAAAACTATGAATAAAAGTCCCGGTCCGGATCCAGACAGTCGTTCACTACCCTGCCTTATCAATTTCCACTCACCAACCTTCTATAGTTCCATGGAACAGTTCAACCCTCCAAAGTCTCATTTATAATTCTATTTCCTTTCCACTTCATTTATCAATCTTTTTACTTATCACTCATTCACGTACCGTGCTACTCACACAATCCAGACGCCAAGCAATCAATCTAAACAAACGATGTACCTCCCAGATATAAAAACACTTCCTACCCTACCCCACGCCCAGCTCGACTCGATCCAAACAACCCGGGAAGGTGCTATTTTTCTGGCATGCGCCCGCTTCCGTTCTGCCTCTTGGTTTACATTGATTGCGAGTGAGGGAAGTTCCAAAGTAGTACATGTCTCGTGTATTATGTTTACATGCGGTCCTGTATACTTACAGTACCCACCACTACTTATATATAAAGAGAATCCCTGGCTGGCTCATGTCAAGTGCAATAGTCTCTAGGTCCCAATTTTGCCGTCTATATGATTTTCTCTGTGTGTGCGGATGTGGATGTGTGACTCGGCACACTGCTATCATCTATCCATTTCCTTTACTATCGTCGCGTATCGTAGCGATTCACTTCGCGCACTTCGCGTCAAAAAATCGTTCCTTTCTTTTTGCCTGCACGCTAGCTAGCGGAATACGAACAGATAAATAGCTTCGTTATTACCGATGGATAAACAACCTTTCACTTTTCCTTTCTTACCTAATGCTCATGCTGCATTTTCGGAATCATTGTTTATTTCCAGTTTGTTGACCTTCACTATCCTGCTCGCTTGACGCACCCCCCCCTCTCCTTCGCTGCATAGCCCCATTTATGGTTTTCTCTAGAGAGATAAGATCGATAGGTCGGAAAAAGGTCTATGAAAACACATGCAGTAATCTAGATCCGGACCTGGATAAGTAGCAAGAGCGAGCAAGGTACTGACTGCATCGGTTTCAAGTGAGTGGAGCCAATCCATTTCTTCAAAGCCAGAGCAAAAGCGGCATGGACTTCTTTTTCAATATCAGAAAAATGTTTGCACAGTTAGGGTACCTTTTTTCATCAGTAATGTATATTAATACATTGCCAGCGATGAACAGCTGTATCAGGCTTTGAAAGTAAAAGTATACGAAGAGCAGAAACGAGAGAGAGAGAAAAAAAAAAAGGGAGAGGGCTATAAACCTCTCTCTAAAAGCCGCAGATCATCTAAATAATTCATTAAAAGTCTTGCGCGAATAGATAGCCTCACTGGATACCCAGCAGCTATTATATATTTCGCTCTTAGAAGTTTCTAGCCGTGCAGCTTATCAAATGATTCACGTCTTTCCTTTAGGGACACTCTGACCACGAATATTGAATTTAAAGATTGATTCGCAAATACGGCTGGGAACTGTGCAAGCGAAAGAGGAATTCCTGCCGCCGCTGGTCTCCTACTCCGTATAAAGCTTCTCTTGAGCCCAAAGGCAAAAGAGTAAGAATCTAACAGCAGTCTCCCATCAACAATCTAAGCAGTGCAGAGCAGAGTGGTGTGACGGCCGAAGGTGAGCGAATGGTAGAGAAAATATATGTTTGAGCACGCAGAGGAGAATGTAATACGGGTTTAGCTACCTGTTGCGGCGGATAAGGGGTTTAAAAAAATAGACAAGGACGGATTCAGTGGAGTGTTCCAGCACGCAAAAGCCAGGACCGGGGGATGGAATGGTACAGCATCCGAATATCAGATTTATAATCCCTTGCACAAGTCAATAAATCTTTGGTATTCCCCATACCTTACAGTCAAGCGCCAGCAAATCCACGGAGGTCCCCGAACGCCAGATTTTTCCTTCCATTGCGCCACCAACCAAACCAAATCTACCATCACGTTTCCGTCGCTAAAATCATCTTCTCTCTCTCGTTCCTTCTCTTCGAAAACTGTTTCTTCGTATGTTTGCGTTCGTTTTCCTCTTTCCTCTTGATAGCCTTCAGCTCCTCGGTCTTGATCTCCCCAGCCTTCTTGACCACCTTCGGAATGTGTCTGTGGCGCTTGATACGTCTGATCTCAGGCATATGCGCATATCTCTGCGTCAAAGCCTCGCTGTACTCCAATGCTTGCCGTTGCTTGGCTGACTTGATGCCTCCTCTCGCGGAAGCATTGGCGCGCCACAGCCGGATGTTTCCGTCGTCAGATCCAGACAGAATGTATTTGGAATCCGGAGTCCACTTGCAGGAAAAGACTCGCTGCATTCGCTTTGTGTGGTAGATATCTCTCGAGTGACCCTTCATCCTGCTCCATAGCCTGATTGTTCTGTCGTAACTTGCCGAGACGAGCTCTTCTCCAGTAGGGCTGAATTCAACATCCATTACTGCCGCTACGTGGTCCTTCAATACGTTCAAAGCCCGATCCATCTTCCTCGCATCAAAAATATAGACATTGTGATCTTCGCTCGCCACCGCAAAATTCATCGCCTCCATAGGATTCCACGAAATCGAGTTTCCTGCAAACTTCAGGATAGTCCTCGCCAAAGGCGTGGATGTCCTCAAATCGTACAAGACAATAGCTCTGTCAGTCGCCGCAGATGCCAGGATAGAGGTCTCAATCGGATTGAAGGACACGTTCGTAATGGTATCGGTAGTAGTGGGCCATCGAAGGACTTCGGGAGTGGCTGTATGTTTTTCCAGATCGTAAATTGATATGACGTCGGACGAGACTGCAAACGAATTGCTCGATCGATGATGTGATATACTAGTGAAGGCACCAGTTCCGAGCCAGGTCGCCGTTGGGGAGCTGTCCGAAGGGGTATCGTATGGAGACCATAGCTTGACTGAGCGATCGCTTGCGCAAGTCAAAAGCTTCTTGTCATGCGTCCAGGCCATTCCCTTTACAATGTTTTCATGAGCACTGGTGTGCCATGTTTCGTCTCGGCTGACCAAATCCCAGACTTTGATAATGCCGTCACCACTTCCGCTGGCAAATCTCTCTAATGAATTGGGATCCTTCGCAAGAGTATAGACTCCGTCTACGTGACCCTTCCCGAGTTGTGCAATAAAAGGGGCAGCAAACATCCGCTCGAGTTTCGTTGCATTGAGGGCTCTGGTATACTCGCGGGAGCGAGCAAATGGGTGGAGGGCAGGGTCGAGGTTGCGAGGCTGTTTTTGCGCCGAAGATCCTGGGACCTGCGCCGAGGATGCGCTCCTACTCAAAGCTTTGATCTTCTATTTTAACAGTCAGAAGAGTAATCTCAAGAATGTTTCTCAAGAATTATCACGAACCATTGTGTGGTTACGAGGTTGTCGCCATGTCCTCTCACAGAGATTGCGGATTAAGGTTGTCGTCCCAAAAATTTATATTATTCCGTATCGGCTCGGCTGAACTTGCAGGGGTCTAAGCTAGCGCGCCGCGTTGGAGCTTCCGCCTTGCTTGTCTACGGAGAGAGACAGACAGAGACATAGACAGAGAGAGCTTGAGTTTCCAGACAATTCAACATAACCAACAACTCCATCTTTCACGCTCTTCAAGATGGCGCCAGCAGACTCAGCACGGATACAGGAGGCAAAGAAGCTCGTCAAGACGAATCCACGAGAGGCCGAAGCGCAGTACAAGGAGATCATCTCGAAGCCTCCCTCCGTAACCTCAGACGCTGCGGTACGAGAATATGAGACTGCGCTGGTCAGTTTAGGGGAGCTATATCGGGATCAAAAGTGAGCAGGGACATCTTGGATGTTGTAGAATGTTGCTGATGGGTCGTAGGAAGCCGGATGAACTGGTAGATCTGATTACGAAGAGTCGGACAGTGTTGTCTTCGTTCGCAAAGGCAAAGACAGCAAAGCTTGGTATGCAGGGACGATCTAGCATTCTGGATCCGAGAATCATATGCTGACACTTTTATCTACCAGTTCGACAGCTCCTCGATCTCTTCAATGGCATCCCCGACTCCACCGAGACCCAGATTACTGTTACCAAGTCCTGCATCGAATGGGCTACCTCCGAACGACGAGGCTTTCTCCGCCAGAACCTTGAAACCCGCCTCGTCGCCCTTTACATGAACAAAGCCTCCTACTACGACGCCCTAACCCTCATCAACGGCCTGCTCAAAGAACTCAAGCGCCTCGACGACAAGCTCGTCCTAGTCGAAGTTCAGCTTCTCGAATCGCGAGTCTATCATGCCCTCGGAAACGTAGCCAAAGGCCGCGCAGCCCTCACCAGCGCCAGGACATCCGCCGCCTCAGTTTATACGCCTCCTCTTTTACAAGCAGGTCTGGATATGCAATCCGGCAAGCTACACGCCGAGGACAAGGACTTCAACACCGCATTCTCATACTTCATCGAAGCGCTTGACGGCTACCACACTCAAGACGAGCCCGAGAAAGCCACTGCCGCGCTCCAATACATGCTGTTGTGCAAAATTATGCTGAACCTAGCCGACGATGTAAACCAGCTGATGACCAGTAAGCAGGCCGTCAAGTACGCAGGCAAGAATCTAGAAGCCATGAAGGCCGTGGCGCGCGCGCACTCGAACCGATCGCTCGAGGAGTACGAGAAGGCCCTCGGCGACTACAGACACGAGCTCGGCAGCGACGCCTTCATCCGCAACCACCTCCGCCGCCTGTACGATGCCATGCTCGAGCAGAATCTCATCAAAGTGATCGAGCCCTTCTCCCGCGTGGAGATTGACCACATTGCGAAGATGGTAGGACTGGATACGCAGCAGGTGGAGCGCAAGCTGAGCCAGATGATCCTTGACAAGGTGATCATTGGCGTTCTGGACCAGGGAGCCGGGTGTCTAATTATTTTCGATGAGACGGAGAGAGACGAAGGGTACGATAGTGCGCTGGCGACGATTGAGAAGCTGAGTAGTGTGGTGGATGTGCTGTATACCAACCAGGCGTCTATGCTCGAGTAAAGCGGGAGGGAACGCCAGAATGGGGGAAACGGGATGGCTGCATATGCTTTTGTATCATAGAGGCGTAGATGATGGCTGGAATGGCTGGGGGGGGGCATGACAAAATAAATGCATTGCGAGAACATGCGAAGAGATCCATTACACAATTCCCTGGTCGTGATTCCACTATCGCTGATCATTCCTTTTAATTTTCCACCACAAGGTGGTATTTTGATGGATAGTGAGGGAAAGGCAAACGGATACTCTGTATATTTCGAAGCGAGACAATGGATTTGCCTGATGGCAGCGACTCACACTGGCGTCCAGTTCCCAGCGGAAGCATGAGCATTGGCAATCGTCGTCCTATTCATTCATTGATTCAGCAAACGAAAGGCAAGAAGAACCCATCCCAACACTTTACTCGCTGCTACATACGCTACACTACAAACACTCCGTACTCATGCAACACCAAGCTCACGGTAATATTTCACACTGATCGACAATCTGACCCGAAATGCACGCCTTTCCTTTTTACTTCCTTCCACTTCACACCTGTCCATAATCAAATTGACACATCATCACATCATCACATCATCACATCAACACATCAACACATCAACACATCAACACATCAATCAACACACGACTCATGCCAAATGCGCATATTCCCCGCTTCTTCCACTCCCACCGCCCACCAACCCGGCCGCCCTCTTCTCCTCCCCAACCAGCAAAGCAAAAACCCTCATGGCAATCACCTTCTCCTGCCACCCGGGCACCATGCCGCGGAACTCGTCCACCGCCTCGAGGTGCCACTGCTCCAACTGCATACTGTCGCCGCCGCTCCGGACAGTCTTGCCTAGCAGTCGACTGATGACGCGTGTACTGTTTCGCCTCTTGCTCCGGCTTCCGGGTTCGGAGGAGGGGGACGGTTTCCAGGCCTGCACTATGGTGTCGAGTAGCTGCCAGTGGTCCTTGGACCAGGTGCACGCGGAGAGTGGAGCGATGGGTGACTCGGGAGTGGGCGAGGAGGAGGCGAAGGTGACGCCTTTGCTTGGACTTAGATTCTCGCCCCCGTTTCCTGAACTTGGATTTTGCGTAGATGGTGTCTTCAGCGGCGAGCGTAGACACGATTTCGTTTGCGAAGCGGGGACTTGCCGGGGTGGTGTTTGTAAAGCTACGTGGACGGTGGTTTCGATGCGCAGGGGAAGAGATTCGGCCCATCTCTGGGTGCGGGATTTGATGGCTAAGATTTGCTCTTTCTCAGACGTGTTGGATGTGGCGGATTCGGGTGAGTAAGCTGAAGGAGAGAGTTGGGCTGATGCTGTTGGAGTGTGGTAACCGGAAAGGGTATTTGTGCGGCTTGGTGAGGCGGCCGCGAGGGGCGTTGAGACTGGTGATGAGGATTGAGGCTCGGGGAATTTAATTGTCTGATTGGGAGGGGGCTTGCTGAAGAGGTTCGGGACTTGACTGGCAGGCTTAATGGGCGAAGTCGAGAGTATAGCTCTGGCTCGTGGCTTGAAGCCCATCTTTTGCGGGATTGGTGTGAATCCTGTCTCTTTACTCGCACGGTGCTTTGCTTGCTCTGCCGCAGACTGTCGAGGGGCGAAAAGTGAGGATGAGGTCTCCGCCAAAGGACGGGGCTTGAAACCCATCTTCTGTGGTATGGGAGCATAGTCGGTTGACTTGAGAGCACCCTGTCTGGCTGACTCGGTACTACTCTCTGCAGAGGGTATTGAAGAACATACGGCATCTGCTGACCGCCATGGCTTAAAGTCAATCTTTGACTGTATAGGACCGAATTCAGATGAATCTTGGGCGGTCTGTCTCGACGGCTCAGAAACCGCCTCTTTAAGAGCAGCTGATGAGGATACTTGGCTTGAGCTAGACGGTCCTTGGAATACTGACTGCTGAGATAATCCTGAAAGCGTAGGAAGACGTCTTGGAGGGGAGGCTGCGAGGAGAGCAGAGAGATTGAAATCCCGGGTTTCCCGAGGTCTGGGTTTGAAGTTTGCCTTTTGAGGGATTTGGTATCCTGAAAGATCAGCATCGATGCCACCATCAATGAGTCCTTGCTGCACAGCAAGAGGTTGCGAGATCAGATCTCTAGCAGGTCTCTTTGGAGGGACGTGTTCTGCCAGTGGAGGAGAAGACTGCACGTGTGATAGCTCATCGCTGTAAACCAGTCTCTTGCTGTTCTTTCTCCATGGGCTCGGGAGCCTGCTTCCCCTCGGTTTCTCGACGATTTCTAGAGGCAAGTCTTGTTGACGCTCTACCACAGGCGATGATGAATTGAGTGTCTCCAACAAAAGCCCGAAATCTTCGTCATCCTCATCGGCGGGTCGGCCATTGTTTGAAGATTCGTTGTCCGAGTCGATCACAACGATCTTACTACTGTTGGCATTTGAGATCTGTTTGATGACGAGAGCACGTTCAGCAGCCAAGCTTTCCTCGGCAGACATACTGTTCGATGCTCTATGTTCAGATTGGCTGCCACTATTTCTCGCCAATGCGATGCTCTCGGGAACGTGAACTTCTTGCTCTGCTTGCCAGCTCATGTCATCAGCACCTCGAAAAGAAGCCTCTGATCTGATATTGTCAACGTGTGAGTCAGAGTGTTGACCTCTCGGGAGCTCAAGGATGTACTGGCTTTTCTGCTCTGGAGATGGCGATCTTTGCTGTGGCAACGCACTGCTGCGGAACGGATCTTCCTGATGGTGGGATAAACTGTGTGTTCGTTGAGATGAGCCTTCAGAAAACTGGCCACTAAGATCAAGTCTCGGGAGAGGACCTGCGAGCCTAACATTTCCAGGAGACGGATACGACTCTTGAGCAGCGCTGGATGAGGGTCTTTTTGCAGAAGGACTCTTGAAAGGACTGCCAAGACTCTGAGATCTGCTTCTGGATGATGATGACGGAACAACAATATCCTGAAGCATTTGCCCAGCACGGACTGTTGGAGAGAGAGGTTTCGGTTCATTCTTTTCTGGTGGTGCCAGTAATGGCGCTCCCCGACCGACTTGGAGGCGAGGCGGCAGAGCTGGAGATGAGAAGACAACTGAAGGTGTTTGAGTCACGTCCGGGTTCAATTGGCGATGCTGTCGAAGATGAGCAGTATAGGTGTATCTCCGCGGTGCAATAGATGGGGGAGAAGATGGTAATTGTGAGTGGATTACCGGAGAGTTTTGAGATCTTTCTGGCGCCTCTGTTTGTCTAGCTGCGGAACGCGAAGATGAGGGACGATCATTTGAAACGTGACTCTCCGCAACGGGCCTTTCACCAGCAGGGGAGGGAGTCTCATCGGGAGTTATGAGTCGAGCCGGTGCTGGACTCGATGCATGAGGTGCCGCACAACGTCTTGGGGCGGTAACATCTAAGGTATCTGGTGGGTAGTGACCTTGGCGGACTCGTCCTGGAGTAGCTGCATCCGACATAGGCGGAGGAATTGCTGAGAAAGAATCCGCACATTGGCCATCAACCTCAAGGTTTATTGCAGATGACTTATTCTGTGGTACTTTTCGTTGTGTAGTCGCAGCGTCAAGGACATCTGGTGGAATGCTTGAGCAAGAATCATCTAGCCGCCCATGCTGAATCGACAACAATCTCGGGTTCTGTGCTTTTCGGCCAGGCGTAGCAGCTTCAATAACTTCTTCAGGAATGGCCGAAAACGAGTCCTCATAAGCAGTCTCGTGAGCTCGAGCAGAAAGCAGAGACTTGTTCTTAGCTTGGCCTGATGGCTGCTTCGCGTAATGGTTTGCTGGGCTGCTGCTAAGATGTTCTCGAAGCGACGGAACCGAGTCGACAGAAATCATACTAAATCCTTCACTCTCGAGGATCGTGTCAAATTCTCCTATGTCACCAACCTCGTCTTCATCTTCTTCGTCATTTTGGAGACCAGGGTGCAATTCATTAGTCTCGTAAGAGTTCCGTCGTACATGATGATCAGGAGTATGAGTCATCATCATGCCTTCGCCGCTACCTCGACTGTATGTTGAATTTGCTGGATCTACAGATTGCGATGGGTGACCGTGAGCTCTCTGTTTGGAGATTGATGGCCCAGGCCGAGTGACCTGCGGACTCGACCACCCTGTTTGGCGCGGAGTCTCCCTTCCTGGGTCGAATCTTGCGATTACAACGTCTGCGTCCTCCCCCCCGATCGTAGTCGTGGAGCGGATTGTAGAGTATGCAGAAGGAGTATTTCGGATGTTCGAGTCGATGCGCTCTAAAGCCCCTTCTAAGCCGGCCTCCTCGGCACCATAGTCATAGTCATTGTCATTGCCTTGACCGCTTTCGTCCTCTAGAACTTCAACCTGCTCGGGTGGTATAGACTTCGTTCGACCTTTGCCATTCTTGCGAACTGCGCTTGATGAACGCTTGGTAGAGGCCTCCACTTCCTTCGTAGTAGGCGTAGACTTGCGAGTTCCCTTCGCCGACCTAGATCTCGATTTGCCCTTCCCTCCCCCATTTGCCACACCTTTGCCAACTTGGTAATTATTATCATTCTCCTTATTTCCGTCCACCAAATCGCCAATTGAGTTCCTTTTATTCTTTCGAGCAGGCGTGCTCGCTCGACTACTCTTCTTTGCAGCCACAGGAGTACCAGATTTCCGAGGCCTACCCCTCCCACGCTTGGGAGTGATTGCCCGTGGTTTATCGTCTCCAGAATCTGACAAACCCTTGACAGGAATAGTGGTTGTAGTCGTGTGCTCCCTGCGTCGGTTGGTAGGCGCCCGAGTCGGCGATACGGATGCGCCATCATCGAAGTACGCATGTGCGTTTTGCGCGCCGGGATTCTCAGCTTCGACTGTGATGCGAATCTTCTGCGGCGACAGCTCATTCCCAACTTCCAGGTCGAAGGTCTGCTTCTTCGGAGAGCTACCTTGGAGGGTTAAGCTACGTCTAGTATTTCGCGACGCCGGCGGAGGTTTCGCAGGCAAGTAAGCAGCCGGCGAATTGCTGAGAGGATCAGGCGAAGATGTTATTGCGTCCATGTTTATAATTGCCGCATAGGAGCTGCAGGAGGGAATGCTCTTTGTGTGTTGTTCGATAGTCGCGTCACGGAAAGCAAAGACGCGGTCGATACGCAGCTGATTGTATGCGAAAGCCCGAATAAGGTTTTGCAAGAGATGTTTTTGTTTACTATCTACTTGCTTTCCTCAGGCACGAATCCACGTGAGATAAGATTCGGACCCACTACCGCTCACGTATCTGCTTAGTCATCCACACGACTCGCCACCGGGAGATCTCCTCGCTTAGGCATTCGCTAACCCGGATTCTCATTGCGTGCTTTATCGGAAGTAAGCAACGACGTCTGTGGCGATGGCCTCCAGTCTTTCTTCTGATGATTTCCACCTGTGGTCCACCTGTGGTACTTTAAGCTTTATAATCATTAACGTGGAGCCTAAAGACATCTAGCCTGTGGCAGGGTGTGCAACGATGAGAATGATTCTCACTCGCGACACCCCTATAAATCCCAAGCTTGAATGTTTGATTTGTGTCATAACGCGCTTCACTCAACTATGTGGAGCCGGTAACTTGACATTGACAACCAAATCGTCCGGGAGAATCCAGCACAGCGTCCCTCCCTCCCACTAGCTAGTCAAACCCCTCAAACTCACCCCCGTCTTCCTCCTTTTCCCTCGCCTTCGCCCTCTCAGCCTCCTCCAGGTTCTTCTCCCTCACCTGTCTGATCAGCGCCTGCAACTCCTCCTCCCTTGCCCTCTCCTCCACCGTCATCCCCTCCAGCCTCTCCTTCTCCCTCTTCCTCCGCTTCTTCTCCCTTCTCTCTTCCTTAACATCCCGCATCTCATGCTTATGGCTCCACGCCTCCCTCTCTTTCCGTTTGCGCAGCATCTCTTCGCTCGGCACGAACGGCGCCTCGTTCTTCGCCTCCGCCATGGCTGCCCTCCGCGCCTTCTCGCGCACCTTGTCTTTGTATTCGTACTCTGAGAGATTAAGTTTCACACCTAGTGTTTTGTCGCCGTCCCACTTTTTAAGTTCCGGCATCTTGGGGAGGCGCACGAGACCCCATGCGTTACCGAGCGCTGTCCATTCTAGGTCTGCGACGCGGAAAATGCTGTTGGCTTGGTGCTTGGAGTACGCTTTTACCCAGCTGACGAACGCTCTTTGGCCCTTGTCGTATAAAGCTCGGTCGGCGAGCACTTCACTACGTATCCTCGAGGTCACCAGTACAGCAGCTTCGTCCGTGATGGCGATCTCTGGTCTTCGGAGGGGCATAATGGGCGTTTTTCGAACCTCGAGAAAGGGAATGTAGTCTTCTTCGCGGCCTGGCTGCAAGAAGATAACACTGAGTCCCTTTCGGCCTGCTCGGCCAGCGCGGCCGCAGCGGTGCAGGAAGACCTTTGGGTCGGAGGGGGGGTCGATTTGGATGACCAAGTCCACTTGCGGAATGTCGAGCCCGCGGGCTGCGACGTCAGTGGTGAGCAGGATACAGGGCGTAACGGTACTAATGTATTTCGAAAAGTTACGCTGGCGGACGCCAGGGGTTTGTTTGCCGTGTAGCGGGATGAGTGAAAATTGTGATGGGAGGAGCGCGGAGAGGATATGCTGGAAGTAGTCGACGGCTGCGCAGGTTGAGAGGTAGACGATGCTCTTCTGAGGCGTGGGATCTAGTTGGGATATGAGGGAAAGCAGGGCCGGAAACTTGTGAGTTGGCGGTGTTAGGAGGTATGACATCTGCAGACTTGCTGGGGTTCGCTTGTCGTCTCCTGATGCGCTCTTGACCTTGACGGCAATTTTTACTGGGTTCCGGAGGCCGACCCGGACGATTTCTCCAACGGCCTCGCTGACGCTGGCACTGAACAGGCCGGTCCTCCTCTGCTTGGGCAGTCGACCGAGAATCTTTTGTAGATCATCCTTGAATCCCAAATCCAGCAGTCGGTCTGCTTCATCCAGTACCAACACCTCGAAGGAAGACTGCGGACAATGTACATGCGGAGAAGATAGCAATTCCAGTAGCCGTCCAGGAGTAGATATAAGCAGATTCGGGCTATTCCTAAGGAACCTGCTAAGATCTTGCGCAGGTGTAGTCGTTCCACCAAGAAGCAATTGGGGTACAACACAGTTTGTCGTTGACAGCTTCCGCTTCTCTCCTTCTTCCAATGGCTTCATGGCCTCGGCGGAATGTTGGTGAAAGCCCAGCAGGGTCAAAAGGACGGAATGGATTTGTGTCGCGAGTTCTCGCGTCGGTGACACGATGATTGCGCCTACGTGATGCTTCTTGATGGGCTCCTCGAGCCGCAACAGCTTTTCAACTACTGGGATGAGGAAGGCTAGAGTCTTTCCACTCCCAGTTACAGCCTGGGAGGATGATTCAGTCAGCAAAGAGAATTTCCAGAGAGCCACGGAGCGCGCACCTCTACTACAACGTCTTTGTTGCCCATGAAGAGGGGGATGGTCGAAGCTTGAACGGGCGTCATCCGGGCAAAGCCCATGGCATTGATTGCATCGATGATCCATTCTGCCAACGGGGGGGTCAGAGCATCCCAGGCTCTGGGGTCTTTTTTCTTGTCGGCCATGGGGTATGGAGGTGGACGTGGACGTGGACGTGGACGTGGACGTGGAGATGGAGATGTACTGTTGATGGGCAGCCCGCTCTCCAAAATTTGTACGGAGATAGCTGCCATGCGCCCGCCCTGTTATCTCTTATCGCCTAGCGCCGCCAGGACCGACATCGACATCTTCGATTCCTCGGTCTCCCACCTCTACCGAGTCTTCAGGTAAACAAAGGCAGAAAGAGAAATCAAACAAAATCGAAATCAAAAACAAAAAGAAAAACAAAAACGGGGTACCATCAGCAGGATTCATGCGGGAGAACTGCATTGCGTCGAAGAAGAGCCTTCTGAATGCGGTCCTGAAATGAGAAGTCATTTCCCAGATTCATGGCTTTACTATCATTATCGTCGGGTGCTTACTCCTGTCAAGCCGCCGGGACGCCGAACCTGGCAAAATGTCTGTCGCAGAAAGTCAAAGTAATAGTTTTCAGTCATCCACCCCATCGTCCACCCCATCAACCATATCCACCATATCCACCACATCCCAAGCCTCACTCTTGTGCCGGATCAACGGCGCACTGAAAGCCACCATATCTCTCCCTAATGATGCAGTGCAGTCCTGCTCTGCGACGACCATCTCTCCGCCGGACTCGATAGCATCACCCTCCACGGCGGCCTGCTCTTCTGGCACGATTCCCACTTCACGCAAAGACAGACATCTCCACTCCACCGCACCTCCTTGCTGGCTCTTCCGCCTCGCCGAGGTCGCGCGTCACGTCTCGGGGGCCATCCGCATGCCCTCACTACCACCGTTCACCATGTCAAGATCGTCGGCAACTGCGATCCCGGGGACGCCGAGAGTGATCTCCCCTTCGCCGACGCCTTCTGAGACCCGCGATGCGTCGCAAGATGGATACTTTGGGCCCGTAACGAGATCTGCGCGGAGGAAGAAGGCGGCAGCGGCTTCTGCGATACACATCGACGAGGGGATCGATGAGGATGACAAGGATCAGGATCTCGAGCCGAGGAGGGCCAGGACCAAGAGTCGAAGTCCCATGAGAACGCGGACCATCTCAGGCCTCACCTCTGCGAAATCAGCCGCGAATGCGAAGCTCCCTACGTTGGTAGAAACCGGGAAAGAGAATGAGAACGGGCACGCGGCTACCCTTGCGCCTGCCGCCAACGGGCACCTCTCGCCCATCGCGGCGCAGGGTCCGGGTTGGAGCTGGAGGGATCTCAGTCGGAGCCCGAGTCCGCTGGGCTTGATCCCCATCCACCGACAATGGCGCTCATTTGTGCACCGACACGAGGTCCCGCGAAAGGTGCTGCACGTATCAATCGGATTCTTCACTCTCTGGTTCTACGTCTCGGGTCTTCAGACTAACGCTATCACACCTTATCTCATGTCGGCCCTGATTCCCATCGCTGCGACAGACTATCTACGACACACCTACCCGTCCCTCAACCGCTTCTATGTCCGACTTCTCGGCGCTCTGATGCGCGAAACCGAGTATGCGGGATGGAACGGGGTCATCTGGTATCTGCTCGGTGCCTGGATCGTTCTCTTCTTCTTTCCCAAGGACGTCGGGGTGATGGGAATCCTCCTCCTCAGCTGGTGTGATACCGCCGCGAGTACCATCGGACGGGCGTACGGCCATTACACGCCGCGCATCAGGCGCGGCAAGTCGTTGGCCGGGTCGCTGGCTGCGTTTGCGGTGGGCGTGATCACTGCGGCCTCGTTCTGGGGGTGGTTGGCCCCGCGAACCGGACCCTTTGTTGACGATGTCAACTGGCCGTTTATGTTTCAGGGGACGTTGTCCCTGGGCCGTTTTGGCTTGAGCCAAGCGAGCATTTCCGGGGGATGGGCATTGGGGGTTATGAGTCTCTGGACCGGATTTATCGCGTCGGCGAGCGAGATGGTGGATATCTTTGGATGGGACGACAACCTGACGATACCGGTGCTCAGCGGGATTGGGATGTGGGGGTTCCTGAAGATCTTTGGCTAGATGGACCGGAGTCATTCCTCGCGGGGGTCCGGATCGTCGCGCTACGAGGGCAACCTGGCCGGCACGGCGTTTCGGTGGCACAAGGTTAGTCGCGTGCATTAGATGAAGCTCGAAAATACATGAATCATGAAAGGCCTCCTATCCCCGCTCCCGCTCCAGATGATTGTTCGGCGCAGCTTACCAAGCTGATGTACTGGTGGGCAGGGCAGAGCAGGGCATGGCCAAGCGGGGGGTTTCCTGCCGGGTAGCAGGTGCAGAAAAGTGTCAGTTCGTTGTTGATTGCCTTGCAGGCCTTGGGCAGCGGTTTTGGTACCACACCGGACCACACCGGACCACACCGGACCACATTGCACCGCAGCAATCGGTCAGTCAGTCAGCGAGAGAGAGGAAGAGAGTGAGTGGGTGAGAGGGTGGGGTGGGTACAGGCGAAGCGTTGGATGGACTTGCCGGTGGTACTGTTACTTCGATCCTTGACCTGCTCTTACCCACGTGATATGTGGTCGTAGTCGTCGTAGTCGCAGTCGCAGTCGCAGTCGCAGTCGCAGTCGCAGTCGCAGTCGCAGTCGCAGTCGCAGTCGCAGTCGTAGTCGTAGTCGTAGTAGCAGTAGCAGTCGCAGTAGCAGTAGTTAGTAGTACATATGTTCTATGAACGTCTATTACTATTTACTTGTCCTGTTTCCTATATCTGTTTCTCGACCTGCAGCGAGTTCGTCCTTCACCGTGTACGCTGTAGGCAGCGGTTCCCACAGATCGGTTCGGGGTGGGTGGTTGATAGGGTACTGACTTCGGCGTGCATCTGCAGCCAGCCAGCCAGCCAACCAGCCCGTCCAGACTTTTTTTCCTTCTCCAAAATGCTTTTGACAACGCACCAACTCGTCTCCTGGACTTGGTCAACATGAACTGCATGCCGGCCCAACATATCGTCTTCCACATCCACACCCGCTTCCACTTCCTCCCCTTCCTACCCTCCCCCGGACAGCTCACGTGCATCTGCCCGCTGCTTTTGCCCCGCCCTACGGCCAGAGCCACGGTCGTGTCGTTGCGCGCTTGTTTCGTTTGTTCCACTATCAAAAGAGAGAGAGAGGCGAAGCGACAGAGAGAGGGAGAGAGAGAACTTACCAAGTATCAAGTACCACATACCACTAACTACCACGGACCTCCACGACGAGATCAAAGCCCAATCCAATCCAATTCAATCCAATCGTATCTTCCGGCTCCAGATGTTGAGATCATATGGCATCGCATGGCATGGCATAGCATGGCATGACAGGCTATCGCTATGGAAGCTTCAGTCCAACCCAACCCAACCCAACCCAACCCAGTCCAACCCAATCCCCCTCCCCCCGTTGCCGGCGCCGTTAGCCAGACAGACAGCTCCAGGGATCATCCCCTATCGTTCATCGTCTCTGCGTATCCCTCTCGCCTCCTTCCTCCTCCTTGTTCCGGGGTCAGCAGCAATACGGGCAAGGCGAAGAAGATGCGGTCAAGCCCTTTTCGTCCCCCTCAATGGTTGGCAGCTACTACCCCTTGAGCGAGGTCTAGCGAGTTCTAGCGAGGAGACGGTCTGAAAAGCTATAAAAAGGACGTCGAGGGACCGGTAGGATGCTTCTCCCTTCTCTTTCTCTTTCTCTCTCCTCTTCATCCGTTTGCACCTTCTCCGACTTCTGCCACCTACAAACACTTTGTCTCACAAACAAGAACTTCATCTCCCTCGACACCACTTCTCTCTGCTTCCTTCCTATCCCTTTATCTCCTCTCGGACATCTCTCCTCCCTGCCTCTGCTTGACGTTTGTCTCTTCACATCGTCACTTCACCACACTTCTCGCCATCGCTACAAACCTGGTCCTTGTCATACGAGCTCATCGTCGTTTGCACCTTGCCTCACTCATCATGGCCTACCAACAAGGTTATTACCAGACCACCTCCCTCCCCATGGCCGTCCCCCACAAAGGCCAGCAGTACTACGCTCCTCAGAGCCACCGCTACTCGGTCTCACCGCCTGAAGCCCCCGAGTCAGTCACCACCGGATCCGGCGTGGGCAATTCAGCCTACTCGGCAGCATCCGGCAGCTACGCAGGTAGCGCGAGTGGGGATTACGATGGCACGTCCTCCACCAACGGCGTTGACATGCAAGAGTATATGCAAGACCGCTTTGCCGGCGCTTTTGACCCTCTCCCGCTCGACCGCACTTTGGCTGTTCAGACGCAAACGTGAGTTCCCTCCCCGTCATCCACGCCACGGTCCGAATTCTGACGAGCGCACAGATCAGGATTGCTGAATGCGAAGCACCGAGAACTTCTCGAGTTGCAGCAGTTGGCCCAGCAGCGTCTCGCACGCTCGAGAGCTCGGTTGGCTGAGGGCTACCAAGATGCGAAGGAGGTCAAGAGAGATTTGGAGTGGACACAGAAGCACGTCTCGTAAGCACTCAATCTTTCTTCCCGGAAAACCCAATTCCCAAAAACCCATTATCAGCAATCGTTGTTTCTGTACCCACCTCGCTTAAGGAACCCACCCGAACTGACAACACGCAGCACCTTAAAAACAAAGGCTTCCCGCAAACACCCCAAGGAATACAAGCAGGCCCGCGCACGCTACCCGTCGCCGGAATACTGAACACTTTGTTTTTCTCTCCGCGTCAAGTTTGCGATCTTTCGCTCCCAAAAGTTCTCCTTCCCAATCCGGCAGTCTGTTGTCGTCGTCTTCGCTACCCCTTTTTTTCATGTACATCACTTTCAGCCACACAAGCGAGACCGGGCAGCCATATCCATGCACAGCGGCTCCAGCCGCCTCGCTTCTCTCGCTGCTGCTGCTTTTAGCACCCGCGCGTATCTCACTTTCCTCTTGCCTGCGAGAGACGGGATTGGACGGTCACTCCGCGTGGATGAGTTCCACTGCGGGCGGTCTTGGTGTGCAGCGCAGGCTGCATATCAGGGGCGGGTGTTGCCTGTCGCCTGTGGGGTGGGCAGCTGTCTCCAGGGGTGGTGTTCGGGTCCGGGCAGGGGGTTTTTTCCCCTTTTAATTAAGGGGTCTGCTTTTTATAACAGGGCGTGACTAGGCTCTTTTTGGGTTATTCACGGCTGGATTCTACTCTAGCGTGCTTTTTTTTTTCTTTTTTCGTCCCCCCTCCCTTCCCCTTCCGGTCTTAAGCACTGGAGATGGGAGGCGGGTAGGAGCGATATCCAGATGATTCTAAGCCAGCCATATCCTATCCTTCCCACGTGGTTTTTTACCCTCTCTCTCTCTCAGGTAAGTAAGTATCTAAGTATCCTTTGCTCTAGAATGAGTGAGAGCTGGAAGGCCGTGTGTGTGAGTGGCTCGATGGAGCAGTGTAGTGGGAACGAGAGAATATGCCTTTTTCCAGCATAGATTGTCTCTTTTTTTTCCCCCGCTTTCTAGCTTTCTAGCTTTCTAGCTTCCTAGCTTTCACTGTATCTGGGGCAAAGGGGGAATACAAGAATATAAGGCGGGGAGATGAGGAAGGCAGGGAAAGAAAGAAAGAAAGAAAGAGAGATGATATGCCCTTTTTTAGTCTAGACGCCCGAGCGCCGGCATGAGAGGGGGCGGGAGACTGAGACTGAGACTGAGACGGTGGATGGATGGATGGGGATGGAGTAGATGGAACGGAGAGGAACCGCGCGTGACTTTTCCTAGTTATGTCTTTCTTTCTATGCGTGCGTGCAGGCTGTGCGAGCTTGGACTCCTGTAGGAGGTTACTGTAGTAGGTGGTTTGGTGGTTGGGTTAGTGGGTTACTTGCTGGGTGGGTGGGTAGGTAGACAGGTAGGTTAAGTCTAGGATTGGCTTTGGTAGGTTGGTTGGTGGGTCGGTAGGCTGCTATGGGCTGTATGTACATATGTATATATATACATATCTCCCTCTTTATACACATCTCCCTCTTTACACCATCACCATCACCGTCACCATCAATCGTCCGTCTGTAAGCAAGAGAAAAATATAAGCTTAGAAATCCAATAAGACAGAACAGGGTGATGAAGGGAGAGGAAGAGGAGGAGGAAGAGGAGGAGAAGAAGAAGAAGGGAAGGGGTCATAGGATAGGTGGGTGGAGAGAGGGGAGATGTGACGACATAAGACGGAAGGATGGTGGAAGATCGTAGGGGATAGGAAGATAGGAGGAAATGCGTGGCAACAGGTATTTTCAATAGTTGCTTGGGTGTTGGGTAGGTAGGCAAGTAGGTAAGTAGGCAATTAACAAGGTACTAGTAGGTAGGTTTGTAGAGCCCGGTTAGAGGGAAGAGGGAGTCCGTTAGTGAGTGGGTCAGTAGCCGCTTATTCGTGAACCCTGCACGAAATAACCGAGAACAACCAGTATTTTCTGTATCGCGTCACAGGAGCTGATTCGGTCACTGAAAATTGGCTTACGAAGATGAAGACGTCCTGGGTATAGCTTTTGCGAAAGATTTTCTTCTTCTTTGCTAGCTAATATGCCTCGCTACATTACAGGCCTCCGGAACGCAGAGGCGGAACGCGATTAAGCAAGCTCCAATGTTTGGCTAGCACAAGGCTTTCCCTCTATCACTGAATGAGTGAACAGCTCCAGAGTATCTTTCCTTCATGAGTACTGACCAAGTTGACCCCCGCGACCGTCGCCGAAAGGCAGGATGCTTACGCTTTTTTGTGTTGTGGCATGTTTACCAGTCGGCGGTAGTCTTGTCGCCGGCTCCCCATGAGGCGTCAGCTCCAGGAGCGGCGATGGCCTCGTTAGTGCTGGCGGCCCAGTCACCGGTCTCGGCCTCCCATCCTCCGGCCGGAGCAGAGGTTGCTTGGGCACCGGCGAAGGCAGTAGCGGAAGCACCAGTAACCTCCCTAGAAGCCCAGTCAGCACAGGAATATTGCAAGAGGTATTCAAGAATGGACTTACCAGTCACCACCGGCGGTCGCACCGAATCCAGTGTCGGCAGCTGGGGTCTCCTCAGCCTTGGCCTCCTCAAGAGCCTCCTTGTTCTCTGCTGCGTATTAGCACTGTCTCGCAACTGATATTTACAATGGGCAACTTACCCTCAGCCTCAGGGTCACGGTAGAAGTACAAATCAACCATGACGTCCCACTCAGCCTCACGGGAAGCGATGGAGCCGCGGAGTCTCAGGACCTCACGAGCCAACATCCACCAGACCAAACCAATAGCGTGACGACCCTTGTTGTTGGTTGGGATGGCCACATCGACAAACTCGGTTGGGGAGTCGGTATCGCAGAGGGCAATGACCGGGATGTTGACGTAGGAAGCCTCCTTGATAGCTTGAGCATCGGTACGGGGGTCGGTGACGATGATGAGGCGGGGTTCCTTGAAGGATCGGGTGATGTAGTTGGTGAAGTTACCAGGGGTGAAACGACCAGCAATGGCGACGGCACCGGTGTGGGCTGCAAACTTCAGGACAGCACGCTGTCCGTAAGGACGGGCGGAGATGACACAGATGTCGGCGGGGTTGTCGATAGCTGCGATGATACGGGCTGCGAGCACGATCTTCTCCCTAAAACGCGAATCTCGTCAGCCAGAAACTCCTTGCGCCAAAGCTCCTACATATCTCCAAGCACCCTCGCAGACATCCTCCAAAAGCTGAAGTCCTTCCAGAGCATCCAGTCTCTCCCAGTTTCCCACATACCAGGTCTTGCCAATGTTGATGACATTGATTCCGTCAGGGCGAGTCTTCCACAGATACGGCTCCATGTGAACCTGGAGGTTCTTGGATCCAAGGTGGGCTTGGGCGGACAAGAGCTGGATGGTTTAGTCAGTGTGTGCTTTCATTTGAAATAATTTCGACTTTTCGACGCGCTGCCAGAGACATCGTCGGCGCCCCAAGGGCCTCAAGGGCCCCGAAAAGAACGCGCATTACACTCACCATCTCAATGTCTTGCGAGGTCGCATTGAATATCGGGGGGAGTTGGGAGGGGGCCATCTTTGCGATTTGACCTGTCGGATTCGTCGAGATGGAAGTTGAGGTTGTCGCGAGTGATGAAAGTTGAAAATCGTTGTGGGATTTCAAAATTTCGTGATGCCATAAGCGAGAAGCGGGAGCTTTGCCGGATTGGGTCGCTAGCTCATCTGATAGAATGGCCTGGCAAATGAGGCTATAATAAAAGTTGGTCCAAGCGCCGACAAGTAAATTGAAGATCATGAAATCCATGAATATGTCTTCGGAGGGGACGACCAATACTCAACGCCGTAAATATGCCTCCTCGAATACCTACTGCTTCGCGCCTCGGGGCCTTCAGTAGTGAGCTATATAAAACCTTGATTTGCGAATTCTTGGCTAATTCCGTGCCAGCATGCTTCCGAGCATCCCCCAACGCTCAACTCCCTATTACCTCTGTTGCCAATGTGACTACAATGGCACAAAGGAGGAAATACAAAGACCCATACGCACTGGCCCAAGGAAAGCAGAGGAAGGACGCAAATTTGTCACGGCAGGCAGAGCTTCAGGAGCAAAGGAAGGCAGCATTAGGAGACCCAGTCCGAGGCATCACCACACCATTTCTCGAATCGTTCGACGACGTCGGAGCATCTCTGGCCGCCAATGATTCAAAATCTACGAGAATAAACGGCGTGGAAATCAAGACCGCAGGCAATGTCCTTCTCAACCATTTCCTCACAAAATCCGAGCTCGAAGCCTCCATCAAGCACTCCCAAGCTTTGACCGAGCCAGTGGTGGCCAAAATACGAGATTTCGCAGACCCAGTGCAGGAAGCTGAGCAGAAGAGGAAGCACGAGGATGGACATGCCAATGCCGTTACTGCTTTGGCTAGGATTGTCAGTCTGACTAATGCAAGTCAGAAGGACAAGACGAGAGCGAATATTGTGAGATGCATTGAAACCTTTGGACGACACAGGACGGAGAAATTTTTGAAACCAAGGCCATCACCGAACCCTTCATCATTGGGAGAAAAGCCGCTGCCGCAGAAGACACCTAGAGCCGGGCCTGATACGGGGAGCTCGGAAGTCCAGGTTGCCATCTTGACGGCGAAGATCAGAGTTCTGGCTAACCAGCTTGAGATGAAGGGTGGGAAGAAGGACAAGATAAACAAAAGAAATTTGCGCGTTATGGTCCACAAGAGACAGAAGCATTTGAAGTATCTACGAACGAAGGAGCGCGGTGGCGAGCGATGGCAGCACTTGATCGGCACTTTGGGATTGAGCGAGGGAACGTGGAAGGGCGAGATTAGCTTGTAAGCTTTTGCACATCATATACCACCCAGTAACTGTATGATAGGCATGCGATCCGTAGAAAATAATTTGTACAAGCAATACCATGGTCTCCCTGCGCCAACACCACGTATAGTAACAGCAACAAGCCCCGCAGAGGCAGTTGGACAGAATGAGTATCGGAACATGCTATTCTAGAATACACTGATGTAATTACCAATTCTGTCCTTTTGGTTTTGTGCTATGCACTCGGCAATCCAGGTGATGTTCCGAATTTCCTGGGTGACATTAGCGATATTTTGGCAGTAATGTATTTCCGACGTACCTGTTCTCTCAACTTTACCCAAGCATAGACAATTGCAAGTGAGAATTGTCTCGTGAACGCACTCTTCGAGATCTCCATCTCCTTTTGGTAGAACATATCTTCCAAGCTCTTTCCATCACCACCAACACCGCCACTCATGTTTCCTGCTCCGGTGCTAGCTTGACCCAATCCGGTAGCCTCAAAGTACCCTTTGTAGTCACTGACCCCATCAACAGCCAGTCGGACACCCTCGATATCATCTGCTCTGGAGAGCATGAATGATCCCTCAGGATATAAGCGGCCAAAAGATGGATACAGCTTCTTGCGATCGCCTTTTGATAGCTCAGTTCCGAAAGAGTTCAGAGTGATGTTGATAGCTCTTCGATCCGCTTCGAACTCTAGAATCTCGGTCATAACCTCAGCCGTGGGTGTGCCTGCCATTTCGGGGTCCGTGTTCACGAAGTTGTGGAAGTCCTCCAAATAGTTCTTGTACAGGGTGTTTCGGACAATCTCGATGTTCAACTCGTCCAAATCTTGGTGGCTCAAGCTACCCTTAAAGTAAGGCGCAAGCGGGGTCTCGATCAGGACACTGTTATACAGCTCCTCGATGTTTGTCGCTACGCAGAGAACGGGCATAGTCTCAAACCAACCCAGCGGATGGCATCGCTCCAAGAGCTCCCGGGTATCTCTTTCGTGCAAGGTTCCCGTAATCAGAAGAGCGACGTTATCGATCATGTAGCCATATGTGAGATAGTCCATGAACTTCGCCAGTGATCCAACTGCATTGGAGCGTACGTATCGAAATTCGGAGATCAGTTTATCAGTCGTCTTCGCTGCGAGGGTAGAAGTCGAAGGGTTGGGTGGTAGTGACGCAAGGAAGTCGCCGTATGCTGGACCGAGTTGAAGCTTCAGATCTGGTATGCCATTCAGTCTGCGTTCCACTGGCTTTGCCAGCTCTACTGACCATCAATCGTCTCGCATTGTATCAGGTTGTTGTAATTCTGGCCGGTCAGGAGTCCATTTCTGTATCCGCGTACGATACCCTCGATGTAACTGCGATTCATCAGTGCAATCCTTCTCGCCCACCCGAAGCTTCTTACCCGTTGTTGACATTGAAGAAAAGGCCTTCCATCTTGTAGATAGCTTCACAATCGTTGTCTGGGCTGGCTGGTTGTGAAAGTTCTGGTCGGAGCTGCCTGACCTCATGGCACACAACGAGGCACATGATCAGCGTTGGGGCTAAGCCACTTCCGCGTTAGGCCTCCCGCTCAAAATTTCACAATTCTAAACCGATAAAAAAGTTCGTCCGGGGCTCGTCTTCTAACCTCAAGTATTTTTTCCCCGCCAACAATTACGGTTTCGAATACCTTCGCGCGTCAAGATGGGCTTGTTTGTTCTGAGCGAGACGTCTGCGGGTTTTGCATTATTCAAGGCCAAGGACAAGCACATCCTCAAAAATGATTTCTCGGATGTGGTTGAGACCGCTGAAGGACTCAATGCGCTGTAGGTCCCAATTGACTTGCAAAGCACGGGTCACGACTAATTAATTTCTCATATAGCCTGAAGCTGAAGAAGTTCGAGAAGTTCGACAGTGCAGCAACTGCCCTCGAGGAAGTCGCAGCATTGACCGATGGACGAGTCTCGACCATGCTCGCCAGTCTTCTCGACACCCTTAAGGATGAGAAGAAGGCATCTTTGGCTGTGGCAGACCCCAAGCTTGCCCAGGCGATCAACAAACTGCCAGGGCTCTCCATCAAACCTATTTCGGACTCTACCACAAACGACATCTACCGTGCGATCCGTGACCACCTACCTTCTCTCATCCCCGGCCTCGGACAGGAGGCCATCTCCACAATGGCTCTCGGTCTTTCGCATTCGTTGTCGCGTCACAAGCTCAAGTTCTCTCCAGACAAGGTCGATACTATGATCGTTCAAGCTATAGCGCTTCTGGACGACTTGGATAAGGAGCTGAACACATACGCCATGCGAGTCAAGGAATGGTACGGATGGCATTTCCCCGAGATGGGCAAGATTGTGAACGACAATTTAGCCTACGCTCGTATCATTATCAAGGTTGGCATGCGCGCAAACACCTCGAACACCGACCTCTCCGACATCTTGCCAGAGGAGATCGAGACTGCGATCAAGGCTGCCGCCGAAGTTAGTATGGGTACTGAGATAACTGAGGAGGATTTGGAAAATATCAAGCTCCTTGCCGAGCAAGTGGTTGGCTTTACTGAGTACCGCCAACAGTTGTCGCAATATCTCACCGCTCGTATGGCCGCCATCGCTCCCAATTTGACCGAGATGGTTGGAGAGTTAGTTGGCGCAAGACTGATTGCCCACTCGGGATCGCTGATGAACCTCGCCAAGAGCCCTGCCAGTACCATCCAAATTCTCGGAGCCGAGAAGGCGCTTTTCAGAGCTTTGAAGACGAAGCACGACACACCGAAGTACGGTCTCATCTACCACGCCTCTCTCGTTGGCCAGGCCACAGGAAAGAACAAGGGTAAAATTGCGCGTATGTTGGCTGCCAAGGCTGCTATTGGTCTCCGTGTCGATGCTCTTTCAGACTGGAGTGCGCAAGGAGAAGGAAAAGGTGATGATGTTGATGACGAGGAGAGATCTGCGCTTGGTGTCACTTCAAGGGCCAAGATTGAGCGCCATCTCCGGGGACTAGAGGGTAAGCCGCTGCTGCCCAGAGGTGTTGCTGTTGGACCCAACGGAGCTGTTACCGCTCCTGGGAAGTGGGAGGTCAAGGAGGCGCAGAAGTACAATGCCGATGCCGATGGACTTGCTGGTGACGAGCCTGCCGCTGCCGCTCCTATCTCCGAGAAGAAGTCTAAGAAGGAGAAGAAAGACAAGAAAGAGAAGAAAGAGAAGAAAGACAAGAAGGAAAACAAGTCCAAGGTTGAGGAGGCCAAGAAGCCCTTGATCGAGGAGGTGGCTGAGGAGTCAGACCCCGATGTGGAGATGGCAGATGTCAGCGCCGATCTTAGTCTCCCAGCACCTGACTTGAACGGTACCAAAGCCAAGCCAGTCGCTCAAAAACCCAGGAACGCAAAGGATGACTCGGATGCTGAATCTGATTCCGATGCTGGAGAGGAGTCCGGCAACTGGCAATCATCTATCGTTGACAACACAATTCAAGACAAGAAGGCCCGCAAGAAGGAGCGTCACGAGCGCAAGCTGGCCAAGGCCGAGAAGAAAGCAAAGAAGCAAAAAGCGGACGATGCAGAGGCCGAGATCGAGAAGCCCGAGAAAAGATCAAAGAAGCGAACGGCTGATGATGCTGAGGTCGATGTCGAGAAGTCCGAGAAGAAATCAAAGAAGCGGACATCGGACGCTGCCGATGTTGAGAAGTCCGAGAAGAAGAAGAAGAAGAAGAGCAAGAACTGATTGTCGTCATGACTTTCCTTTTTTGTATCATATTGCTTCTCATGATGTCCGTCCCGGCGTGTTAGGATGGGATGTTCAGAATGGCGTTTCGGTGGATTAACATGACCAGAGTAGTTTTTCCTCTTTCGGGAGAGCTCAATCTGTGGCGCTCTCTGTCTGGCTTGCATAAAAATTATATTGCGGAAGAATTGCATACATTTCCAACTTTGAGTCTTGCCATGCTAATGGTCATTTCATGATCCCGTTGCTATGTGCTTTTATTTACTTGCATGAGATCACTGGTCCCGTAGCCAATTGTCTGCTCACAACATGTTGTTGTCTTGATGCCTATGATTCTTCCTCTAGGGCTAGAGATCAGTATTTGACTAAGCTGAGAACATGCCTTTGCTGAGACTTGGGACGCAGAGAGCTGGAATGCGAATGCGAATGCCAATCTCTGGTGAAGCAGTCGACTTATGCACCTGTGAGTCTCCTGCTAGGCTAGCATCCATTGTAAAAAATTAGATGTGTGTATTGGGTGTTGAAATTGCCTCAAATGAATATGCTCTGATTGAGAAATTCAAACCCGCGCTTTTGTACTTGCAACAGTGTCACAATTCCTCTGATGGCCTAAAGCCACCCAAAATCGAAGAGCAATCGGGGTATATCCTCGCCATGTCCGCATTTCCCTCTTCTGTCAGTCGTTCTTTGCACGAATTCAAGCTCTTTGCCCACCGGAATACTCAAGCCACGATCCAACAGGCTTCAAGCCCTTCGCCTTCTCCAGAGCCTCCCAAGGATTCGTATTGAAAGCCGGGTCATAATATTCCTCATACCATCTTCCTTCCCTCTGACCTCCACGACCTCCCCGTTGTCTACCTCCACCCCTCGAGCTTCCCGCTTCACTCCTCCCTCCCCACGAACTGCCTGCCTCGCTGCCTGCTCGTCCCTTACCACCTCTCCCCCCTCCAGCTGCGCCCTGCATCAACGTCGCATCGGGACTGGTGCCGAATGCAGCCCTGCTCGGTAAAGTCGCGTGCGGTGGAGGCATTGCACCCGGTGTTACGGATGAAGCATAGGGACGTTCCACGTCGTTACTCGGCGGTGGTGGAGCGCTGTCCATACTCGCAAGTATGGCATCGATCCGTCTCTGCATCTCTGCTTTCTCGGCATCGGATACCACGTCCTCCACCCCAGCCGCCGCACCCGTTGCTCCAACGTGGACCGCCTCCCGGTCTGCCCCCTGTGTAACGACCGGCGCAACCTCGCTCGTATCCATATACCGCGGCCCATCACCACCAGAACTCTCACTACTGCCTCTCAAGCTCCTCTCCACCGATACCCGGACTGGCTTCCTCCTCGCAGTTTCCACCACCTCTGGATGATCCTCCTCCTCCTCCTCCTTATCATCAAGCGCGATTTCGTCGTCATTCGCCTTCGCTCCTGGTGGTTGCGCCTCGCTCTTGACCCCAATCGTCCTTGTTTTACCGAGCGGGATCGTGTTACCGCCACTTCCTGTCCCCTTCTTCCCACCGCGGTCCAGTTTCTCCAGCGCGTCGCCTTCGACAAAAGCGTCGGTCGAGGGGTTGAACTTGCGTTTTTTGGCAGCGGGTTTCTTCCCGCCGAAGGAGCTGAAGCCCATGGCGGCGGCCATGGCGGCGCCTTCGGGGTCAGAGTCGGGGTCAGAGTCGGGGTCGGATGCCATTTTGGTAGCGAGAAGAGGTGCCGAGGGGGGTGTGAGGGGGTTTGGGATTTTTGGAGGGTTGGGAGGGAGTGAATAATTGGGCAAGGCTGAAGTAGAGCCTTGGAGGGAGAAAGCTGTATGCGAGCTGGGACCGAGTGGAGCTACCTAGTAACCTACTTGGCGCGCTCACAGACGACGTCTGGACAGCGATCTGATCTGCGATAGCGTCGTCTTTCCCTTGCCTGTGAAATTAGGAGTCCAGAGCTAGGTGCTCTACAATGGAGCCGTGTCTTGCACTTCTGTTTATCATAACTTTCGAAATTTTATTTCAAGGGTATGCAGTCGTACTTGGCCAGCGTCAGAACTTCGAGCTTGGGATAAGTATTTGAGTATTGGACCTAAGGCGCCTCCTGGATTCACAGCTAAGTATGCTGGCCGGCCTATAGGTTAGTCCATGACTATGGCTGAGATATGCTTCATACGATCATTGCCGCTCACGTCTCCGGGTTCCATCGTGGCGTGGTAACTTCAAGCTACATACACACCAGTGATGAAGTCTGAAGCTCCTATGTTTCAAGAAAGAAACATGGCGTCCGATATTCAACATTTTGAATACTTAAATTTCAATCGCGACATCAATCTCAACCTCATCATCATCATCGTCTCCGCGATACATCCTCCTTGTTTTCTTTTCCCCACCGCACCTATATCTCCACTTGAGCTTCCTACACACCTTCCAGGTCCAGGTCCTGGAATCTATCTAGAAATCCGGCGCTGATCGCCTGAAACGCTTACTCCGGCGGTACATCTCGTTTGCATATATACTACGATCCTGCCATGGGGTATTCAGAGGAACGGAAGAGGAGGGAGGGGGGCTAATGTAAGGTGTGAATGAGGCTTCGGTGTACAAGGCCGTGTCTTCTCACTTCACCATCCCCCTCCCCTGAGTCTACGCGAGATAAGCGAGCAGATGCCACTGTAACAAGAAGTGGATGGGGCAAGGCGTAAGTGAACTGAACTACAATCCTCCGCTCCCTGCACGATCCCTCCCAATAGTATTACGAGGCACTTCCTTATTGAGAAAAAATTTTGTTGGTATGCGACTTGCTGTTATTGAGTTGGTTGGATCGTGAATCGGCCGACGGCTTTCTCTATTAGTCTTATGGGGTTGAAGTTGGTGGCGCACTGCGATGTCAAAGACCTAGCTACACGTAAGCGTGTTCGGCAGATTGTTATTGAGCAGCTGAGGGGGGGGGGGTTAATTAGAGCTGAGAGAGCTATGAAGATATAGCCAACGCACATGAACTGAAGTAAGTCTGAGATCCGTCCACGGCAGGTAGGATATATAGTGAGCGCCATGCCCTATATCTATCCAATTCCCGTTCACTATCATTCTAAGAACACTACCTATTTCGCCGGCGCTCGCTAAAACCATTTCTTCTTTACACACTGACTTATCCACGGTTGCCCCAGGACCGGACCCTGATTCCCGTCCCGACTCTCAGAATAACGGCTTCCCTTATGTTTGTTTCTCTTGTCATCTGACTGTTTCATCGCCTAGGTCCTCCGAGGAAGCTCTCACTCCCGCTCTCCAAGCCACCTAGTGGCATAGCACCCTTCATCTCCTCCCTCCTCCCGATGATCGCTCCCGGATGTACCACGTTGAAGACCACCATGACGCCGAGCATGAGGGCCGCATCGAAAATGTAGATGTACACCTCGGTGCTCATCAACTTGCCATCGTGGCCCCCCGCAAACTCGAAGATGCGAAAGACGGACCGGATGAAGATCAGGAGGCTCGCAGCGTAGAGGGCGTACATGTACTTCTGCCACGGCGCCTCCAGCGCGGCGATGGTCGGGGAGGTGGTCATGCGGCGGTGGAATATCATGGAGGTGATGACGAAGAGGCCGAAGAAGAGGATCTGGAGGACGAGGCCGATGATGACCAGGTTCTTGCCGAGGGCCTGCCGGTCGGCGCTTGCCATCATGGAACCGCCTGTTTAGCGGTTACCTCTCAGTCGTCGCTCTTGGCAGTAACATTTTCATCTCATTTCATTTCACTTCACTTGGATCTGCCAGGGTGGTCTCAGGGAGGAGGGAGAACGTACCGCCGGCCTGCACCAGGAAGCTGAGAGCATCACCCGCCACGAAGATCTTTGTTAACAGGCTCGCTCTGATGGGCGCCATGCTCTCCCCTTGAGTGTATAGGATCAGCCGGCCGAGCACCATGTAGATGCTCGCTGCGAATAGCGAAGGTGGGAGGAGGAGGAGCAGGGTCTGCGTGATGAAGATGCCCTTGCTGTCCATGTTGTAATGGGCGAGGATGCGGGTGATGTAGCCGATCCATTCGAAGAAGCCACCGACGATGAGGGGGATGAAGAAGAAGGTACGTTTGCGGAAGGCTTGCAGGCAGTGGAAGGCGGTGGTGACGAGGAAAAGGACTGTGAAGATTGCAGCAGCTGGGACGGAGGGGTCGTATCTGAGATGGTTAGAAGAAGGGCGTTGAGGAAGTGAGTGAGTGAGGAAGGGAGGGAATTGTACTGGTAATAAGCGAAGGCCTTGTGAGGTGCTGTGCTTGCTGATGCTACTGCTGTTGCAGATTGGGTAACTGAAGGGAGGGTTGAGGAAGCCATAACGAAGTCCGAATAATCTAGCAAACGCAAACAGGTAGAGAAAGATAGGTAGAGAACAATAGAGAAGCCAGCGAACAATTTCGGGAGACAAGCGATGCGCGATCCCTTGACCAAGGGGCAATCCGCTCTACTTGTACTTGCCATCCAAACATAAGTCTAGGGGTGCATCGGATAACACAGCCTCCTCTGATAAGTATCCATTATCCATTATCCTGTCTCACCCTCTATCTGGACAGCAGACCAGAAGAAACCTGCAAGCGAGATGCCGGCGTCAGACTCGGAATGCAAAACATGACCCAGTAGAAGACAATGCAAGAACGTGTTGGCCGTTTGGGCTTGGCACTTGACCGACCAACATCAATTGAAATACTCGGTGAATCGCTTCTGTTCCTCCAATCACCGAGTCTCTCGATAGGATTTGTAGCACGTTGGTGAGAAGGTGGAGGGACAGAAGGAGAGAGGAAGAGGAGGAGCTCGAGCTGGGCCAGGCGGTCCACCACAACAGCCGAAACTCGGTATATTGAGCGGAAGGCCAAGAGGACAAAGGCAGCGGCGGGTAAGATGATATGCAGCGTTCCCGAACGCTTCACTCCGAGATTTTCTGTTTCTTTTTGGAGTTTGTCTTTGTCGTAAGGAGGCTGAGCGGATACGTCGAGGCGATCCGTGGGGTTTCATGCAGGAAGTTAGGTACAATCAATAGCATCATTTTAGTACTGGATAACGGCTGGCAGCTTCTTGATCGCCTTCTGGTGTGCCGTTTGGGGAATGCAGGTCGTGGAAAGAAACCCACCCTGTAGGCTGGAGAAGAGTTCCGATTACATACATTGTTATTAAGCGGCGAAAACATTAGCGGTACGTTTTTTTATAGACTGCATTTTGTTTATGTAATCAATTCTAAAGCACATCTCGATATACTTATACCTATACCCATAACTATACCCATAAACGAACGAACAGAACATACTGTACTATATTGTATTGTACAAAACAGTGATCTCTCCTTTGTCCACCATACTACATAGATCCCCAGATCCCCACTCATCTATCATCGTTCTACCCATCCATATCCACACGCAGAAAAAAACGCAAGCACACCTCCCGGCCAGCCAGCCGATATATCGTACATCACTCTCCCTTGTTCTCAAAAGAACCCAAATCCTCACGCTTGACCTCCATCATCCCGCCTAAGCTCAGCTAGGCCCCCCCGCCCTCTGACTCTCTCTCAGCTCCCTCTCCCCCAGAGCCAGCCCCGGAGCCAAGCCCAAGACTCTGCTGGACACCTTCCCGGACATCACACTCCTTCATCACAACATGTACCACCTCATCCCCATCTCCGTCTTCACCCTCAACCATGAGCCCATCCACCTCCTCCTCCTGCTCTTCCTCCTCATCATCATCCTCCAAGCTCGTCCTTCTCTTCGCCTCTGTCGTAACACTCAACCTCCTTGTCCCAAACCCCTTTCCAAAGCCCCGGCCGAAATCTGGTCTCCCATTCCCACTTCCGTACGCCTGGCCATGACTCGCCTCGACGTCCCGGAAGGACTTGACAGCGTGGCCGTAACCGCCATCGCTGTCATCGTCATCGCTGCTGTTGCTGTGACCATCATCGCTCTGTACCTCGTCGGTGTTAGCAAGCGCTTCACTACTCCCACTGCCACCACCACTACCACTACTGCCACTCAAGTCTCCGCCGCCATCATCGCTGTCTCTGGTACTTGTGCTCGTGCTCTTGAGCTTGAGCTTGGGGGAGGTGGCGCCAAAGGGCCACATTGAGGGAAAGCTCTTGCGTCCGAGCCCGACGCCAATACCAAGGGAGACGGGGGAGGGGTGGAAGGTTGTGGAAGGGAGAATGACGAGTGTGTTTGCTTGTGCTTGTGCGTGTTTCTTTCCCACAGCAACACCACCAGCGCCAATTTCCCTTTCCTGATTTTCTTCTTCCTCTCCTTCCACTGATGAGGATGACGACGAAGTGACATGACGTGAAGTTGGGGCTGGATGTGAGCTTGGTATATGGGTATATGCATGTGCAGGGGCGGAAGAAGACGTAGACGCGTCGGAACGAGGAGCATCGAAATCAGTGCTGGGGAAACCCACATTTCTTCCCCCTTCCCCTTGCCCTCCCCCTCCCTTGCCCTCCCCCGCCAGCAAGCTGTGCGAATCCACACCACCGATGCTAAAATCGCCCTCATCTCCATCAGAGTCATCATCATCTTCATCGGTCGCGAACGGGTTCAGGCTCCTCTGATGCTCCTGCTCCCCATCTCGATCTAACTCACCGCCGCCGTTGGCAGCAACCGCATCAGCGTTCTGCTTGCTATGCAAGGCGAGGCGAGCAGCGAGCTGGCGACGCGCCCGCGAAGGCGGGATGTTGAGGGGAGGGGGCGGTGGTGGAGGGGCGGATGGCGGCTCGAGGTCGGAGGTGGTGGCGGTGGTTGTGGATGGCGTGGAGATGTAGCGGGAGAACTAGTGCAGTTGATCTGTTAGTAAAAGATTTTATACAGTGCTACGTTTCTGGTACTGGTGATTGTAAACATGAAGATTCACAACTATAAGAAGGCACTGAGCTGAGTCCCGCGCTCAATGGAGCAGGGCTGTTCGAAAAAAAACTGTGGTGGATTTTTGGAACCGGCTCAAGTCTCCCGATATTGACAAGAACGCCAGACCAGAAAGCGGCCACAATGAGAAGAAGGAAAACAGACGATGCCCCAGAAACCCCGAAGCAACATAATGTACAAGAAGACAAACACACACAAGCAGAGCTCGGTTTACTCATCGCGGACGCTGCCCTCGGGAAACAAGGGGGTCTCGCGGTCGAGCTGCTCCAGGTATTCATAATCGACTTCTTCGTCGTCAAACTTGTTAAGATTGGGAGCTGGAGGAACAGATTGACCCACTTCAGCTGCGCCACCACCACCACTTCTGCTTCCTTCCTCATCGTTGTCATCATCCATCTCGTCGTCTTCTTCATCGCTCGAGCTTCCAAATCCACTTAGGAGAGTTCCGCCGCTGAGTGTGAATGTTGATGTGCCGTTACCGTTTGCGAGGTCGATACTGTCCAGCCCAACCGAGCCATTGAGGCCTGCATCTGCTAGTGCGGATGAAGCTCCGCCGAAGTTACTTGCCGCGTTGACTGCGTTCATGACTGCTTGCCGCGGTCCAACTGACATATCGGGTCTGACTCCACCAAGAATGGCATTGTCTCGTTCTCTCGTTTCCGCAAGAGTGACCTCTACGTACGTCACCCACTCGCCGTTCATAACCTTGTCCAATACAGAATCCGATAGCAACTCGGGCGGATGGCGTTCGGTGAATTTGACAACCTCTTCAGCGATGAGTGTAAGGTGGCCCATGTACCCTAATCGCATCCTGCTCTTGGCTTGTGCCTCGTCACTCTTCTTCTGCCCATCCACAATGCGCATTGTGATGTCTCCAGTCTCGAAAAGGTCAATAGCTAGGGATCGATTGAAGCCACGGTCCATAGGCCCATTAAATACTTGTTGTACAACGTCATAGACGACATTATGGAGAAAGTTGTTCCAAGGGAATCGAAAGAAGAAATCCTGCGGAGGTTAATAAGAAAATTTTCCAAATTTCCGTGCAGACCTACTAAAATTGTTGGAACAACTTTGTGCTCAACAAATTGCATCTTGAGGAAGTCACCCACAACTGGTGCTGCTTGTGCATCTTCTGGTAAAGATTGATGACTGTGTTCATCGGTGTTGCCCATCAAGATCGAATCGGAACTATCACCAGCTTCTCCCATGGTCGTGTCAAGACTTTCCATGCCCTGGTTCACTTCAGCCGTGGGAGGTTGGACTGAGTCCTCTACAACCTCGGCCTTCTTTACAGACAAAGGTGCAGGCTTGTCCTCTGGATGTGCCACAGATTCCATTGCGTCTGTTACTGGAGTCTCTTCTGCTGCCGGTGACTCATCTTCAGCTGGCTTCTCTTCTTCCTTAGGAGGGCTGTCAGAGGACTCCTTTGGGGACTCGGGTGAAGGTCTGCTTAGACCAGTGGTCGAAGCTTCGCTCTCTCCTGTGTTCGTGTCAACCGAAGGGGGTGTGGAGTTCATGGTTGTGTCTTGATGAAGTTCGAGCAAGTCTACTCGTTGAGAAAGCTCCTTGGTAGGCGAAAGAGGCATCACTGCCATCTCGGGATCATCCAGGTGGGGCGTGTAATCGGTTTTTAATCGGGGAGAACTCAGGGGCTCGTCAACAAATTCGTCGTCATCCTTGTCCATAAATGAGAGGGGCGTAACATTCGTAGTAGGGGTAAGAAGATCCTCTCCCGGCTCGGGCTTTTCATCAAAATCATCCTTCGCGTCATCCCCGAGATCCGCTGCGTGAGTGACCTCCTCAAATCCATCATCATCAGACGCATTCTGCACTTCCAGCTTTCTTGATCCGTCCGGTGACCCAAGACGAGTAAGTATTGAGGATTTCATCGTTAAGTCATCACTCGAAAGCCCAGATTGGCTTCCGGAAGTTCCCAGCTTGCCTTCAGCCCTCAGTTTTTCTCTCTCCGCATCCCGATTCCTAACAAATTCCTCGCTACCTACCTCGTTCAGCAAGCCCATATTGCTGCAATGTAGGAGCTCCGCCATCAATTCACAAGTCTTGAACCTGTCGAAGCCCAGAGGCTCGATCTTGCCGCCGAAGGCTGCGTTCAATTCCTTTCTTCTAATAGTAACTGGGCCATCTCCACCTCCAATCGTGTGATTGGGGCTCAAAATCAGCTCCATGAAATCCGGAACTCGTTGAGCGAACATGCGGAGCAGCGTACCCAGATATATGGGGTCCCGACTCGAAGGGGTCGGATTGGCTTCTACACCAACATCTGGGTCGTAATCGGAGTTGTTCTTCCTGATAACTTCGATAACGATACCCACTCCCACAGTAAGAGGATTGCCGCCCTTAAGCATATCAGAAATCAACTTCTCGACACAAGATTGGGAGACGAGCTGACGCGTTAGTTCGTTCGGACCTATACAAGACTGCTCGTTTTGGGAAGCATTTGCGGAAATGGTGATGATGGCTTTCATAAAGTCTCCTGCGGATGTTTGGGTCGCCCATGAGTGCTCGGAGGACAAGAAAGAAAGGAGAATCGGCATCAAATCTTGCGAGTGCAGCCACTGCAGTGCGTTGTCAGCAAATAGTCCAAGTTCCTGAGACAGACATTCATACGTCAACAATTCCCTGGCCGCCCTCGGCTTTCTCTAAGCTTATGATCTTCAGAAGCAGATCCATGACCATGGGCGAGTCCACATGCTGGAGCATGTTCTTGACGACTCCATCGAGAGACCTGAAGAGGTCGAGCATTTCCTCCGTCTTCTTGTCGAGCAGAGATTCGTTGACCTTGGTAAAATAGCTGGCCTGGAGAGGATCGAGAGGCGGCGATGACTTCAGAAAGCCCCAGAATTTGCGTAGAAGAGCCTGATTCTCCGGTATCTCTACCAGGGACTCGCTTATCGACCAATTGTCCGAAGACAGAATCTCTGCAGCAACGTAGGCATACCGAGTCCGCTTCTTTTCCCTCTCAGCCCCATCGTCTTCGAGGGTCGATCGGATCGGAGATACATCGCGGTTCTTTCCTCTCGGTTCGAATTCATCCTCTGTGTCCTCCGTAGCCTCGGTATCTGTATCTTCAGCTACCAAAGTCTCGGGCTTTGGCGCTACCACGTATTCCAGCAGCCTCCCCAGAGTCTTGCCCTCACGCAGATATTCCAGGAGCTTTGAGTTGCTTTGCTTGAGCTCCTGTATCAGATCGCTCTCATCCAGCAGCTCCTCTAACGTAACATCGGGCTTGTCGAGAAGAGTATCGATGGCGGAGATGTTGGCGTATCCGCCAAATCGCCAAAACATGTTGACTTATGTGACGGCGCTCGTCCGCCGGCGGTAGTACGGCAGCGAGTCGACGTGCGAGGCGTTTCTACAGACAAAAAAATGCTGGAAATTGATCATGCGAGTCTAACAAAAGTCGTAAGGGTCATTCGGAAGCAGCCAGAATAGGATATGCTGGAGAAGTAAAGGCGGTGTCGCAAAGCAGAAACAATCTATGTATGCTTTGATTATGGTGGTGAGGACGAAAATTCGGTCGCAGAGTGACTGAGAAGAAGAGAGTCAGCTACGATCCATGCCCGAAATGGTCGGATCAAGTAAGGTGAGGTGAGGTGAGGCGAGGAGAGGTAAGGTAGAGTAAGGTGAGGTAATGTAGATAGTGTAGGTACTGATGCCTCAAATGTCCGGCATGCAGCCTTTCGCGAAGCAGAGCGAAGCAAAGCGTTCTGCGCGAGTCGCAATGTGGGGGAAGAGGGGATAGAGCGCAGGCCCAAGGAAAGGGGAAAGAATTAGGACATACGAACAACAATCGAAGACGATGAGGTAGTGTGCTGAGTTGTATTATTATTGTACAGGAGAAGTTCGGGCGGCGGATGGGTGAGGTCGAGCCGGGTGCCTTGAAAGGTGGGAGTGTAGTTGTTGTTGTGGGTGGGTGGGTAGGTACGGTAGGTAGGTAGGTACCGGTAGGTATGGGGGTGATCGGGTCTAGGTTGAGGCTCAAGGGTATCGAGTCGCTTTTGAGGCGCTAACGTGAGCTAGTGATTGGGTATGGGTATCAATATCAAAAAAAAAAAAAAAAAAAAAAAAAAAAAACAATAATTTGACTTCAAAGAAATGGGCATTCTAAACTAGGCTTACAGTGGGATTTAAACACGCTATGCCTTGAGTTCTGATCTGCCTCGTCAAAGGTCGAAATGCTGAATTCCTGAGCTTGATCCCAATGTCCATCCGGACATGGACCCAAAACGTGACATCCCGGTCGGAACCACAGCCTCGTGCCCGCAGCCTTGCCGCTCCGGCAAGGACATCTACGGAGTGTAGAAGCAGACCATCAGGTACGTAGCAATTTACGTATCGATCGATTTACCGACCTACCTTACATCTCCATCCACAGCAAAGCAAGAACAAAGCAAAGCAAAGAAAAACACATCGAACTATACCAAACTACGCCGAACCAAAACAATCCAAAACCACAACCCTATAAAACCACCCTGCGACACTTGAGCCTCGTCGTCTGACAGCCTCGAGGAACGTCAACTGTCAAACGCCTACCCTACCCTATTCCAGCCCACCACGAATTATACCTCCCAGCGCAGTGCGATCAGAAGTACGGCATACTATATCCAAGACCTTCTAGAATCCATCTTGTTAGCTGAGAAAGCCCGTCGTCATACCTCGTGGCACCGTCCGTCCTACCGAGCATAGAGGGGCGACACGATTCGCGCAGACCATCGCGATCCTAAGGCAGAACAAACACGGGATAGAAGAAGAGATATACAAACACCAAGATGAACAGACTCTTCGGTGCAAAGAGCTCAGCTCCCAAACCCAGCCTCAACTCCGCTATCTCAAATGTATTTAATGCTCCTCTCCTCTATGCTTCCGCACCCACCCCATCTAACGTTCCCAGGTCGACGACCGCGTCTCTTCTATCGACGTCAAACTAGCTGCCATCAACGCTGAGCTCACCGGCTACCAGACCAAGCTCTCCAAGATGCGCGATGGCCCGGGAAAGACAGCCATCCGGCAAAAAGCCCTGAAGGTCCTGCAACGCCGCAAGATGTACGAAGCCCAGCGCGACCAACTGCAGCAACAATCCTGGAACATGGAGCAAGCGGGCATGATGCAGGATAACCTTAAGAACGTCATGACGACTGTCGACGCCATGAAGCAGACCAACAAATCCCTCAAGCAGCAGTACGGGAAGATTAATATCGACAAGATTGAGCGCATGCAGGACGAGATGGCCGACTTGATGGATATCGGGAACGACATCCAGGAGAGCATCAGCCGAAGCTATGATATTCCCGAGGATGTAGATGAGGCGGAGCTGGATGCCGAGCTGGAGGCGCTAGGCGAGGAGGCCGAGTTTGAGGGCTTCGGCACCGAGAGTACGCCGAGCTTCATGGTCGACGAGGTACCGCAATTCATCGATGAGCCGCCGCAGAAGGAGGGCCAGGTAAAGGAGGTTGCTGGATAGGGCTTTGGAGGATGACGGTGTGGAGTTCGGAGTTTAGGGCGTTGGGATTCGGATTTCGCATCGACATGTGACGAATACAAATTGAGATTTTCCGACAGAACAGAAGACAAGTCGAGAGTAGCGCAGGGCCTGTAGTCGTGGACGCTGTTCTCTTCTAGCCAGCCAGACCTCTTTCTGATTCTGCTACAGTGAAGCGCTGTAGCTCAGTTAGTACTCCCAGGGAAACCTCGTATTGATTTGCGACTGTGGAAAGGATGACAACATTTTCAAACATCTGAGAATTATTTCACGATGGAACGGGCTTGAAGTAGATCTAGAGCCCACTTTTGAGCATTACGCTGCCGTGAGTGGAGTAGTAAGGGGCATATGACATTGAATGCTCAGTGTAACCTCTTCCGCAGAAACGCACGCTCGCACGGGACTGTTGCTTCTTGCATAGCACTGCATTGTATTGCATTCTATTGATCGATTGCTCAACTAGCCTAGGCAGATAGCTACAGCCGCCCTCTCCCTCCCGGGTCCTTCCTTTTCTTGCGATTCTCTGTCGCATGGTAGGTAGATAGCTAGCTAGCTAACTAGCTATCTCATTTAAGCATTTGAGCTTGAGTACCAGACTGTAATCTCAGCTTAGCTTAGCTGGATTAGGTAGTAAGTGGCTCACCAAGATACATCTGATATCTGATATCTACCTATACATACAAAAGAGGAGGAAGGGAACCACGACAATCGTTACCAACCAACCAACCAGCTCACCTGCTGGCTTCTTTTTTACTTGCTTATCGGGGAGAGGAGAGATAACGCGATTCATAGCAGGAGAAACGATCATTCAGGGTTAAAGCGACGACAGATGATAGACTCAGGTATGCGCTTTACTATATACATTGACTACGCAATTGATTGATTGTTGGTTGTTGAATCTAGAGCCGAGATGATGGGTTGAGGAGATGGATTTGACTGATCCTACTGCAGACGTACGTACGTACATGTACCTTACCAGCGCAGGGTTAGCCGAAAACTCGGTAGCCGCGCTCAGACAAGCATCAACAATCGCAGATAACTTGGATTCTTTGACTGCCTATCGTAGCCTACTAAGAGCGGACTTCGTCGAGGAGTATGGTCGGTTAGATTTCAACGCTTGACTGAACGACAGTGAAATACATCCATGTCTCCTTCCGACTCACATTTGCAGCTCGTACTCAAACGCCGCAAACATGAAGGGAGCTACGCCCTTGAGATCGTTCTGGAAGATCGGTATCGAGACGTAGTACTGCCAACAGTCAGCTAGCCAGCCCGCTTACTGATACGTCGAGCAACAGAGAGACGGAGCAAGGATCCTTACCTCGAAGGTCCCATTCGAGCTCAAACTCCCCGTCTGGACGGCCCAGTCCAGATCCACCCCCCCGTGCGGCTCCGCCTCCGAGACAAACGTTTCCGTCATGAGTGCGTAGCCCTGCAGCGCCGAGCGCTTGTACCTTCCCCCCTTGATATAGCCCAGACGCCGCGCCTTCAGCAGCCCGTACACGAACATGCTGGTCCCCGTGCTCTCGACGTAGTTTCCCGGCTTCCCCTCCCAGCCGGGCGTCATGACGACCCACCAGCCCTTCGTCCGCGGGTCCTGCGCCGCGACGACGGCGTCGGCGACCGACTGCAGGTATCTCAGGAGGCGGGCCCGGCCGGGGTGCGAGGCCGGGAAGTAGTCCAGGGTGTCGACCAAGGCCATGATGTACCAGCCGACGGCACGGCTCCACACGTGTGGCGCCGCACCGGTGACGGGATCGGCCCACACGGCTCTCTTGGAGAAATCAAAACCGTGCACGGGGAGGCCGAGAGTCGCTCTGTGGGACGTGGTGCCCGCGTCGATGAGATCGTACTGGTTGGCGATGTCGTCCCAGGCTGTGGTGTTGCCGTGTTCGAATTTGGATGCCCAGCGTGCGTAGAAGACGTCCAGCATGTAGATCCCGTCCTGAATTTCTGCGGTCAGCTGAGTCGGAACGCAGGAAGGTCTGTCTGTCTGGGCCGTCTCAACAGCGTTTTGCGTACCAGCCACATTTGGTTCACGTAGTCCGGATAGCGATGAAAGAAGCCTCCGGCTGCTGTTCGTCTGGAGCTGTCGATTTGGTCTTTCAGGAGCTGGGCTGCTTGCAAGTAGATATCCTTCCCGGTCGCTTCGTAGATGTCGAGGAAACTATGACCGATGCGAATATCGTCAATCGAGTTGCTCCCGTTGTAGAGGACTATGCTTCCATCCCACGCGGGATATAAAAGCATATCAATCTGGCGATTGACGTAGTCTATCCTGAAGTTTTAGCGCGAGTCTTATTTGTACACGAGAAGCAGCTACGCCCTAGAAGCGAATGCTCTTTAAACACGGAGCTTGTCGGCTAGAGTGCAGGAAGAATTGAAATTGTTCACCCAAGTACTTCGCATCGCCAGTCCGATTATAAGCCAGCATGACACCGGAATAGAAAGCAGAAGTGGTGTATGCATTCGTCGGAGCAACACCTCGCTTGATTTGCGAATCGGCCATCCATGTCAAATACCTCGTTTCCCCTCTGAACTTCTCCTTCTTGATGCTGTCATCAGGATTATAAGTCATCCATGCTCGGGGCAGAGTGATAGAAGCCGATACCCAGGAGGCAAGCAGTGCTGTCCCGAGCAGAAGATGTGACTTCATTTTCTATGACCGAGTGGGAGTGGGAATTTCTCAGCAGCAGAAGGCTAGATGCTGACTCCAGATTCGTCAAGGAAGAGAATAAACGCTCAGCTCAGCCGCGATGTCTATCATCTTGAGGACCTGTTCTCAGGGTAGTAGATATACACTTAAGAAAGAGGGCCACGTACCACCCTCACTTGAATTTTTCCGGCATCGAAGCACGAATCCTCCTCGGTATCTCTAAACTACTATATGTCGAGATCGTGACGCAGATACCCCGCACCCGCGCAGGATCTTCAGCGTTCACAGCTCCTGTATGAGCCACTTGCACCGTCTGGATCGATGTTCCGCTTCTCGTCGCATATTTCTTCCGCGCCAGCTGCTTTCATTCCTGGAAAACAGCTCGGTTAACAGAAATGCTAAGATGCGGTTGGAGAGTCGGAGATGCGAGCTGCCCCGACGGACGATTCTATCGCCGCCGGCAAAGCGAGAGGGAAACTGGATTCACATTCTTCGCCGATAGGTTGGCGTGCTGTGTTGAGGAGAGGTCGTTTGGCCGGTCTTCGTCGTCACTCGGGCATGATTTGGCCGGTTTAACGAGGACCCCAGTTGTCAGCCATGTTTTCCTGCCTGCGAATCGAAGTTCGATCAAATCACTTTGGCATGCCAGCCGGGTCTATAATATTTCCAACTTTCTTGATGCTCTTGATATCTCGAATCGTTAGAGGGATGGAGCGGTGTTGTTTACATGAAGTCACGTGAGACATCGCCTAGTCAGCCGAAAGGGTTTGTAACCTCATCCGTAGTCCTGCGTCTCAACTTGGGCCTGTCGTTGGACATTGTCGTACCTCGCCGCCACCAAGACCACACCTGGATTCGCGGGGATGAAAGCCATCACTCATAGTCAAATCCGAGAATGAATCGTGCAACTTGCCCAGGTCGCCAGCCTTCAACCGGAAGGCCGCGGCCTTGCTCCAAGGCATCCATGCCGTTTGTGATCCGTTCATTCTCTGCTGGGTGGTTCTGCATATGCCCTGCGCCTGATACTGAAGCCGCTGTCATCTGAAGTTTAGTCCGAAGAACCTGGTTATCTCTAGCGTTGGATGGGCTATCCCAAACGTGGCTTGGACTAGGTAAACCAGAGCAAGTACGAATAGAAAGAGGGAAAATTTTCATCCGAAAACAACAAAAGCCTCGAAGGTTAAAGAATGCCTCTGTTGCAGAAACTTTTTTTGTACCAGGGATCCCCATCTCGGGGACAACGTCAACTTTTGCTCTGGACTCGTCTAGTGAGCGAGGCTTGGCTGCCTCACCGCAGCCGTTTCTGTGCCACAAACTGCTATAATCTGAGCATGATGTCCTTGCTTGATAGTTTTGTATATTCGCAGCTGCTCAGCTCAGAATTCCCTTGCTGATTTGCTCATGATAAACTCGTCTGAAAGAGAAGCCGAGCATCCAGGACCAGCAACGGACTTTTGTCCGATGTCCGCCACCCAAACCCGTGTTACAAAAGCCGAGCACTTCTTTATGAGCGGTACTAGAGACAGCGAAGCGATGCCTGCAAGAAGCGGCCAAGCCCATCAACGGTGGCACACCGACGCCTACATGGTTCATCCCTTCCCGCGCCAGGAGGCACGCTCGCTCAGGATAACGGTTCCCACTTTTTGCATATGACATGTTAGATCCTATGATCTTCAAACTTTTACTTGGTTATATCCACAGAAAGAACGAGCCTCAGATCTGCAGGCCCTATTCTATTTTACCGGGTTATATTGAATGCTTGCCGTGGTGCAGTGAAGTGAAGGCTTGAAGGATCGAGGATTAAGCGAAACTGCCTCTTGGCGCTGGAAGAGATAGGAGACTACTATGTGAAGGGGCGAGTTGAGACTCTGAAACGGAATTGATCAATTCCCCCAAAATCGAAGTCACATGTGTCAGTCACAGGTGTCAAAGACATCTTTTGATTGAGCTGGCCTATGCCAAACGCTCTGGAAAAATTTAATTTACTATAGAATAATGTAAATCACCTTCTCTTAAAACCCCCTTAACGAACCAAACAACCAGGAATGATCACTTTCTCCAGCATCTCCCAGGATGGTCCAGGAAGGATCGATCTTTCTCCAGCATCTCCACGGATGTTCCAGGAAGGATCGATCTTCTTCTAGCATCTCCAGGAGGTGATCTGCTCGTCGTAATCACCGCTGTAGCCCGGTGTCGCTTTGGCCAGGTCATACTCGTAAGACAGCGTAACGCCCCTGTCGTCGCCCTTGTTGTTGCACCCCCGGTACCTTATCGTCGCAACTCGGTTAGTAGGTGTTTCCAATCCACGCAGAATTTAACATCTCCAAGAAGTGATCTGATCATCGTATTCGGGGGCACGGGGGTCGCCGCCTGGGAAAACCCAGGACAGATCGTAGTTGTAGTCGACGGTGAGACCTCTGTCGTCTCCCTTCTCGTTGCAATTGAGGTACCTGGACACCATCAGTACTTCACTTGAATATACTAATAGTAAGACCTGGTATGGGAGGTCTGAAAATGTGGTGGATTATGGAGCACGTACTTGTAGAATTGGCAGTTGCCGCCAGTGTTGGTGGAGATGGAACTGACGTTGTTGTTGTACAAGTCGGAGAGAGCGGTAGAGTTGGGGCCGTTGAAGCTGAAGTAGGAGGCTACATAGAGGATATCAGTACCCTGCGCGATCAAGATTTCCCCCGGGGTGGCACGACTCTGGGGGGGGATTGCTCCGTACCGCAAACTCCTGGGGGAGCTCCCAGGGAAATGCATGGGTCTCTGAAGCCGGGGTTTTTGCACTGCGGAGGGGCGTGAGGTTAGCGTACAATCACTTAACCACATCTCACCGGGCTCTGGAGTACGCGGCTCCGCAGAACCACGGGCGATGGGCACTCGGGCAACTGTCGGGCGACTTACCTGCAAGACGAAGATGAGACCATCTTGGAGAGTGGTGTTGCGGTCAGGGCTGGGCTCCTCTTGACGCTTCTCCAACCCGTCCAAGACCATGGTTTTGACGGTCGGGTCGACGAACCTGTCGTAGGCAGGTGTGTTTTCGATGGAGGGGGACAATCTAGGAACGAACTCGTTGCTCATCTGGGTGCGCGTGGCGAGGACTCCAGGAGCCAGAGCAGCGAGTGAAGCAGCGAGTGTGAGGAACTTCATCTTGACGGTTGGGAGTGTGGTAGTGAACGCGTGGAGAGATGTGGTTGAGTGGAGTGTCGAAATAGCTGAGGTGGATTGCTTGTTCTTATACCTGGACAAGTACCCAGTAGCAGAAAGCACCGAATACTAAGTAAGGATCCGGAAACTTAGAGCTGGACGCTAGCGATTGGCCCTCTCGAATAAACTTCACGATCAGCGGGAAGTTCGGATGGAGTGATGCTCGTGCTCCTTGCGGAGCATTGCAGTGATGAGCGAAAAGTATATTTTGTGCTGTCTTCTTGATTGTTGTGCAGCTCAGGGGAACCAGGCTTTGAGTTTTCAAATTGCATCGCGTCTCCGTTGAAGAAGGAAGTTTCGGAGCCGAGTCCGAGGGCTGAGTTAGAGTTTACTCGGCTCCGACTTTTCTTCCATTATGTCACAACTGTAGTACAACTACCACTACTACTACTACTACGTACATGGGTACTCTTTTTGGAGAATACCACCACCTCCTTGTAAACAGAGGACAAACAATCTTGTGCGGTTCACGCAAACGAGATGAACTTCTGATTCGGAGGGAGTGACTAGCTGCGTGCTCGCGTAAATGGTTTCACGCGAACAACGGAACGCATGGGATCTAAAGGATATACGCGACACACCTACTCCGTACAATCTCATCAGAGATATATTTACGAGATTCACCTATTTCATACTAAGTACCGGTTACAGTCCAAATAGCGAGTCCACAAATAATCCCTTGTGCCTAGACCGGAGGTGACGTTTGATCCTTTCGGCGAGTGTGCGTTCTAGATTCAACACTTATACCACAGTGTACTTTTAGAAGTACGTAAGTAACAACACTATAGCCGAGGCTGGGAAAAGTCTTATTCGTAGTAAATACAAGAGCCTTAATCCCTACGTGATGTCTGATCTCCGCAGAGATTTACGGAGCACAAGTCCTCTTAGCTTCTCCTTATCCTTTTACGCAGCACAGCAGCCAACCAGCTCCGTCAAGCCTTGTATCAGGATGATCACTATTTCGGCATATTTGTTGAAGCGGCACTGAAGCAAGGGTTTCTATTTACTACCACATCTGAGCCTGAAGTCTTACTGCCGGCATGTTTTACTTTGCCCAGGATGATGACGTTAAGGTGTTTGAACATAATTATCGCGTATAATTAGATATTTTTTTGGAGCGGAATGATTTTTTGGAGAGGAAAGAGATGATGGAACGCAACGTAGAACAAAACATCAAAGCACGTTCGTTTGACAGGACGTTCGGCTACGAAGGCAATCGAATCGAGGTTGCGGAGCTACGGAGTCCGTATGCACCTACCTCCCCCCCACTTAAAAAAGGAACTTCGAAAGTACGATTTCATAAGGGCTTTCACCAGAGGCTTAGCCAATTACCTTTTAGAGATTGAGCTCTGAAAAGTCTCTTGGGGCAAGTCCAGCGCTAATTGATCTGTTCAATGCAGTTGACCAGGCCATGCCGTTCGACGTACTACGTAGTAGTACTGTACACACGATTTGCAAAGTTAGACCGGGTCCAGCTTTATTTCTAGATTCGTACACAAGTCCGTAATATTGAAGTTTTTCAGTCTCTCACCCGGCAACGATTACAACTACTAGGTACTAGTACTTCGTATGCGAAAGCAATCGTCGATTTCCCGGCCCCCTATTCTTAGCCCCACACGCCACCAACCCCCTCGACGATCAATGGTAGCGGTCGCTGTGGCTGGTACAACTCCCCCTTGAGTATAAGCGGGTGCCTTACGTGGCGATTGCGCCTTTGCGCCTCTGCGCCTTGTGGGAAGCGAACTCTTGTTTTGGTCAGGCCATCGATCGGGCCTACAGCCAGGCCGAAGGGATCGCATTCACTATCCACAAGTAATCCGCAGAAGAGAGGGTTAATCCATTCTGTATCGACCCATGCCAGCCAGCGATCGAACCACCGATTCAAGCCATTTTAAACCTCGGTTCCTAGTCCAGATGGTTTGCACGTAAACACGAACAGAGTTTCTGCCCGCAGGAATGCGCGTTGTTTACTGTTGCTCGGTCAGAGCGGCTGGTCTCCAACCCAAACAAACCACTTCGCATCACGTCGAGTCATAAATCTGTATCCGCAAGCTCCATCCCTCAGGAATTGCCATAGAAACCGATAATCGAATGCTCCACGACGTAACAACCTCCACGAGATCCTTGAGATATATTCGCCTTTTCATACTGAATGTGAACTTCAGAAGCGAACGTGTAGCCTTTCTGCCGCACTTCGTATAGGTGAGTTACACTTTTCGAAAAACACGAACGCTAAAGAATCCCAGCGCGAAAAATTACTTTCAGTGGGATAAGGAAGGCAAAGGGAACCGCCAAAACACATACTACAACAGCAGGTTTTCGCTGGTGGTCAACCCACTCGACAGCTGATCTGCCGATCTGAGGTTTGTGCAAGGCAAAGCGAACAGGAGGCCCAATTCTCCTCAATCCGTGCTCGTACGTGGCGTGGGCGCCAGCATCTGGTGCTATAACGCACATGATAATAATGAACGAAGCTTTTCAGTTCTGATATATCACATCTGACAACCACAGTTCCGTCCACCCCTTCTTTGCACGTAGTACTACTACATCTCTCATGTGCTCTATCCAAGCATGGGTAATGAGTTCTGTTGAAGGAAGCGGATGGATCTGGAGGATGGAACAGACTTCAATGTTCTTGAAATCCTCAACCCTAGGTTTATGTGCATCTGCAGCACACTTGACCCTATCTGATGTGTACCTTTCATCACCTCCCATGTATACCTTCGGTCCATCCCCAACTCTTGTGATCCATCACAAATCATCTAGGTGCGTAGTGCGTAGTACCTGCATCTACTGTCAGAAGCGAACCTAGGAATTGTTTAAGCTCAATTCAGACAAGTCTTGATCAATGTAGCCAAGGAAGTTAGGTGGTAGAATTGTGTTGTCGAAATTCAATTCCGAAGGGAAAGTCAATGCCAGAGGGAGGTCTTTCAAAGCGCTCCTCCCTGACGCCACCATGTTGCCAATCACCTGCCGAACACTGTTTGCCGACGGGCGACGATCGCGTTGGCGTGGAAAGCAATCCAGCGCACACATCTGAGTCTCTCCCGCTCAGATGTCAACTTTCAATACCTAGTAGGTACCTATTACAATCGGCTCGTCGAATCTCCCCGCGGCCAGCTGTGGTAATAAGCCTGCCCAGCAGCAGTGAGCCGCGCCTCTGGTAGCCAACCGAGAGAGCCGGAGAGGAAGTCAAGAAAAACCATCCTTGTCGTCTCCCCTTAGATTCGTGGCAAGAGACTGCAAGTTTTCTCCCCTTAGGTACCGCCGGTAGTAGGACAAGCCCCTTTTATTTTCCTAGAACAAGTTCGTTAGCACAGCCAGGGAGGAGGGTTTCGTGACCTGCCGTCAAGATCCCAGTACTTGCTTGCCCTTGTGAGGACTTCGGATGGTGGCGGGCCAAGGAGGGCGGTCATGGCTGCAAGAGGGCGGGCGTCATTCAGCTCTTCTGAATTCTTGTCGTCGATTCCAAATATAACTTCGGGCTCAGGAAAGTCTCAGGACTGGTGTGAAAGGGCGTTAGTCTAAAAAAAATGAGTTAATTATAGGACGGAGGGGGACAGATTTTCCATACCAAGAGCCGTAAACTCCACGTAGCCACGGCATCGTTCAGGGGCTTGGTATGGAACGAGCACAGCATTGCCACCGTGTTTGTTGCCTATGCGTGCGTGCCCGAAGTTACTGATGACGAGAGCGCTTGCGCTATCCAATATGTACCGTGAGGCATAGATCATAGTATCGCCGACCTGCTTCTTCGCAGATGGACTACGGATCTCGTCTTCTTTTACCTTGGGAAGAATCGAATCGTCAATAACAGCAATACGCAACTGATTCGAGTGGAGATCTAAATGGCTCCTTAGTCACAGAACTATCATAGATCCGCGTCTCTAAGGGTAGGTGCGAATTTATCTGTATGGGTCACATCTGCTTCATGGAGCAAGTTTAGCCAAGAGAATATTTGGTCAAGAGCTCTTCGGACAACGCTTCAAGCAAAATTTTTATCCCTATGCAAGTCCTGCAAAGCCCTTACACTTATGCTTAGAGGTGCCATAACGAAAAAGTCGTGTTTCGCTATTGCGGCTCTTCATATTAAATGAGTCTTTGAGCTGTCGGACGTGAAACCGACCGGAGTGCTCTTTAGTGATGCTGGCCAAATGATTGAAGACCTGAAGCTCCTGATTATAGTTCAGGGTGTTGAGATGCGCATCTATCACCAAATACGACCGCGCTCGGAACTGAAGCAAGAGATGTTTAGCAATAAGATAATAGAAATCAGAAGGATATTTAAATACCTGAGATCGCGGCACAACCGCACAATCAAGCTTGCTCCGACGACCTGGTAGCGGTCCTTTCAGACCTCGCTAATCCGCACAGGGTAATAGTGATCGCAGTTGTTAAAGGGGAGTCGCTCCTCCTCCACCATTTGAGACGGGTCAGTGACCTCAAACCCGGTTGAGTGAAACGCACGAGCTGGAAGGGGAGGAGCCAATATCACCTGGTCCGAGTACGGCTGCGAGGCCATGGATGGCAGGCAGACCGTATGATGCGCGAGGAGATTAATCGAGGAAACGGTTTCGGTGCTGGAAACCGACACCAGAGGCGCGCCGCGGACATTTTTACATGGGACGGAAAATCGCTCTATCCCTACCTTACTCGTCGGGTACCTGTAATTCTGGTCCAGTTCATCCGACCGGCCCTGCCAGTCGGAACCACCACGGCGGGACACCTACCGGTAGCAAGCCCGGACTCGCTGACTAAAAAAAAACACTGCTATAAAAATCCGTGTGGAAGAGATTGAGATGTGTCTATCCATTGCACGTTAAACATGTTGGTGTTTGTAGCGAGGAGGAGGAGTTCACTGCAGGACTAGCTAGCGCCTTGACGCCAACAGAGGCGCTAAAAGGTCCTTCCTCCTAAGGCCTCTTCCCCTCTTGATAAATGCTCAGCTTCTATCGATCTTACCATGTCGCAATCAGGTCTCCAAACCTCGTCTTATCTATTCATTGCAAGTTAAAACACTGCGATGCCGGAAAATCATAGCGAAAAACTGTCTAAGATAATCAAACACTACTTGTCCGTCTCGAGCATCTCCACATCCACGACGCCAATAACAAGAAAATAAAAAATATATATATATATATAAAAAAAACTGAAGCTTTACACCTCGTCAGGAGATATTGGGTTCTGTTATTTTACCACAGGGAATCTTTATTGAAAGTAAGTGAGCAGTGTAGAAAATGTATTTCTAGAGGACGTCCGATTTTCGCGTTCCTCGCTTGTTCGGGTATTCATTCACACGGCTATCCTGACATGGACGTGCTAAGCTACGGACTGGGAATAGCAAGAGGTACGATTTTCACGACTCTCACCCAGCACTATGATAGAACAACTAAATATAATCCGCGTCTTCCGATCCCGAAATAACTACGAATCTGATCGGGTGTTTGATTTTCTATCGATTTCATACGGGCACAAGGGGGGGTGGTCCCGGGTTGCTGGGTGTCCCCCGCATTGGGGGTTCCGACGGCTTTTTTTGCTTCAAGTCAAAATTTAAGGTAGCCCACGTCAGAGCGGGAAAGGGATTGGGGTCAAGCGCGATCATAGTTTGTGGGATTCTCGATTCTCGATTCTCGATTCTCGATTCTCGATTCGCGATTCGCGATCCGCTTTACGTAGTATTTTGGTAGGAGGAGGTAGCACGGTGTGTCGATCAGGTTCAAATTTCCGAGGGCACAATTCTTGTGTGGTGTACATACAGTGCCGTCTCAAACATGAAACCTCCGATCCTCCAATATACACCCATGAGCAGCGACGGGTATTTTTACCTTCGAAACGAGTTACAGTAGCAGTACAGTACAGTACAGTACAGTACAGTACAACCCATCTGGCCTTGATGCTGGGGAGGAGAAAATACTACTAAATCAGTAAAAAAGAATAAAAAAGAACCCCAGTACCGTAGTCCCCGCCCCTGAGACACGAGACCCTGTAGATCGACCGAGAATGGCCCCTCTGGGAAGATCATGAGATGAACCGCGTTGGTGTGATGAGTCTCCGGCGACGATCGATTCCCGATTATACTACGTAGATTCGCGGGAGGTCGAGATCGGCTGATGCATCGTCATCGTCATTGCCCAACGGGCCTCGTCGGGGTACCGGGATCGGGAAGAAAGGCACACCTCTCGTCCCCTTCCCGTGCTTCGCTCCATGCTTCACAACGGCTCAGCTGCAATCCTGCATCGCGGACCAATCCAAGCGATACTGCCCGCTTTGCAGGTTGAGAAGGCAATCATCTCTTCACTCCTCGAGCACTGGAATCTGCATCCGACGGATCGTGCTTATCACGAGCGCTCGGTTCTGACCCGCTCCTTCCCAAAGCAGGCTCGCAGGCTTCTCTGATCAGCGACGGCCGGTACCCAACCTGATCTGCGGACTTACCCCAGGAGGGCTCGAGGGGATACCCGACGAGCAGCTCTGCTAGGTAGGTACGATTGTGTCGCGCGGTGCGTTATTTCAACATGCGATGTTTACGCGAGCGCAGGGTGCCTGTTACGATTTACTTCGTGACTTTGGCATGTCTGTAGGAGAGTCGTGATGAGGGACGGTCTGCAAGACTATACGGAGGAGCGAACGCAACGGCGTGCCTCTCCAAGATACCCACATCGCTAGCTACTGGGCAAGCATCAGGAGCTCTCTACTGAATGTCTCGGATGGCTCAGACTTCTTCTGCCCGAGATGTGCCCTTGTTTGGACCACGTGGGACCTCATGAAGGGGAAAGGAGAGAATTCGGCATCAACGAAATGAGAGTGGTCGACAAGATTCCCAACCCAATCAAGTCTCAAAGGTCATAGCAAGTATATGGTTTTCATCCCAACTGCCATCGCCATTCCCCTGTGTTGAACATACATTATTTACATCTAGTATTAGGACATATACATACCCGCCGGGTGTTGTTCACGATGGGTCCCATTCCCCCAAGTCCGCACCCCAGGCAGGGCCAAGGATTATCTACCACACAGCAGGATCTGCCTAGATTGCCAGATAGAACGGGACAGTCCCCGGGTCCAAGTTCCGATACACGAAGGGCATCCCCTGGCTCAGCCCCTCGGAATCAAAGGTCTTCGCCCTTATCCCCCGACTCACCTCCTCCATCGTCTCCTTGAACGTCTGCGCCGCCTCGCTGATGGTGCTGGGAAAGTTGCTCAGAAACGTGTCGTCGGAGAACTGCCACACGAGCGTCTTGTTCAGCGACTCGTATGTCGGTCTGTTGAAGAGCGCGAGGAGGTTCAGCTGGAACACGGCGGCCGCGGGAGGTAGCAGCCAGGGGAGGACGTCGGTGACGTTCTTTGCGGTGGGGAGCGGGGCGTTCAATGCTACGGGATGGAGGGGGAGCGTGCCTGTACTTTGGAATCCGGCGCCGGTGTTGAGGGCTTGATGTCTACGCCATTCGGTTAGAGCCGAGACGGTATTTTGTTTTGGCGGGGGGAGGGGGGAGAGGAGAGAGGAGAGAGGAGAGAGGAGAGAGGAGAGAGGAGAGAGGAGAGAGGAGAGAGGAGAGAGGAGAGAGGAGAGAGGAGAGAGAGGATTGGGAGGAAGGGACGCTTACTGCACTCCAACCAGGTAGGCGATGTGGGTGAGGAGATCGATGATATGGGCTTTGGTGCAGGTGGGCGGCACCGTCCCATACGCTTGCACGGCGCAGGGGAAATCGAGCACTTGAGCGTTGGTCCGGGCTTCGGTGACCCAGGCTGCGAGTTCGGTATCCTCGGCGATGATGGCGTCGGAGGAGTAGTACGTGTCGACGAAGCTCGTAATACTGCCATGTCTCAAGTCGTCAGCCCGATCTACCACTGCGGCACATGGATCTATCTGATCAGGAAGTATAGGAAGCCGGATCGAGCACTGACAACTTCTTGATCCCCGCATGGATCGGCTTCACATCTTCGTAGAATGGGAAGTGCTTCAGTGCAGGCCCATCGGAACACTCGATCAGTCCTCGCGACGCAAGATCTGGGTCGAGGTAGTTGCTCTTCAGGCGGCCGGCGACAGGATACCATTCGGCGACGAATTCTTTAGCTCCTCTGGCAGTCATGTGGAAGGCCTGGTCAAAGGCTCCGCCGTCCGCAAATAATTCGATCGAGTCACCCACGCTGTGTGGATAGGTTAGCTAGGTGCTCAGGGGAAGGCGAGAAGGGCATGCGTGGTGCTACGTACGGTCTGGCGGCGTAAGCCTGGTAAAGTACTATACAGGACACATCAGCTTCTCTCCCGGACAGGGAACAGTGTGAGGAATTACGTCTATCGAGCAGTAGCATAATCGGATGCTCGTCGCTCATTGTCCTCATGGCAGCTTGGTGCACAATCTCGGCCACGTTGTGGCTCGCAACCAGATGATACAGCTGCGCGTGTAGGAGATCATTTGAGTTGAACATGATCTTGGCCAGCATCCAGTCCATCTCGCCGTCCAGTGGCGTGTACACTAAGTCCGCACCCGTGTTCGTCTTGATCGCCAACGGCAAGAAGTCTCCCGAGACCGGATGGATGAAGAACAGCGCCGTGCACGCAGCCCCATATCGTAGGGGCGACTTCTTGTAACGTTGTTGGTAGCTGTGATCCACTACAAACAGTCTCCTCGCCTCCTTCAACGCGGCGAGGGTCAGCGTGGTGATTTGCACGGCCGTATCATCGTCCAAGGAGAAGGGCAGGTCGTCGGAGCGGGCAAGCCGGCGTAGGGGCCAGCTGTTTAAGCTTAAGCGGGACATGGAGAAAAGAAGGTCGGAGGTGTAGTTGGCGAGGATGCCTTTGCTGGTCCCGGCCGGGACGGCATTGAGCCACTGACCATCGTACAAAACATGAATGTAGTCGTCGGTGCTATTTAGCCCACCGTTCTATGTATTTGGTGTTAGTTCTCCTTTCCATAACCATAACACCTCTCAGACACGTGATGGTACTATTGAGCGAATGGAGACGAAAAAACACCTACAGCAGCAATAGCCTGCTGTACTCGCGGCGAATCCACCACGACCGCGCTCCTTATGAAATTCGAGTCGACCTTGAACAGCTCAATATCGGACTGTATTCTCTTTTCCGCTAGCACGCCCGTAGGGAAGAAAGCCGCATTTCCGATCAGTGAAGGGCCATATAGCCAGCCTGCAGCTTTCTCACGGATAGCATCTGCTCGAGCTGTAACGTTGCTGGAATTACCGGTAGAGGGTAGGGTAGCGAAGGCGTGTGTAGTTGTAATGACTGTGAGGAGGGTCGCTACGCAAGCGAGAGACGAGGAAGGGATATGCATTGTGAGGTATGTGGTATGTGCACCCGAGGGAGAGAGGGGAATGGGGAAAGGGAAAGGGAAAGGGAAAGGGAACAGGAACGGGAGCGCGAGGTAACAAGACCGGCTCTGCAGACGCGGTTGGAGAATGGATTATAAAGGGCAAATCAGTTGCAGAGCAAAGAGATGAGCTATAAGACGTTTAAATATCATCTTGAACTGTAATAGGTAGTATATGAGCTTGGGCTCCCAGTTTGAATTCGAGTGGAGCTTAAAGGCCGAACTTGAGCCTTGAATCCTCAAATGTGTACTTGGTAGCGGTACCGGTAGGACTTAGTATCATGCTCTCCGTAAACCCAAATACAGGTAAGCGAGTCCGACACCCAACTTTTACTACCGGTAGTAGTAGTATAACCATAATAACATATACAACTACGTAGTAACCTATCAGTCTCAGCTTAGAATCAAGCTACTACGTACTACGTACGTAGTACGTAGTATTACCAACTACCCCCCCATGAATAAACGTCGGACCCAGTTTAGGCCCATAAATCATCGAGCGGTGGTTTCTGAATGGCTCCAAGCCCTGTCAACTCCGCTGTATAAACTAAATACTAGCTCAAAAATACTCTTCAAAGCTGAGTCCTTATACTACGTGAGTTGATTGGTTTAAGCCCTGGTAAGATCCCTTGCGAAATTATACTTTCGACATTTATTCATGGGGGGGAGAGTATAGGTAATACCGTACGTACGTAGTAGGAAGTCCGATTTCCAAAGGAAAATGCTCGTGTGACAGCATCCTGGTGAATTCAAACTCGAACTGACTAATCTGGCAGCTCTGAAGTAATTCTTCAAAGGACCGAGGCTGCGGCCTCCGCAGGAATGCTTTCAGGAGGATTTCGCAGCCGAGTTAATGGTCCGTTTGGTTCAATCCCAGTATGTACTTACTACCCAATACCAGCCCGATACGTAGAAACCAAGGGTTGGGTAGTAATAGTAGTAGTAGTAGTAGTAGTAGTAGTAGTAGTGATTTATGCCGGGCGGGTAGCAGGCGAAGCCTGCCGCCCTAGAACCTTCCATGGGGTACGACGACGTGCTAAGCTAAGGAGTTACATACCGGACGGCCCTCAAAACATTTCCAGGTGGAGCAGCGTAGCTGTCATCAACTGCGCCCTTCCCCTGCGGATAGGATGGATCACAGAAAGAGAGAGGCCTCTCGGCAAGGTGTCAAACCAAACAAGCGAGGCAGAGCGTGCCATTGCAAGCTGACAGTACAAGCCTTGCAATTGCGAGTCGCAGAGCGACGAGAATCGAAGCCGGACCGAGGCCAGCCAAGTATAGGTCCGAGGACCGACCAGGGAAGGGTTGGTGTTTGGTTCAACGCTAAAATCGATTGTATATACCGGTACTGGGCTGTATAGTAGTATATTGGTTCACCACCTATATCTATGATACAAATCCGCACATACTGTATAGTCAGTTAGTTCCCTTTTGACCTGACTCTCCGTACAGTCAGTTTGTGAGTACTGAGCATCTACGCTAGCCAAACCTCGAACTTCGGTAGTTCCTGCAGTAGTCTTGCAATATCTTGAACTCGTAAGTAATAATGATAGGAAAATCATAACGCATTAAAGTCCCGAGAATTACAGGGTAGAATCTTTTCGATAAATTCAATTGATAAAACCATGTATTATCCGGTTTTGCGGATAATGCACTTGGCTTGGTTTCCAGCTGGGTCGAAGCTAATTCCGTGCCCCGTGCCGTGCCCTGCCCTGCCCGGCCCGGCCCCTGACTCCGTAAGTAAGTACCTACCGGCCGGTATGTTTTATCGTCTCCGAACTAGTAGTACTACGTACTACTAGCAAATCCGTGCGGCACGGAAACGTTGATGATAGTCGAATCATAGCCACCGACCCCTTGTGGCTCGATACTACTACCGGTATATTGCTCTCAATACCAATACCAATACCAATACCAATACCAATATCATTATCATTATCAATATCAATATGTTGTTATAATCATTATCATCATGATCGCCGGCGCCGAGCTCGTATTGATCGAATAACACTTTGCAAATCGAGATATCACACCTTTCGAGCCATCACAACTACCGGTATATTCGTATGGCTACGGTACCTAGCATTTCTATCCCTACTCATATCCAAGATCACCTACGTAGTACTACGTACGTATCCCGAACAGAAAAGTCAAAATTCAATTCGCGCTTATCCAACCCATCATTCAAAACGTTGCAATCTTTGTTTAGCCCGGCCAAAGATGTGATGTCCCCCACGCCTCGACATTCCGTAGTGGATGCCCCAATACAGTAGAGACCCGAATAACAAGAGAACAGGCCGTAAAGGTAGGCCTACAAAGTACACAATTCGTAATCGGAGGAGAAGAGTAATAATAGAATACTTAACGTATCCCGAACAGAAAAAGTCAAAAGTCAATCCGCGCTCAACCAACCTATCATTCAAAACGTTGCAATCTTTGTTTAGCCGGACCCAAGATGTGATCTCCCCCACGCCTCGCCATGCCGTAGTGGATGCCCCAATACAGTAGAGACCCGAATAACAGGAGACCGGGCCGCAGAGGTGGGCCGACGGCGTATAGTACAATTCGTAATCGGAGGCGAAGAAGAACAAAAATAGAATATCTATAAAAAGGAAAGGAAAAACGGTGCTAATCGCCTTGGGGCCGCTCGTCCTTCCCTCCTCCGGAATAGCCTTTCCAGAAGCTAAAGCCGTACCTACTGTAGTGCCGAACCGACCACGGTACAGCCTACTTACGTAGTACCTAGGTGTTACAGCCTGGAGGCTAAAGGTGCCTTGGAAACTAAATCTCCACTTTAATAGCCCCTGGTTAGCCTACCGTCAGGGTGTAACACTTACTTCGTACTACATACTTACGCCTATGACGTTATAGAAGTACAGTACCGGTAATACACTAATGAACGGCTTCACTTAGTCAGCCAGCGAAATGTTCTTTTGTTATTCAGCTCACGCGCCAGTTTATGGTATGTGCGTAAACGGCTTCACTTTTCCTTCCGAATATCAATTTAATCCGATAAATATAAGCTTTCCTTGAATTTTCATCCGATCATTTTGCAGATAGTACAACTGTTGTAGGTACCTAACCTATCGTTCGATATCTCCACAATCTTCGTTAACACGCGGGGAGGGAGTCCATAACCTCCTTTGTTTACTAGCTTAACATAGTAAGTAATTATACATCGGTCGGACTTTGTTATCGTTTGTGCTTGAGGCAGACCAAAATGATGATATAGAATCTTGCGCTTTTCTTTGTATATCTAGGTATGGCTAAAATTGCACTTTACAATATATTTATTGTCTTCCATGTGGACGGAAAATCGGCCACCAATTCTCAACGGCCAGGAGAAAACCCGGTCCGCCGGACTGATTTAAAGATAGCATATCTTTTGTCCGCGCGAAAAAGGTTAGTCAAGCTTTGCCATCTTTCAAAGCATATGCAAATGCTGCACAACGAAGTGTTTTTATGCTTTTTCGTCGACTCTGAGCTTCCCAAGTGGCTGGAAGCTGCTAGTATTCCAGTTATAGAATAGGTCCGGAAAGATTAGAACGAATATATCACAAAAAGGGAGCCTCAAAATTCTCTCTTCGTAATTTCACGAACGCACTTTGTTTGTGCGGGAATGTGACTTCCCCCTCTTTCAAGAATCCCGCATTGTTGAGGAGCGAGATGAACCTATATTGATTTTTTCAGTACAGTTGGGTCGGCAACAGCAAGGGCGTAGGTAGATATACATACCGCTCATTGTCAACCCGCGGCTCGAGAACAACGGCATTGGTCCTGTAATCCTGGACGAAGGACCAATGGGCTAGTGACGAGAGCCAAGCATTTACTCGAAGCTTTCCTCGAAATTCATCTTCTCCGACAAGGACGTGTATACCACGATCATAATCTGCAGCACGATCGCCAAGATGTTTACCTAGGATGTCCTCTTTCACCCAGTAGATCTCGAAATAGCCGAATGGTTTGCCATCCCACATTCCAATGGCAGGAAACGAATGATTCGACGTCAGGTTCCCCTTGAGAAATGACTCTTGAGTCTCGGGAGGCCCTGCACACCCCCAGAATTTAGAGACACGGTCTATGTTCATCCATTTGTTCAGAAGCTGGAGGTCGGTCATGAGAGTTGTATCTATGATCTCCGATGGAGGAGTGGGCGCGAGATCTGGAACGGGATAGTTCGAAAGATGTGCAGGGAGTGGTGAAATGGACCCGGATGAAACATTCTTCGGAGGGGCCAATGATGTTTTAGGTCCGTTATATGGAACTGGCTTGGGAGACAGAGATGCAGTCCTGAATGAGAGATACTGGCCTACGCTCGTAATATATCGAGTATAGAAGATCTCGCCCTGGCGTGGAGGTTTCGGACGCATTGGATGTCGAATCCCAGAAGTAAGAGTGTACTGAAGTGGTGGGGGTGGGAAGTATGTTGGTAAATGGCTTGCTGACGCAAAGGGCCCTGAGGCCGGTAGCGAACATAGACCCGCGCCCGATTCTCCTGCGTCTTTCATACCCGGAGAGAGGATCCCGGGACCGCCTGGGATGGGAGAGCTTGGTCGACTGCTGTATGGCGATGCCGTTGTACTCGCGCCACCCACTGGCGTCAAAGTGAACAAGAACAGCTTGGCAGATAATTGCCAAAAACTCCGCCTCGAAGTGAACATCTCGGACCATCCTTCTGCTGCATCCTCCCCGGGACCCAGGCCCACCCTTGAGTCTTCTGATGTGACCAAGCCCATCCTCTCCAGCTTCTGAATCAAATTTCGACCTCTCAAGACCCCTTCTGGCTTAATGTTGATTCGCCACTCTCCTCTTGGCCTCCCAGTCTGAGGCGTATTTTTTGATGCTTCGGTTTTGAGGTACGGAGAAGGTGCTTGGAGATGGAAATACCAATACAAAGAAGCCCACAGCATCATTGCAATCTGCCGAGTTGGGCTCGTAGGCGCCTTGAAGTCACTGCTAGACGGATTTGATATGGAAGAAATGAAAAGTTTGTCGTTACTCAAAGTAGGCTGTCTGAACGGATGTATGTGCCGTTTTTTCTCTTTTGGCATGCCAGAGAGCTCAAGGTTTGCCGCGTCCTCCTCATTCTGGTTGTCCGAGAAATCTTCGGATTGGATGATGACGGTCCAACCTGCAGGAAACACGTTGGTATGAATGTTGAGCTCATTCGACTTGAAGAAGTATCCACCAAACACGGGGGTAACAGTCAGATTGTGCCCATTAGGAAGGTGTACAATGTTTGGTGTGGGCGCCATGCTGATCCTCTGTGTAAGTTCCGCGCCTGTGATCAACGTTCCACGTACGACCCAATTCCAAATGCTTGTCTGAATGCAAAACTCCCCAGTCCTAGCAATCTCAGGCCTCGACCTCGACCTCGACCTCGACCTCGTTCCAAGGAAAATTTCTGATACTGTACCGTCCCCAATCTAAATATTTTCCTCAGAAGGCGCTTGTCGAGCGGAACTCGGACTTTGGTTTGCTCGCTCGAATGTCCCCTCCCTTGTCCTTAGCTATAATTTAAAGTAGCACAGCAGGGGCAGTTTCGGCGATTCTGGGACTGTTCAACCGTCCAACCTGTTCGCATGGAAGTCTCCTAACCGTGACTAGATAAAACAATAGTCTGAAATTGGCGGTACCCAGCGAGATGGATATTTTCTTTTCTTCTCTTCTTCCCCTGTGGCTGGCCGAACGATGATGGTGGCCCCGCTGGATTCCTCAACTAATGCAGTTCTCAGTCTTTCCCGAGGTAATGCATTCGACGTCAAGCGAGTCTCTGACAGGGTCCGGGCATGCGGAGGTGCGTATGGTTCTGGCGATTGCAGTATATCAGGTAGTAGTCGTCGAGTAATAGCGGCGCAAAAGATCTGATACTGCGGAGCCGGGCGAGCGATATGGCGGCGGTATACGAAAAGAACGGATGCAAATGCGCATGTAATGGTGGAATGCTGGAGTGCTGGCGGGTGAAGGAGAATGAGGGAGAGAAGGAGAGGGAGAGGGAGAGGGATAAGGAGGGGGAGAAGAAGTGGAAGTGGGAGTGGGAGTGGGAGTGATCAGATGACATCCGTCACGGCCGAACTTCGGTGATGCCCGTAAAGTCGATATCCAATATTTAGTTTTTAGAAATGTTAAAATGTTATTTGGGCATTGCAATAAACTTTGCCAAGTACCTCAGAGACAGAAGCAAACGAGGCGGTTGAACTTGAGAAGGACAGCATCGGTCACATTTGACCTGTCAACAACCGCGGGGTTGACCAAGGGCAAAGGCAGAGGCAAGGGCAGTGAGGTCGGAGGTTCGGATTGTTCCGAGTTAAAAGATGATCCGGAACAGCCGTCTTTTACAGAGCTTACCTAAGCCTAAGTAAGTATTTGACTATAAATCTGGGATAGGGCATCTACCTGGGTACCTTACCTTTTATAGCTAGCGGCTTCTAGTGGGACGCTAATGACCTACCGGTAGTCTAGACTTTCTTCTCTTCTACTTGTGCTCTTTCGAAGGACCGGATACATCGACATCCATCCCTTGTCTACCTACTTTCATCCGCTCCTCGCCTTTCACCTCCCAAATTTTACAACGTTCACTTTCAATTTATACCTACCGTGTACCACTTGACATTCGGTTGGCTCCGCCTCTTTCGTCAGCCAGCCCAGAGTCCAATGCGCCCTATGCAAGTGGTCCGAAGGGGAAGGGAAAGAGAAAAGGCTGGTGGTGGTCAGAATCTTCAATCCCAGTCCGAACACCTCATACCAGGCTGATAAGATAGATGTAAGCCACTGCTCTCATCAAGCAATTTGCTAGACTGCTCGGCACCCCACAGATCATCCAGACCAGAAGTTCCAGAAGCTTATCTCTGCCAGATCCGTCTCACGCCCGAAGGGAATTGAAGAGTAGCCCGTTCCACCAAAACATCTGATATCCCTCAGCCTCGTTCAAGTTCAAATTTCAGCTTTCCAGAATCCTAGCCGGCATGCGGCTTCCCCATGGCTACGTGCGATGATCGTCCAGATTGACGGAGTCGGAGTCGAGTCCGTCGCAGGTATCAGACTCCGTACAGAGTAAAAGCACTTCCCCGCTCTTGCAGGCCCTCCCGCCGATCATCCCGAAGCTTGGAATCTATTGTGTCTCCTTCGAAAAGAGGCAAACAGAACAGACAGGCTCGTCAGCACGCAAGAGGTTCCTGTCGCTGTAGAAGATGCCAGCGCTTTTTCCCTCACCATCTCCACGGGGTCGTATACAAGTCGGCAGTGGACGATACGTTGGTATTTGCCAATTGCCTTTGAATCCAAGCTTCATTCAGTCGAGTTATTTACTTGTGCCACAGGGCAGCTTTGGGGGGGCTCCGACGCCGCTCTACCCTGCCGGTATCCAGGGTCGCGTTCCTCGCGAGGGCTGGTGCCCAGTCGACGACAGGTTCGTTGCACCCGTCTGCCTCTCATGCAGGGTCCTCTCTGTGATGCTACACTCGATGTCTGCACGCTGGGATAAGCGACGCTTTCTGAAGGCTCGCGAGAGCGGAATATCCGGCGAGGGATTCACCCCAGCACCGATTCAGCGCGCATTTGATCGATTGGCTTGCAATTACCCTCTGATTGGCAGGGCAGGTGGGAGTATGCAGATGTTCTTTCTATATTTCGGTGGCGAGCCTCTGCACAATTAATTACCTGCCATATCTGAGATGCCTGTTTTGCCTTGTCCCTCTGTTATCACGGCTATGCATGGCTCGTCCACGCAAGTACCGCCTCTATACCCGACTCTATTAGCTCAAGGCATTTGCTGGTGACTCTGAGGGAGCCCAAGCTGCATAGATCCTCCTGCCGAATGAGCAGGAGGCTTTTTGACGCCACCTCCGTCAACTGGCTCTTGCCCTATAGCCTAGGGCAGCGACGATATTGTCCCATACCATTCATAGAGCATCCAAGTCGGAGCTCTGGCGATCGAGACCTCGTATTTGGTGCGCCTCGAACGAGCCGCCGCTGCTGCATGCAGTTATGCGTATACCTACAACATCCGCCTAACTATCTCCAAAGTTCGATCTGGCAAGCACCGACACTCTCCAGACGGCCTGATACCTGCTCGATAGCCAAGATGTGCGAACTGACCCCTCTCGCCATGAGCCAGACCAAGGATGAACTTGTCAAGCATCTGAAGCTGCCGCCGGAAACCTATGCATTGATGTCGGTGAGCTTCCCCGCAGCCCTTCTCGCACGCCCGAGACTCTAGCCAGGGCCGAAATCGGTTTGTGACCTGTTAAGGGGCTTACTGACAGGACGCACTCTTGCAGAAGGAGACGGATTCAGTCTACGTCTGGTTGACTGCTGGGAAAGCCCATCTTAAAGATAATTGCAAGCGAAAGCCACCCTATGACTGGAGTGACATCAAGGAAGGGTCCAAGGACGAAGCGATGAAGATGATAGCCGGGCGAGGCGATCAGTACACCCAGTACTACTGGGATCTAGGCAATGCAGGAAAGGACGAGAACTGGATTGCGAAGTGGTTCCTCTATCATAAGTTTCGCTATCGAGACGGGAGGAACAGAGCACACCAGAAGTTGCCCAACAATCATAGACATACCGACAAACATGCAAATAGCAGCTCGAGGCCGAGAAACTCGATTTTAAGGGCAGAGCAGAGCGCATATAAGGAGTACTACGACGCCCAAGTAAACAATCCTGGTAGGCACCCACCCATCCACCATATTCATTCTCAAAACATGAAAAATCAGTTTCCCGCTTGCAGGCATCTTCCACTCGCTTGAGCAGCTTGATTAATCTCTACCTTTTTAAAGAAGTGAATTTTGCACGTAGGGCAATAAGCTCAAGCAGGGTAGCCTGTTCCAGCTCTACCCGGCGATAAAAGGGGGCCTAGTAGCCCCCATCACTTTTGCCCTCCTCATGCAAGGCCCAGTTGAGCCTAGGCCCGGACGCATTCAATTGAATCAAGATGCTGAAAGCTAGTCTCCAGGAACGAGCGGGAATCGGTACGGTAACGAGCAGGGCTACTACACCCCGGCTCCAGTTGCGGCTGTGGGCGGTACTTACATATATGATCCTGTCCGCGATATATGATCCCGACGTGGACCCTGAGTGGAGTCCGCCACCACAGAAAGGATTGGTTGGGTACAGATTTGACGGCCTTTGGTTCGAGAGAGAGCGAGATACACCGGGTACATGGAGAGGAGGCATTATTGGTCTTGGTGGAGTTTGTTGTGTGCCTGCTTTGTAAGCTTGCTTGCTTGCTTCTTTGCTTGTTTGTTCGTTCGTTTGTTCGTTCGTTCGTTCGTTCGTTTATCTGTTTGTTTGTATGTTCTGATTGATCTCTTCTGGGATGCCTGTCTGTCTGATGGATATCAGAGATTTCTTCTGGTCTTGCGTTCCCAGGTTGGAAAGTTGGAAGTCTATCCCAGCTGATACGGAGTACATATCAATTCTCTTTTCCTTGCTCATGTCGCCTAGCTCAGTTATTATGGTATAAGGAAGAAAGCCTTGCATATGGTCCTGCCGTGGCGGGGGTCTGTCTGGGGTGTGGACCTGGGTCAACCGGACCAGATCGAGTGACACGAGATGCTCCTTCCATGCGGGCATCGCATCGCATCGTGCTCGCTGCTCGCTGCTCGCTGTACTGACCGGAGTTTAGGAGTAGGAAGAAGGAAGAAGGAAGAAGGGAGAAACAGAGAGCAGAGTGCTGAGCTGTGCTGTGCTGTGCCGTCGCATCAGCGATGGGAAATCTACGCAGAGGTAAGGTAGATGGGAGTTCCCGTACCGTTACCGATGCCCATAAGCAGAACAGAACAGAACAGAAGAATAAGCACAACCAGAAGCAAAACTCACCTCAATTTGCAGCCACGAATACACCCTCCCTACCTTAACATTTCATTCCCACTCACTCACTCACTTTCTTCTCTTCTAGCGATCCCAACCCATCCCATCTCACATCTCATCCAGACCCCGAAGCCAAAGCCACAGACGAAAACAATAATAACAGGGAGGAGGAGGAGGATAACCAGCTGCTAAGTACGGAGAGCGTGCGTAGATATAGCGAAGAGGAGACGAACGAAAAAGCGAAAAATGAAAAAAAAAAAGCGGAGGGCTACGTGATGACAAAACAAAAGTGTGTGTGGGGGGTGTACGGATGTGTCCGTACGATATTATATGATATTTCAGTAATATAATCTCTCTCCGTACGCACATCGTCGGTAATCGTCAGGGTGTGTGGGCGGGATATATGGCCTCTGATATGATAGGGCGCGGGTGTCAGTCTCATGTTCGAAATCGCACGATATACCCATCTCGGGATCCTTAAGTAAAGAAAAATTTCTCTAATCAGCTAATGTGATTGAAAGCTCTCCGTCTACTGTTACCTTTCCTAATTACTTGTTTTGCCCTAGAGCGGGTTCCTTTTATATCGAAGCAAAAGAACGGATGTAATAAAAGAATCGTGGGAGAAGTCACCTGACCAATCCCTTGACGTGACCTGAGATCCTCTCGAGCTGGCTGATATACTTATGAAATGTAAATTTGCTACGAACCTTAAGCATTCTAACCCCTAATTTTCGGTTTGTAAGTTACGGGATAGCTGTCCAATATAGCCTACGAGCTCCTACACGTGAACCTGCAAGCTGTCTAGCCTAAAGTCATACCACGTGATGTGCATGCATATACGTATAGACATTCGCTCTTGAGCCCTCCTGAATAAATCGTAAGGTTCCTGACACCAGATGACAGCTTTTCCTGTGCTCCAGCTACGTCGGATCAAAAAAAAAAATCGTGCTTATAGGTCACGAGATGGGTACGTCCCGCGATGTCGAGAATGAGACGGACACCCGCGCCCTATCATATCAGATGTCCCATAGGGATTGGCAGTAACGCTCTGGCGGATGGGGATTGGCTGGCCGGTAAGTAAGGTTGATGCGGTGTTACGCACGCCACTGCTGTGGTGCTTGCTTGCTTGCTTTGCTGCGGAACGAGACGCGCTCACCTCAGTCTGGAAGAAAAGGTACGGAGGGGATGGAGAGTTGGTGGACCCTGGGAAATCCTTCGATCCTCATTCAGGGAAACTGAAAACCTGAATGTGTTCGTTGGCTGGCGGGCTGGCGGGCTGTATAGTGCCAATTCGCGGACTAAGCACCGGATGTTGAAGAACACACAACCACACTTCGCTAACAGGTCAACAACACTCCCCACCGGTTTCCATCAACTCGTCCCATCTCAGGCGCTGCTCGACAGCTAGCTACCTTAGTCAACTCCCCCCTTCTTCGCAGTCTCCTTCTTCTTCCCCCGACCCTTTTTAGCGTCCTCCTCGTCATCATCCTCCTCATCCCCGTTCTTCTGCTTCCTCCGCTCCTCCCTCAGCGCATCGTGCACCTCCTCGCTGCCCTCGTCCTTCTTCTCGTCCCACTCGACATCATACTCATCCGCGATGGCTTTGATCTCCTTTCTCAACGCATTCGCTTCCTCTATCATGCTCTCCCACTTCCCTACGTCGAAGCCCTTTGCTGTATACAGCGTATTTTGTCTTCTACTGACCGTGAGATTCAGGGCCGCCCGGTACGAGACCTCGCGGTTGTGATAGAGGAACCATAAGTAACCGCAGATGATGGTCGAAAGACCGACCACTGTAAAAACACCGGGGAGTCAACATTGGTCTGATAAAAAAACAGTTGGGGGAGTGGAGGTGAGAGATTCTGAAAATGGACAGGGGGAGGACCTCCAACAACGTACGGTAAGTTACAGGTTCCATTGTATCCCAGCCGTACGAGGTGCGGAAGGTAAAGTGGTAGATTGCTCCCCACCAGCCCACGAGGACTGCGAAGCCGCCCTATCAGTACACATTAGAATTGGCACAACAACCTCATGTTGGGCGGAACATGATCTTTAGAAAAGAAGGCATCGCTTACCATAGCAAGCCTCTGCGCACTCCGATGAGCAAGCTTGTCACACTCCTTCTTCACACTCGCCATGTCCGCCAACTTCCTACTCGTCTTCCTCAATCTCACCCTCAAGTAATGCGTCCTGTCGTTGAAACTCGGCACGCCAACCCTAATCTCCTGACTCGCCCCCTCAATCTCCACCGCAAATTCCCTCCCTCGCGCGGCATCTCTAATGAAGTCCCCAATCTCAGTCGACGACGACCAGCGCACGAATTTCTGCTCCTTTTCAGGCGGGGTCGAGGACTCGCGACCTTGGCCACTATATGTCTCGACGCCTCCTTCGCCTGGCCCACCGCGGAGCGACGTCTCGATTTGCGAGATTGTGCTGCGATCCCGCCCTTCGACTTCCGATGACTTGGAATCTGCAGATTTGTCCTTAGTCTTCCCACCACTTATCTTTCCAACCTTGACTAACTTCCCATCAATCATCTCCTCCTCGCTGCCCTCCTCTCCCTCTTGCCTTTCCTTCGAATCTTGCTCGATGCTGTCCTCTTCATCCCCCTCGTCTCGCTCTCCATCCTCGATCTCATCTCTCACACTATCCTCCGCCCTAAACCAAACCTGCGCGACCTTCTCCTTCCCGTCTTTCCCCTGGATCATCGGAAGCTCAGACTGGATCAGCCGTTCGAGATACGAGAGCGGTTGCTGCGGATGCACCAGCAGGGCGAGTGGCTCGATAGATTTGCGGTCTGTGTTCTTGTCGGTGGTCGTCAGGGGGAGGATGAGCTTCAGCAGGCGGGAGGGCGTGGTGAGGAGTTTGCCTGTTTGTATTCAGCCATCCATATATCAGAACCATGCACGCACAACCTTGAGATGTCGGGAAACGAGATATTGTAGTGAACGAACCCTTGGTCATAGCTCCTGCACTGCGATCCCTCCTCACAGGCGGCGTGTCGCTGCCCTCCCTATGCCACGGCGTCCTCGCCTGCAGCTCCCTCGCCTGCCCAATCGCGTCGTCAATCTGTCCATGAACCCCATCTTCCAGCTCCTGCAAACCCTTCTGATTCAGCGCCTTCGCTTTACTCGTCGCATCATCTCGGGCTTTCCGTAACACCTTTGACTCAGAGAATTGTCGAGCAGGAGCAGGCGCAGAGGGGTAGGAGAAATGCGGGCTGCTGCGAAAGGTGGAATATGCGAAGACGCAGGCGTGAAGCTGGAACTGGCGGGTTGCTGGGGTGGAGAGGCTGACCATGAGGGCAATTCGCGAGATCTGGGGCTGCATTTTGGAGAACGAAAGGACTGGTAATTTGGGGCGTAGGAAGAGTTGGATGGGAAGGAAGAAAAGAAGGAAGGAAGGAAGGAAGAAATGAAAGAAATAGCAGTCAAACTAAACGAAGCATGTTGGTGTGGTATCTCTCAAGGTTTGCAATTGCTTGAAGGTTGGAATACTTACCACCGGTAGGTAGGTAGGTAGGTTGCAAACTGAAGCTGTTCCTGGTTTGATCCACTGGTTCAACGTAGTGACGTCATCACAGCCTTGTGAGTGCGAAACAAGCGCGAGGCTACGGGTCGATCATCGCTTGGTAGTCAACAAGCTTTTCCCACCGCTCAAACATCCGCTTGAAAACCAACCCACCAAATAGGGTAGGGACAACTGTGTAGAGAATCAACAAATCAAAGCTTCCTTTCAATGATGTACAATAATACAATTCGGCATTATCGAATGCCCCGTCCAACCCACCCTTACCGTCCCAGTAGTACATGTTTACTCGCCCTTTAGCTTATCTTGGGTAACAGAGAAAGCAATTTCCAACAAATCAGCCTCCTCCTTAGTATGGCTAGCCTTCAACCCCGTAGCCACACTGGCACTTGGGTTGCGACCAGCGTACATGACATGCTTGCGGTCATGGAACTCGGTCTGGTTGAGCAGGGTCTCGATTCTGGGTTGGGTGAAACTCCAGGCTCCAGCGTTGAGAGGCTCTTCTTGACACCAGACGATGGTCTTGGCGTTCTTGTATGTGTCGAGGTTCTCCTTCAGTTGTTGCCACGGGAAGGGGTTCAGTTGCTCAATACGAGTAATGGCAGTCTTTTTGAAGCCCTTGTCGGCACGGTACTTGTGGAGAGCGGCGTAAACTTGTCCGGAGCAGAGGATGACGCGATCAATGTCATCGGGCTCGGCGATGGACTTGCCGTGCTCGGGGTCGGGGATAATCCACTTGAATTGCGAATTACCGGTGAACTCCTCAATGGGTGAGCGGGCAAGTGGGTGTCGGAGAAGAGACTTGGAGAAGAAGATGACGAGGGCTGCAATGTGTTAGTCACGCAAGAACAAAAATTATGGATACCGAAATAGAACTCACGCTTGCGGAATTCTCTGCGCATCTGTCTTCTCAGGATGTGGAACAAGTTCGAGGGAGTGGTCATGTAAGCAATTTGCATGTTGCAGTCTTGATGTTGGCGATCCAGCTTTTCTGGGGCCGGGTAAATGCGTGGGTCCTCGTTGCTGAGTTGCAGATATCTCTCCATGCGTCCAGACGAATGCTCGGGACCTTGTCCATCGTATCCGTGAGGTAACGACATCACAAGACCAGATCTCTGCATCCACTTAACTTCACCGGAGGCAACGAATTGATCAATGATACATTGAGCATTGTTGGCGAAATCACCGAACTGAGCTTCCCACATGACGAGGGCGTTTGGTGATGAAAGCGAGTATCCATACTCGAATCCAAGACAGCCAAACTCACTCAGTGAAGAGTTAGAGATGACGAACTTGCCTTGGTCCTTGCTGATATGTTGAAGTGGGGTGTACGTTTTTTCAGTCTCCTGGTCATGGAACACGGCGTGCCTTTGAGAGAAAGTACCACGCTCGACATCCTGACCAGAAACGCGAACATGGTGACCTTCTTGGACCAGAGATCCGAAAGCAAGAGCCTCAGCAGTAGACCAATCGATGTTGGTGCCTTCAGTGACAGTCTTAACACGGCTGGCAAGGATGCGCTTCAGGTTGCGGTGAACATTGAAGCCTTCTGGCGCCGTCCCAATGGTAGTCCCGATGTGCTCGAGAGTGCCTAAGGGAACACCGGTAGGGTTGTGGGGTAGGACTTCATTGGCAAGCTCCTTAGGAGACTTGAAACCATTCCAAGCAGATGTGGTCCACTCCTTGGAAGTTGGTTGGTAGTCCTTGCTCTTGGTAAAGCTGTCCTCCAACATGCCCCAGACCCATTTTTTGTGCTCTTCGATATCCTCTTTGGTGAAGCTGCCATCTTTCAAGAGTTGGTTGACATAGATATCAATTTGAGGTTCGTGTGCCTGGATGCGTTTGTACATAAGTGGTTGGGTGAAGGAAGGTTGATCAGTCTCGTTGTGTCCATGTTTGCGGTAACAGACGAGGTCAATCACAACATCCTTGCGGAACTCGGCGCGCCAATCCGCCGCCATTTGGCAAACGTAGTTGACAGCCTCAACATCATCAGCGTTGACGTGGAAGACTGGCGCATCAATAGCCTTGGCAATGTCGGTACAGTAGGCAGTCGAACGAGCGAAACGAGGGTCAGTAGTGAAGCCAATCTGGTTGTTGACGACTAGGTGGATAGTACCACCAGTCGAGTAAGCAGGCAAAGAGTGGAAACCAAGACATTCGTAGACAACTCCTTGAGCAGCAAAGGCGGCATCACCGTGGAGGAGGACTCCCATGGCAGTGTTGTGAGCCTTCTCATCGTTGTTGTAGTGCTGAATAGCTCTGGTCTTACCCAAGACGACAGGATCCTCAGCTTCCAAATGGGAAGGGTTGGCCACAAGTGAAAGCTGGACACGCTTTCCAGAAGGGGTAGGGCGCTCAAAGTTCATACCGAGATGGTACTTTACATCACCGGATCCCTCGTCTTCAGCCGCAGCACTTCCTCCAAACTCGCTAAAGATAGATTCGTTGGGCTTCCGGACGACGTTGGAAAGGACGTTCAAACGACCACGATGGGGCATACCGATGACAATATCCTTGACACCATAATCCACACTTCTGTCAATCAAGGCTTTCATCCCAGGGACCAATGTTTCACAACCCTCCAAACCAAAACGTTTATCGTTAGGATATTTGGTTGCCAAAAAGCTCTCGAAGCTGGAACTCCAGATGAGACGGTCAAGAATTCGGCGCTTCTCATCAACGGAATATTTGAAGGGCTGAGGAACTTCAACACGCTGGCGGAGCCAGTCGCACTGTTCTCTATCTGGGATGTGGATATATTCGACTCCGTAAGAACCGCAGTAGATGCGCTCGCATGCGGCAATGATGTCACGCAAGCTCATCTTCTCACGGCCTTCCTTCTTGAATCGCGGCAAGATACCAGGGCCAAGGTTGTATTCGGTGTCTAAATCCTTCTCCGTAAACGAGTAGTGCTCGAGCTGTAGCTCCTTGGGATTGCTAGATCCGAACTCCTCAGCCTCGCGACGAATGCCCAAGGGGTCGATTTTCGCCTTGTGGTGTCCGCGAGCTTGGTATGCTCGCACAAGTAATTGTACCTTCAAGTGGTTGGTTACATCCGAGCCCTGACCAGCAGCCATGCCGACTCCAGGAGTGAAGGTTGCGACGCCGCCGGTGGGCACAGGAACGAGATTCGGTGGAGGTGTGAAGGCTTGCGACATGGGCATATCGCCGCTCTCCATATTGCGAAAGTATACCTGCCATGAGATATGCACGCTCTTCGGATCTTCCTTCCACTGCATGTACATCTCATCGATGTAATTTGCGGTATTTCCGGACAGAAAGCTGTCGTTCGGATCCGGGGCGTTCGCCACGGCAGCGGCATAGCGTTTTTGCCCAGTGGCAGCCGAAGTTCGTTTCGAGGATACCGCTGAGGACTTTGGGGACAGGAGAGGAGATGTTCGTGATGCGGTACTGAGAGATCTGGCGACGCTGCCAACTTTCAGGAGCTGGCAGCTCTTCTGCCGCAGAGAAGATTGAAGCATTGCGCCGGCCAATGCGGAGAAGGAGGGAAGAGAGGAATAGGATAGATGAGGTGAGATAGGATGCAGAGCGCACCGGAGGATTGGGGATAACCAAAGAGAGGACTGGCTTGGATGTAGTTGAAGTTGGAGTTGAGGCTGAGATGCGGATGGAAGGACGAGTCGGCATAATCCGTAAGTACTTGGAGAATCGACGTAAATAGTACCACGGCTGATCCCATGGCATTGGCGTCGGGCCGGGACAGGGGATAGGTCGAAGGAATCACGTGTCGCCGAATCCTCGGGCCACGGGCTTAGGTCAGCAAGGACCATGAACAGGGAGTCGAGTCTATGGTACCTAGAATGATGAATAGGACATCCACCATCCACCTCCAGGACCTCTTCTGCTTTTTCCGCACACTCGACAAGAATACATAACCATTTAACTCCTAGATAACGGGTTGCAATTCAATACTTGGTCCGATTGATCCTCCTCCTCCAAACTATCACAACGTCTCGAAGATCCGTTCATTTCACCCTCGGGAACAAAAAGTGAACAATTATAGGCTGCACCTCATCGTCCTCCACAAAGGGCGTATCGGCCTAGATGCTGTAGCGACAACAAAGTCAACCTTGAAATGGCGCCCATCAGTGGAGCTGCGGCTTATAAGAAGAAGGACGGCATTTTGGCCGTTGCAAATGATCAACAGTCGATACAATGGCGAGCCAACGGCTCAGAAAAGGGCGTGACAATTCCCGTTGCAAATATCACCAGTATGTGGCAGCTGGTGTTAGACGGCCGGGCAGGTACAGCTATTCAGCTAACAACATTCAGACTTGCAACAAACACCCGAGACCGCGGCCAAGGTGATGCTCAAGATCTTCGAAAAGTCACCTGATGCTCCCGAGGCTGTTACTCACCTTTTCCACTTCAACTCTCCGTCAAATCCTCGGGGAGAAGCCAATGCCGTGAAGGATGTCTTAACCAACTTGATTGCAGCGATAAAGGCAAACGATGGCACTGTCCCCAAGCCTAGCGGGCCGTCCACAACAGGCCCCACGACTACTACAGTTGCTACCAGGCTCAGCAACGCACCCACATGGTATGACGATGCCCAGCTGAAGACGGACTTCCAACTCCAAGAGTCGTTGTTGAAGAAGGATATGTCATTGAATCGAACGTATATGGAATCGAGGCGAACCAAACCTGATACCCTGTCAGACTCTCAGTTTAATAAGCAATTCTGGTCTACTCGCGTCAATCTCCTCCGAACATTCGCAATTGATTCAAAGCAGAAGAAGGGCCCATACAACGTCCTGTCCGCTGTAAAACCACGGCAAGTGGACGGAGAATTGAAGTTGAATATCAGCGCCGAACAAGTGCAACTCATCTTCGGTCAGCATCCACTGGTCAGACGTGTTTACGACGAGAATGTCCCCAAGCTCAAGGAATCGGATTTTTGGTCGAGATTCTTCGTCAGTCGCCTATTCAAGAAACTCAAAGGAGAGCGGATTGTGGAAGCCGACGGTACGGATCCTACTTTTGACCGATACCTTGACGCGCCCAATGATGATGGTTTGGGTAATAGATTGCTCACAGCGCATATACCGCACGTCATCGACCTCGAAGGCAATGAACAGAATCAAGGCGGCGCTGGGGCCAGAAGTGGAAATCGGAAGGACTTTACTATGCGGCCGGGCTCGATGGCGAAGGTACCGATCATTAGAACGCTCAACAGCCTGAGCGAAAAGCTCACAGCTGAAGTCGCACCTTCTAATGTAAATCCAGCTGCTCCCATCGGCATGGATGAGGATACCTTTAACCAACTGGCACTGCGAGATTTACAGGGCGACCCGGAAGAGCATCGCATCATGCTCAACATAACAGAACAAAGCAAGTTTTTCTCTAACGGTAAGTCCGACATTTCAGCTGAAGCTGCCTTGTATGCAAAGCAAAATCCTTCCAAGATACTGTCGGGTATGAAAACCGATGTGGATCCACGTAGTATGGACCACGACAGAGCCGGTGGTCTGAACCTACACTCAGCAATCGGCGTCATTGAAGACAGCGACAGCGAAGACGAAGATAAGCCTGGTCACGTGGGGAGCAAATCTAGTATCGCCGATGCCCAGAAGCACGTCCTGGAAGGTATCAAAGCTCGTCGGGCTGGCATCGATGGCTCTGGAGCTCAAATACTATCCGGACTGTCACAGCCCCTGTTTGACAGATTGACCTTGACACAAGCGACGACCACTGAATTCCTGCACCACTTCTATCTACTGTTCCTCTCTGGCGATCCCGACCGTGCAACAGATTTGGAAAGACTGGTGGAGACTCTGGAGAGGGCATTGGACCGGATCAATGCTGTGGCAAACGATGCGGAGAAAGAGCGAGGAGAAGCTGAGCTCAAAAAGAAGCAGCACATCAGAGACGTGTATGAAAGGACGAAGAAGAAGATCGTTTATAGACCAGAGTCTATTGGCGGCGGAAAGAAGGTTGTGATGGAGATGATGGAGCCCACTATAAGGACTATCGCCAAAGCAACAAAAAAGTACAAGAAAGCGCTTGCGGCTGAAGGAGTTCACATTGCCTAGACTCGGCGATCATGATAGAGCATCATTCTGACAAATCAATGTTACCATAGTGTTGGTGACATTGAGTTTTGGAATGGAGCCATCTTGGATTCGTCTATCTACAGTAAGCAAAACTGTCTTCTTGGAGTTTGTTCCGCGTTGCTCAAGGCCGGTGGTGGTTGGGGCTGCGAGAAATTGGCTGGGCTATAGCGATGGCGTTATGGTCTTGGAAGGGGCGAGGGTGTTGCCTGTATCACCACTTCCCACATTGGCGAAATACATGCTACAATCTGCGCTTTCTTAAAAAGTTTCTTTTTTCGCCCCAATTAGAGATTTGAAAATAGTGGAACAGCCGTGTGACTGTAGGAAGGAGCAAGTTTTTCCAACACGGCCGCCATTCGACTCTGATCTATGTTTACTTTTCCCTCCTCCACTCAACATCTCACCTCAATCATCCGAACTAATCCACTAGTTGCACATTGCGCAGAGGCCGGCATCCTTTGTTATTCGCCTCTATTTTGAATATCACCATGTCTATCGCAACGAGCATACTCCCTACAGATAACAAGTCTACGACATCCTCACTGTCGAGGACACCCCTTTGGCCAAGATCGGTCACACCTACTTCCCCTATAAACAACTCGTTACGTAGAAAAGGCTCATTCCTCCGCCATGATTCATCGGAAGAGATACCTAGTTCACACGATTCCATATTCGAAGCTTACTACCTTTCTGGCAGTGAAGGAAGCTTCCACAAGGCCGAGTTGATCGATATTCCAAGCCGCGTTCCCAGACTCATGCTACGAAATGACGAGAATAGTCGAGCAACCTCGCCTTCTAGTGTCGCGGATACGATCCCATTCCGCTACGGCAATGGAACGGTACTTGACACGATCACGGAGCAGAAAAGCGTAGCCACTCTCCGGAGCAAAAATACGAGAACCAAGTCCGCGGAAGCCAGCCCGAACGTGCCATTCCTAACCCACCGAGACAGTTTCATATTATCGAAGACCCCTCGCCGGATGGTGTCCTTCAGTCTCGATGATATCGAGCTCATCAAGCAGTCCTACCATGACGCATGCACTACAATTAAGAAGGAGGCTTTCCAGCCCCTGCTTCTTGAGCACATATACGCGGAACCGAAGACTCCTATTCACGCACCGCCTGATAGACCTCCAACTCCTGAGGGCATGCCATCGTGGACGGAGGCTCAAAAAAGACCTATCCTGCCACGACGCAGACCACAGCCTGTTAAGCAGAACATCTTCCGAAAATTCCTGGGTATGCCAGGATTCCCTAAGAAAACATCTTCTCAGGAGAGAGATAGAACCTTATCTGCGCCAGTAAGAGGCCGTACAGCTCCGCGGTTCCGCCCTCCAAAGAGTGTCTATGGTCCTATCGATCAACATCCATTCTTCAGTGCCCCATTGGCGCGAATAGATGAGCCTCAACCGGTATTCGCAAGCGGTACTCTTGACCCTACCTCTGCTATCATGCCCAAAAGTAAGCGTTTACGCAAGGAACACAAAGTCAGATTTGCAACCTCTGCAACGGCCCAGGACTCTGAGTTCAACGTCCCTCAAGCTGCGGTTGAGTCGACGGTAGACGTTGCACCTCATCCATTCCAACCATTTCAGAGTACTGTTACGGAACTGTCAAACAAGGAACCTTGCACGCATCGAAAGACCAGCGGCGGGAGTACAAGGCTTAGGAAACCGGTACCTGGCCATCTCTTGGGAGCAGAATACACACTTGTGCCTCTGCCTCCGTCTCCTGAACCTCCTCGTGGTGTCCAGCCTTATCTTCGGCCATATCCGATTGGCTCTCCAATCGATCATACACCCATATGTCGGGTTCTTCCCGAATCTACCACCAATAGCCAGCTCACACAGAACGAGCTTGACTCTCTCTGCGTCCTCGACAGCCCCCGTGCCCGCTCCTTCTCTATCTCGTCAACTAGCCACCTCATGTCCGGTGCCCTGAACGCGCCGTCTTCCCCGCCGCTCATGGTTCCGCTACCTACTTCGCATGAGTCTCCTGAACTCAAGAAGGAGCAGGCTTGGTGCTGGAGATGCTCGCTCCAGTCCGCGCTCGGAAAGCTGGATCAGTGGTGGTTGAAAAGCGCCGGATGCATGTGCTTTGTATGCTGTGGCTTTGATACAGATGGGGATGGTAGAGGGGTAAGGAAAATTATTAAAAATATGGCTGGAGAGGGTGAGGATGTTAACAGGGCGAGGGTAGTGGTCATGAGTCAGACACCAGCTAAGGTTCTCTGAGGCAATCTGGGAAGGGAGATCATGATTGCCGACGGATGGGTGGATGGAATGGAGTGGTAAGTGGCGTTTGAGCGTTAGTCCGTGTGCGATGGATAGATGGGAAGACGAGGCGAAATCATCATTAGATTGGCGTTTACTGGTTTGACTGAATGCTAGTATGTTCGAGTGTTTTTATTGACAGCCTCTTTGACTATCTATCTATTTGTGTGCGAGAGGGGGAGAAAAAAAGAGAGAAAATAGAATGCTCTTCTATTGTCAACGTCTCACGAGTCACGGGATACCTGGATCTGGATATGATAGGCGTCGTCAATACTCGATCCGGGCTAGTTCCCATGGATTTGCCACTGCATCGCAAGTGAGCCTTGAATCTTGCCAAATAGCTCAAAGATGATTCGTCTCTGTTTCATCGGGACTTCTGCATATGGATATGGATGTCCGTGTCTAAACAGCCCGGGCATCACCCAGATGATGAAGTCATGATGATGATGGACGGTAGCGTGGGGCGAATATCCTCGATATGATATTATATATCAGGAATGTGACTGAACTGTAAGTTTTCTTCACTTTACTTCATTCTTCTTTGTATATTGTTCTCTTTCCTCAGCTTCATCATACTAACAAATCTGTTAGAAATATATATACATATAACCTATTATCAGACAATCCACCCATCCTCTCAATATGGCCTCAACACACACTTCCGGCGATCAATATCGCAACTACCAAGACGACCGAGCCGCAAAGGCTCAAGATACCACCTACACGACATCCAATGGTGCACCCATGCCACACCCATATGAAGCCCAACGCATGGGCGAGAACGGTCCTTTGCTCCTGCAAGACTTCCACCTGATCGACCTCATCTCCCACTTCGACCGCGAGAGAATCCCCGAGCGAGTTGTGCACGCTAAAGGTAGCGGAGCTCACGGTGTCTATAAGACTACCGACTCATTGGAGGATCTCTGTCTCGCCGACATGTTCAAGCCCGGCAAAGAGTGCCCCATCACCGTCCGCTTCTCCACCGTCGGCGGCGAGTCCGGCTCTCACGACTGCGCTCGCGACCCCCGCGGCTTCTCCGTCAAGTTCAAGACGGATGAAGGCAATTGGGATATCGTTGCAAACAATACACCGATTTTTTTTCTACGCGATGCTGCAAAGGTGATTTTCATTTCTTCTAAAGCATTTCCCGGCTGGCGTTATGTTTAGATTCTGGTTTTCTGGCTTTTAAGCGAACTTTCACGTTAAACCAGCCACTGACTGCTGCCAAGTTTCCACACTTCATCCACACGCAGAAAAGAGATCCCGCAACGCATCTCACGCATGCTGACGACTCGACCATGTTTTGGGATTACTTGTCTCAAAACCCGGAGTCGGTACATCAGGTTATGATTCTGATGGGCGATCGAGGTATTCCGGATGGATACAGATTCATGCACGGATATTTCGGCCACACAATGAAGCTTGTGAACAAGCAGGGCGAGTGGGTCTATTGCCAGTTCCATATGAAGTCGCAGCAAGGTACCAAGTTCATCACCCAGGAAGACTCTGCGTCCAAGTCTCCGGATTATTCCCAAAAGGATCTGTACGAGGCCATCGAGCGCGGCGAATTCCCCAAGTGGACTCTCGAGGTACAGACCATGACAGCCAAACAAGCCGAGGAGCTCTGGGAGACGGAGAAGATTAACGTCTTCGACCTCACCCATGTCTGGCCACACTCGCAGTTCCCGCTCCGCAAGGTTGGAGAGTTCACGCTGAACGAGAATGTGAGAAACTACTTTGCCGAGATCGAGCAGGTATGCTTTAACCCGGCGCACCTTGTACCGGGTATCGAACCGTCTGCCGACCCGGTCTTGCAGTCGCGTCTCTTCTCCTACCCGGACGCTCACCGCCACCGCGTGGGCGTCAACTACCAGCAGCTCCCCGTCAACGCACCGCGGGTGAACTACCGCATGGGGAACTTCCAGCGCGACGGTGCCATGGCTTTCATGAACCAGGGCGGTCGGCCGAACTACATCTCGTCGATCGAGCCCATCAGGTTCCGCGAGCGCTCGGTGAAGATCGACGAGGTGCACGCCCACTTTGCCGGCAGTGCCGTGTCCTTCCTATCCGAGATCCGGCCCGAGGACTTCAACGCCCCCCGCAAACTGTGGGAGAAGGTCTTCGACGCCAAGGCGAAAGAGCGCTTCATCTCGAACATTTCCGGACACATGGCGAACTGCAAGGACAAGGAGATCATCAAGCGCCAGATTGGCATCTTCCGCGAGGTGAGCGAGGATCTGGCTACCAGGCTTGAGAAAGCTACGGGTGTGAAGGGGTACCCTGGGATTAAGGATTTGAGGTTCAATGGTACGCACAATGGGATGGCGGAGGATAAGGCGAAGAGAGTGGCGAATGGGATGGGATCGTCTGCCAAGATTTCTGAAAGTAATGGAGCGCCGGTCAAGGGGACGCATTCCGGGCCGGCGAGGCGGGTTGGGGAGAGTGGTGTTACGCTCAATGGTGTGCATTAGGCTGTGATACCGGTTGTAACAATAGGTTAGGATAACGTAGCATTTTCCCAGGTTGGGAGAGTTCTTTAAGTAAGCATTGCTTGGACCTTGAGACTAAGCACTCTTCTGCTAAGGAAAACTCATATCAGATGTTGTTTTTACTCCTCCATTTTTAACATACATTCACCTATATAGCATTTTAGATTCTAGGTCGCTTATTATTGACTCTGTGCAACATCCCTTTCCTCACAGTTTCCCAGATCTGTGTCCCCACCTAAACTATAAATTTCCAGCCTGCGAAGAGAAAAACAAAACATCTTCCAATCGACCTACCGGCAACTGTACAATTCGCACGTCTTGTCTTATCAGATTTCGGTAGACAATCCCGTCGCCCCTGGTCTCTCCAAGGGTCGAAAACCGAAGTGCGAGCTTGCTTTCAAGACCAGTGCTATTCGTAACATCCACGAAGCACCTTAATGAATTGTTGTCAAAGTCGGAATTGCTATCGTTTAAGGCTATCGTTTAATTTCAAGTTCCCTTCATTTATTTACTATTATTTTTCCAATTCCTGGACTCTTCTAATTCCGACGAAGAGTTGTATGATCCGTAGTAGTAAGAAAAATACGCGGTTTTATAAGTGGCGGAAGAGCCTAACTCGAAGCTCATCTTCAAGGCAAGAGAGGAGGCTAGTAAGAAAGTCCAGCTCGCTCGCTCACTGCTCAAGAGGCTGCTGAGATCGATTCTTTTCTCGCACGGCTTGTCAAGGAAGGCTCACTCTATGAAGGGACATGGAGAGAGTATAGTCGTGTAGGCTTTAACACGGTCCTGATGCTAGTAAACGCGTGGTTACATAATGACTGGCTTAACGAATGGCGTAAGCTCGTGGGATGCACGCATTTCAAAGCTGCTTAGTATAGTTTTCAATTGCGGCTTGTGCCTCCCGAAGTGGAGATGACGTCCGCTCAGATCTGTACGAAGGCATGGAAGTGTTGACCTACCAAGATCTGAATCTCTTGTACCATGGAGGTACAAAGATGCCCGCAAGCTTACATTGCAAGTCTATCTCCGCTAACACATGTTTGCTAAGGGATTGAAAACTATTGGAATCGTTATCAATGTCATAATCGCTGTCATTGACTTTTAGGTTACTTGTATTTATTAATTTTTTTCTTCCATTTCCTGGATTCTTTTCATTCTGACGAGAAGTTGTATGATCGTGGTAACGGACCCGGATTCAATTGTGGAATATCTTGCCAGCAACGCAGATCAGCAAAGACTTGGTCGATAAGACCGAGAATTAAAAGAAGTCGGAAGGAATCTTCGGCGGCGAGCTCTAATAGTAATAAGCGTAATGAAATCGTTTTGTGCTTGCTTGCATCCGCTTTATAATCCTTTAAAGCTTTAAAGCGAAAGGTGCCCCGAAGAATTACGCCGGCCGGCGTTTTAAATGCCGTGGTATATCCAAACCCCTGAATAAAAATCTGATATTTTCAGCTTCTATCTCGAGTTGGGTAAGGTTCTACTGTGAGACCAACAAACTGTCGGTGAATTCAAGAACTGCATATTCCCTATCCATCATTCCGTCGATCCATATTGTTTTACGCTTTCTCGCTAGTACGCTGTATATTATACCCATTATCAATTTTATAAATCTATAGGTCCATACTCTGATTTGCGCATTCTGGACAAACTGTTTGAGCAAAGTTGCAACCCCGTCATGGGAATGGCAGCAGGGAGCTCTTTCTCTCCTAACCTAGAGTTCACTCTTTGAAGTAATACGCATCCTCACTACCGCAACTTAAGGGCTTGCTTATATGATTATTTGTCGTGTAGAGTTCAAATTTAAAGGTTTAGATGGATAATATCAGCCTGCTTTTGTAAGTGCTATAGTGCCCGAGGCTAGAGGGCTCTTGAATGCTGTCAATTGTATTGTAGCAATATTACATATACTACTGTCGATTCAGTCGGTATTCGTCTAGATTGTGTTCGGTTCCGTAAACTGGCACGCGACGCCTAGGTGCCAATAACAGGCGCTGGTAATGAGTTCTTGCTATCATTTCGATAATCACTCTCGCACCAATAGCTAGAACTGCATGGCTATCTCAAGCCCAAGATTTTTTAATGTTGCTAAATAACCTTTTTTCCAATTTATCGCTCGTCATCTTTCTGATTATTTAGTATTCTGTTATAGTTGAAGCAAAGCAAGCAAGAGGGGATCATTGACTTCTCATCGCCAATAACACGGAGGCGCTATCCAGAGAAGGCAGCTGTCGATTATTAAAGTGCTATCAACACTTCCGTAAATAGTTTGAATTGACCTCACAGCTTTGGGGGCCCTCAGCAAGCAGATTTGGGCCGCGAAGATAGTCTGTATATTCTTCTTGTTATCTTTAAAGCGGTGTTGCGCTTGGAAGAGTTATCCATAATATTGTTCTGCTGAACAATATACGGGATGTGGTAAATCGATTTCCGCGACAGGATTAAGCTCTTCTTGAGCCGTGAGACAGTCTGGTTGCTAGTCTTCCTCGGACGATTAATCTGGAGACTTATGCATAAGAACTTAGAAAATATAAAAGCGTCGTTTTCCAACTCTTCTCCGCCTAGGTCATCGAGGTTTGTGGACACATCTCTACCGCTAAATGGAAAAGGTGTTTTGAGTGAGAGCAAATATGCAGGTTGCAGTAATGGGCAGCGTACTGAATATTTATAGTTATAACTGAAGAAAACTTTTTTGAAGTATGAACACTAATATTTCTAGATATCAATTCAATACAGAAGAAATAATCAATTAAGAGGGATCATGTCGGTATCACAGGTACCGAGTGAGAAGTACGAATATAGGGAGGGTGGTACAAATTGTATTCGTAAAGTCTGAAGAGGTCAGCTATTCTAGCCAAGGGAGAGTTATATGCTGGTGCCAAGGCCGGCCACCTACTGTAGCCACGTGACCTTGGATGCCTACGCCCTATATTCTCACAGAACGAATAGAAATGGGTAAATGACTTCCTTTCCAAAGCATTAACCTCTACTCTCATAGAATAGATGGGTTTACAAGTGAATATAGGAGCTATCATCTAGGCCATACTGACGGTAGACTATTCACTTCGCAGTATAAGGGGACAGAACTGAACCTTTGTACCTCCTTAAGTAAATGCCAAGTCTCTGACGATAGACGCCATCGCAGACCTCGGAAGAACAAAAATCTAGTTAGGCATTTCTTCCCGTGATACACCAATTGGGAACCATTTGTGGTTTTGCCTGGTACTTTAGCAGATACACATGGAGTTTCTGTTAAGAAGCAGAGCAATGGTTGAACTGTGGCTGTCCTGGGAAGGTGATGATTGATATTTCTTTTGCGCAAAACCATATACAACCTGACTCTCGACCTCCTACTTTTCAAGCTTTTTTTATATATAAAAGAAAAGACCTTTCTTTTCACATTACTCTTCTGTTGCTATCTATTATCTTTCCAACTTTCGCTATCAAATTAAATACTTTCAATATTATTAATCAGTTTTAAGCTTTAGTAATTGATCAATAACTGTTAGTATCCGTCACATTAAAGGTGTGCATAAAAACCAAGACTCGATACCTACGAACGTACTTCTTATATTCTCTTTAAATAAGTATATTCTAGTGAGATAGAGTTATGACTTCTTAGAGGAAAGGACGTTGAGCGCGGTGATGATCGAGTTATCTCGTCTCCACGGCGTGCTGAACCAGAACGAAATCGTGATAATATCTCGGAGAGGCTTTGACGATAGGCTAAGACCTAGGTTCCCCACGAAGAGAACTCGTACGTTGAACTCTTACTATCTGAAAACTTGTGCTGGCGGTGGACATTCTGGATTTTATATGTCACACACAGAACGGTATTCACCCCTTTTTTCCTCCCTCGCTTATTCCATCCCTAAGCGAGGAAAAAAAAAAAGAAAAGCTAATAAACAAACGATCTTCCTCTACGAAACCCCCCCTCCTCTCGGCCCTAACCTCGACCCTCACCTATATCACTCTGTAATAACAGCTCTTTCAGCCGCACTTCTCCCACCTATTTCTGACCGACATCCAAAAAGCCGACATCGTCGTCACGCAGCAGTGGCTAAGCCTTATCATCCGGCAGTCCTCCATACGGCAGGGCCTCCTCTCCAGCACAGGCGCGGCCAAAAGGACGACGTTCGCGTACCCGCTGTAGATCACGCGCACAGCATCCTTGGCGTCATCGTGTCGCTGCCCACGACGTCCATCGAGGTGCACGGCATGGGCATCTTCGAGAAAGATCTTCGAGGTCGGCAACACGATGCTCGGAGTGCTGCAGGCGCGCGGGGCGGCGGTCCTCCTGTCCGTGAACATGAGCACGGCGCCGGACCCGTTCGCCGAATTCGTTAGGAAGCTGGACCAGACGTCGAGTTCCCAGCGGCAGTATGCGAATCTGGTGCTCGCGAGAACGGCGGAGAAGCCGGTGGTCCAGCGTTTTGAGATGCCGGTTTGTTCCGGGCTCGGGGATGGGTCGCGTGCAGCTGGTGGTGGGCTCGGAGGGAGAGAGTTCCCGTTTGGGATGCAGGATGCAAGTGCAGCGAGGCAGTGGAGGGGGAGTATCGTGGGGGAAATTGGGGCTGTGGGTCTGCTTGGCAAAGGAGGAGGAGGATGAGGAGCGGAAGAGGCTGACAGCGCCGGTGCTGAGGATAAAATGCCGAGGCAGCATCGTAGGACAAATTGACGAGGTTGGGACGTATAGGGTTAGTTATCCAGGGAGATGATGGGCAAGCCCGGGAACAAATCATGGACGGCAATCAGGGTTGGGGAGAAGGAGAAAAGGGTGCGGATGGAAGGGGAGTGGTGCGATCTGGATCATGGACGAGGAAGAGTGAGTAGGGCTCACTTGATGGATGTGAGTGGGGGTGGGGGGTACTAACGAATTGGAACGTTGGACCCGGAAATACCTCAAACAAAGCCAGTGGCATATTCTTTGATTCTTTTCTCTCTCCTAGAAAGCCCCTCTGAACTGATCCACCAGCTGCCGCCCCAACGTCCTCCTCCTCCCCGGCCCAACTTCGCCCCCAAGCCGTCCATCACTCCCCGTCGCCTCCGCTTCCCTTTCGCCCCCCTCCGTCTCCAATCTTCGCCTCATACCTTCAAAATCTCTCTCTCGACCACTCTTCTCCTCACCCACCACCCACCCGGGGACCCTCCATCTGGTAAAGCTACCCGGCAGCACTTCATTCCGCCACATGTAACCCACTACCCACCCCACAGTCGCACACAAGAGGCTGCCAGGGAATTGAGACAGAGCGAGTTGAATGGCGGGTAGGTAGACGTAGGATTTGTCCGAGAAGGTGAGGCCTGTGAAAGAGCCTGGTGATGGATTGGGGGATGACAGAAAGGAGGAAGCGGCGATACGGTATTTGTAGACGTATGGGATTACGGCGTGGTATTGGGCTAGAAGGGAGAAAATGATGGGAGTGGGACCTGCGGGCAAATAGTTGAAAGTATTTAGAGAAATGGGGCGCAGGAAGAGAGCCAGGAGGAGGGGCGCGAGGACGGTGGTAAAGAAGAAGGAGAGGGCGATAAAGGACTGGTAGGTTTCCGTTATTAACTTTTGCTCTGCTGCCTGCTTCCCTCCATTTTCAAAAGAAGATATATGAATAGGAGGGACCATGTATGTGTATAGAGGGTATGGAGGAGAGAGAGCTTACAGCGTATTTCCTGCTTCCCCATAACCGTTCGACAACACGCATATTATACACCGTCATTGCTGCGAACAGCACCTCTGTGCTATTGGTATAGCATAGCTGGTAAGCGAAGATCCGCCATAACTGGTGATACCGCCATAGGTGAGGATCGACTTGGATATAGAAGTAATGCTTTGTGTCCGTGACACTAGCCAAGATCGAGAAGCCGATGAGGAGGAAGGTAAGGCTGCGGGAGACGGGTGCGTTGGCGAAGCCGGTGGATAGCATAGTATCTAGTTGTACCTATCTGCGTCTATGGTCGAGACTGGAGGAGGAAGAGGTCGGATCATTGATCCACTGACCGGTTGTTGGGAGAGTGTTGAATCGATTGATGGATGTTGGTTGTCGGCAGAAATGTCGCCCGCCTCAGCCTCCCTGGGCGATGATGTAGCGTGGCCTGAACGCCATGGGCAAGGCTTTGCTGTGGCACTTCTGGGCAGCCAGCCGCGTCAGTACTTCAATTGCACTGCCATCCACGAAGCCTCGCCTCTTCGCGCATTACGCACTCTCTATGTGCAGCAATCCTACAAAAGCAGCCAGTGCTACCACTTTACACTTCTTCATATAACCAAGCACCATTCGCAAAACCGACCTCCCTTCACAAAAACCCAAATTCGCGCATCGAGAACTAGAGACCGAGGAGATACAAACTTGCTGGCCCGATGGCTTCACCACATCTAACCCAGCTGCGCAAGTGGATGCTGGAATCGCCGCCTGTCGAATGGGGCATCAACCAGCTGAGGGAAATGCTGATTGGGGCACTGAGGCAGGGTTCTATCCCGCAACATGTTGCGTTTGTAATGGATGGGAACAGGCGGTTTGCGAGGAGCCATAAGATTGAGACGGTCGAGGGACATAATCTGGGATTTGAAGCTTTGGCTAGGGTGAGTCCTGGCGGTTTGGAACCAGCGACATGGCTAATCCAAATAGATATTAGAAGTCTGCTATAAATCCGGCGTCAAGGTTGTTACGGTCTATGCATTTAGCATCGAGAACTTCAAGAGGAGTAAATACGAGGTTGATGCCCTGATGGAAATGGCAAAGATCAAGCTCTCGCAGTTGTCCCAGCATGGGGAATTGCTGGATCGCTATGGAGCTAGCGTCAGGGTCTTGGGCAACAGAGAGTTGCTCCGGCCGGACGTGGTCGAGGTTATTGACAAAGCGGTGGATATGACCAAGAATAACGGGGCGTGAGTACTTCCCTTGCCCCAAGCTTTACTGCTCCCCTACTTCAGGTTTTTGATGCATATCGCTAAGAAAGTAGGTGTGCGTTGAATATCTGTTTCCCATACACTTCCCGAGACGAAATTACCTCGGCTATCAAGTCCACAGTAGAGGATTACACCAAACCTTTACCAGCACACGCCAGACCATTCTCACAGACGAGAATCACGCAAAAGATCCGCTCCCGAAACCTTAGCACGTCTCCCCTCCGCCCCAGCTCTCCCACGCCATCAAGCACATCCGACATCGACGATTCGATATCCTCCACCACCACTCTGAATCCGGAAAGTCCTCCCAACGATAGCCATGAGTATATCTACCCGGATCCTGAATCGATAACTTCAGACACTTTAGAAGATCACATGTTCACGGCTGGTGATCCACCCTTGGATATGTTGATCCGAACAAGTGGGGTGAATAGACTGAGCGATTTCATGCTATGGCAGTGTCACGAGAATACCGAGATAGTGTTCCTGGATGTGCTGTGGCCCGAGTTCGATCTTTGGTCCTTCTTACCGGTGCTGGTGGAGTACCAATGGCGGCAGAAACATGTTGAGGAAAAGCCTATGGCGAACCTGCCTCTGAAGACAAAGGTGCGGTAGAATTGTCATGATGCAGCAGTGAGAAAGATGCCTGGTGAAAGCTTAAGCTTAAGCGTGGACAGACGTTGGCAATCTGTGGTGATTTGTTGCTGTTAAGCTTTGATTTCATGTGTCAAGTGGAGTTGGGATGGGGGATCAGTGCCAGCATGGACTTTAGAAGCCGCGGATGTTTTGAGTAGATACCATGGAAGATGAGAAATGAACCTCGGAGCAGCTCCACGTTGTCGATTATGGGCAATGGGAAATTCGATAGTCATTTATCCTTTCCACCTGTGTACCTACCTAGGTACCTACATACCTTCCTACCGGTACCTACCTAGGCTTCAACTCTTCCATCCCGATATTTCATTATCCCGGTCCGCAATCGATGATAAGCCCGCGGTGTTCTGCCGCTTCAGACCGATACCAAATACACACTCCCATCACCCGGACACTTACGCTCACCTCTCCTCTCCTGTCCCCTCCCCAGCTTTCTCTCTCACATCTACGCACTCTGCTAGGGGCTTCCTCTGCTCTGCAACAACCCTCAATGTCCGGCACAAGCTAATAGCCCTCTGCCCGCTACGTCTACACCTTTTTTTCGCGTGTCGCACACTTCCACGTCTCTCCTCTTCATCACGCTCCTCTTCCGCCACGAGAAAACCTCCTCCTACGATGAAAACCTCAAAGCAAGCCCCCGCCGACCTGGCATCAAGTCGCAGAGCTCAGCCCCTCCGTCAGACACGAAACAATCCCCCCAGATCCTCCACCTCCGGCTCTCGTAACTTGGGATCCAGAGGGTCTCTGGGCGGCGGTGTTGCTGAAGATACTCCCATAGAGATCTTCCCCGCGATCACATCTTTCGCCGACGCAATTACCGCTCTACCCAAAGAACTCGTGCGCCACTTTACACTGCTGAAAGAGGTCGATGCGAAAATCTTTGCGCCGGAGGAAGAACTCGGTCGGCTCGTTGCAGCGGCGCTCGACGCATCTCTGCCCAGAGCTTCCCAACCCGACTCACATCTTGCTCCGGGCCCAACATCTGTTCCCATGAGCGCACAAGGGAGTATCAATGGCAGTATTGTAAACGGTCAAGCACTCTCGGTCACATCTGCCGTTGGCCCTGTCGAAGCTCCCAACGCGTGGGATCCCGCCAATATCCCTCGTCGACAGCTATTCCAGCAGTGCGCGTACACGATGCAGAACATGTTGGTTTCACTTGACGAGAAGAACCACGTTATTTGTACAGCGACGGAGGCGCTTAACAAACAACTTGCGCGCATAGACGAGTGCTTCCCGTACGTCGAGCTCGAGATCAGTGAAGAGGCACGGTTCGGCAGTACTACACACTGGGCATATCCTGAAAACAGACAACCGAAAGCTCCAGCAGGCGTCTCGAGGAGGGAAGTCATACCACCACAAAACTTGTCCGCTGCCGCTCAGCAGCTTGCTGACGAGGCGGCTGCGAGGAGTGAGGCGAGGAAACAGGCTATGCTTGAGAGGAGGAAGGGCAAGAATCAGCATACCGAGTCGGACTTCGACGACCAAGATGTGAAACAAAAGGATAAAAAGCTTCACGGAAACACGAAGTCCAGAAAGACTGCTGATGTGTCGACTGCTGTCGGACTGGGAATATCGAATGCGGCTACGAGTAGCAATCCGCCTAAGCGGCGCAAAGTCGACAAAGGTCCTGCTGGGGGTGTTGTTATGGAGAAGTCGCTCAGTTCGGCGCCCGCTACTAATGGGACAGCGGCGAAAGGAAAGGCTGCAAGCCCGCCAGAGACACCAATACCCGAAGGCGGAAAGAAGAAGCCGAGAGCGACTGCAATGAATGGACAAGCTAGAAAGAGGTATGTCTCGGTCGGATTGGGGGTCGCAATTGCTAATGGGAACAGGAACAACACAGCCGCCTCAGCAATGCCCCCATCTTTGGCCTCCTCGCCCATACGAAGCACATTCCCAGAGATAGCTGGAAAGACAGGAGGCAAAGGAACACCGCCACCCACCAACGGTAGACCTACGGCAGCAAGAGGAAGACAGAACTCTACGCAGTCCCTGGTAGAAAAGCGGCCACAATCACCGGCCTCCAGTAAGCCGAATGGAACAAGCACTCCAGACCTGGCAGCTGCGGCAACAGTGACCGGTCGCAGTATCCCAGAGGTCAAAGCGACAATGAAAGAGACAGCCAACAATTCCAAAGAGCAACTGGTAGAAGAAGTTCAACCAGAAGAAGCTGGCGGCGTCGGCGGCGCCGTAGTCGGAAACCGGAGAGACAGCACAGCCAAGGTCGAACCCGAGACAAACCTCGATAACCTCCTCCTCCAAAACACCACCACGAAGTCCGGGCGGGCCAGTAAACCCTCCACCCCTGCCATTCTGCAATTCCCCGACCCGAACCGGTCGCGGTCGTCTCGCGCCACCGAGTCTTCGAATGTTAGCAATAAGCGCAGCCATAAAAAAGGGGCTGGGCAAGCGGCCCAACTGGCGCAGCAAGTTATGCAGAATGGTGACGAGGAAAATGTTCCGGAACCGATGGAGGAGGATGATGATGAAGCTGTTGGAGACGATGAGCCGAGGTACTGTTATTGCGATGGTGTTAGTTATGGGGAGATGGTGGGATGCGATAGCGATACGTGTCAGAGAGAGTGGTTCCACCTGGAGTGTGTGGGATTGAAGGTTGCGCCTGTTGGGAAAGGTAAACGCACCATTTATTTTATTTCTCCCCAGCGACTCGAGAGCCGGTCGGGGCGTATGAGAGGGAAGGCATGCTAACGAAACGCAGCGAAATGGTACTGCGACGACTGCAAAGAAAAGATGAAGGCGAAGCGCCTCAGCACGCGGTAGCCAGTGACCACTTCCCAAAACTAGCTCGCAAACACACTTGCAAACATACCTACGGCGCACTGGGTACATATAGACAGGACTGGACATAGGAAATGGAATGACAGGAATACGAATCTTGACGGCGTTTACTGTTCTACCGGCGCTCGATCAGTTTGGGAGGCGAGCATTGTCCACCACCGGCCGATGGGGCCGGGAGCTGGAATATTATCATTGGACGGAGTCGACGCTTCCGGGTTATTATGCGCTGGTCTGGACGGGTGGGTAGATGGAACTGAACACGGATATATGACCTGAGTGGAATCTGGGGGTTTTTTTCTTCATGGGCGTTCACGTTATTCATTTCCTCGCGCCAGGAGCGAAAGTCAGTTGTATGAGCGAGTGGGCGAGCGAGAGACGTAACAAATGCCAATGCCAATGAAGCGAGTTTCTATCAATAATGTAAGCAGGCTCGATCGGTCGGATCACAGACGTTGCAGTTCCGCGACCCGCATGTACTGAATACTCCGTACAGAGTGACCACGACCCGACTTCGGTCCGAGAAAGAGAGGAGGAAAGAAGCTTTTTGCAAGCGATCTATGCGTAGATAACAAATCACGAAGGAGGAGGATGCAGGCGGCACACCCTGTAAGTTTGTAGCTCTACGGATGATCGAAATACTAAATGGCGATTCATCGAATGGAAGTGCAGATGGCGGAGCCCCTTGCGATGTGTTCTGCTTCTTCTTCCAATGAGAGGAAAGGAGGGGGTAAGAGGATCAGAGGATACGAGGATCAGAGGATAAGAGTATCAGAGTATAAGAGGATAAGAGGATAAGAGTATACAGTAAGAGGACAAGAGTATACAGTAAGAGGATAAGAGTATACAGTAAGAGGATAAGATTACAAGAGCATAGGAGTATAAAAGTATCAGAGTATAAGAGTAAGTCGGTCTTGCATTGAATGGAATGCCAAGGCCTTCCTTCATACCTGTCAAGGGGTGTCAAGGGCCAGACAGGTGACGCGTGACCAGCAAAGACAGCACAAGATCAAAGCCCATGCTCAAATGCCAAGTAATTGAGTTGAGGTTTAAAGGTTTAATTAAAGGTTTGATTGTGAGATCCAAAGTCTATATGTAAAAATACGCACTACTACCTACTACTATACTTACTTAGTACGTAGTACATGCACTACCCCACACGGAAATATAAAGATCCGGCCGGGCCCGGCAGGCTAGTCCAGTCCAGTCCAACCAAGGCCTTGAATCGACAGTCAAGCCTCAAGCCTCAAGCCTCAATCTACCGGTACGTCGCCACAACCAAATCATCGATACGGCAGCATTTTGCACACTTCGCCCCCGAATCTCAAACATCGTACCGCGCCACCTGATCACGCTCATTACTCATCGCTCACTTCCTCAATCCGGGGTCCTCCCCAAGGGCAAGGGCGGGGAAAGGGCTGTGGCGGCGCATTTCCTGGGTTTCCTTGACTAACAGCAACGCGGCCGTGTGTCAGACTTTCGCGGGGAGAGCAGGGCCGAGAAAGGCAGCTCTTCGCATCGCAGGGCAAGGCAGGGCAGGGCAGAGCATCGCAGGATATCGCAGGGCATCGCAGATAGGCCTAATCGCAGAAACAGGGCCGAGGAGAGGATCAGAGGATCAGAGGATCGTGTGTAGATAGGGACCTGGGAGGGCACATTCTATCCTCGCTCTTTTGCTATTCGCCTGCGCTGGAACCTCGGGGCCCCGGACCGCATCTCTTGGGGGTGACAAGTACAGTCATAGAAATCACGGCAGGCAAACGAAGCCTTGCTCCATATAAAGTACTACTACTACTACAACTATATAAGACCTCCGCGGAAGGCCCCAGAGCCCAGACCACCCAAAATCCTTACAAAAACCACAACCTCCCCTCCCAACGTATCAAGAGACAAAAAAGATACAAACAAAGGCAAGAAAGATACCGACTGGCCTCTCCATCCGCAATGGCCATCTCATCCCCTTTCTCCCAGGACAAGGCGACGGGGAAAGAGACTGTGCCCTACACGCCAGACAAGAGAACCTCGAAGGCGCAAGCACCGCCAACAAGTGATCGAATTGACCGCTCCTCGTTCTCTTCCTTCAAAGAGTCATACTCGGGGGGCGTGGCTCAGACTTTCACAGAGTCAAAGACAAGCACTTATCTACGGAACCAGTACTCGGCCAGCGACGAGAACGCCATCGACGACTCATCCAGCGGGTCAAGGACTCCCCCCGAGCTTGTTGAGGAACGACCAGAGGCCGGGCGAGGCATGCTCACGAACCCGCATAGTCTACTCCATGGATTCCTCTCTCCCTGTGACGGCTTTGTAGGATGGAAGAGGATCAGTGTGGGAGGCAAGAAGGCGAGCAAGAGTTTTGGAGACTTGCGAGAAGCGCTGAGATGGTCCTGGGACGAGTCGGGGGATGTGGTGATGCGCAACATAGACGTCGGCAAGGTCACGAAGTCTGAGAATGAGCTCTGTCCTGCTGGTGAGAGCAAGCTGGAGAAGCTACCTCAAGAGTTACTCGGTGCGTACCGTACCCATCCTCTATCGTCTATCCTCTATGTTCCCTCTACACATTTCTCTCGTGAAATCTCATCCAAAGTGCTGGGATATCGCCATCTACGTCATCGTCACACAACACAAAATTCACTCCGCGAACAACGGCTAATGTTTACACAGGTGCCATCATCGACCGGCTGGCAGTTGACATCCCACCCAATGGGTTTGCAGCCAGAAACGTGGATCTGATGTCTCTCCTGCTCACATCTCACAAAATCCATTTCGCTACCCTCGGCACTCTGTACGGTCAAGTCACGATTCCTCACTCCCGCATCTTCGCCAAGTTCCTGTCCAATGTGAAGGCGCATCCAGATCTCGGTATGATCGTGCGACGATTGGATTTCTCGCACTTCAACCCTACTGGGGCGGGTATCTCTGCGCGAGAACGAGCGTCGATCCAAAATTTGATCCCAGAGACTCTCCTCGCTTGCCTGCAGCTAACCACCAACCTCCAAGAGTTCCTCGCTCAAGAACACATCGATGATGAGCTCTCCCTAGCGGTTCTGAAGACGCTCTTTTGCGATCTCCCAAACCTCAAGGCTCTGGATCTCTGCGCTTGCTCGTCCCCTTCCTTTCGCAACTCCTTCCTCACCATCGTCAATACCAACATCCTACCCTCCATCCTCCCGATCAGCCGCCTCAGCCTGCACGAATGTACCGTCCTTCCCTCCTCAATCTACGACACCATCATACCGCGCTTAACACGACTCACCCACTTGGATGTAGCACACACCCGCATCACCGACTCCGCACTGCACTCCATCCCGCACACCGTGCAACTCACGCATCTTAACCTCAGTAAATGCTCGTTCCTGTCCGGCCCCTCCGTCGTGCACTTCCTGACCACACATCCGGCTGCCAAGACCTTAGTGTATCTGAACCTAGCCATGGACGCCAAATCGGCCGAGATGCTGTCCAGCGCCGACCTCACCGCTCTGCTGCCCTGCCTCCCATCCACCCTCCGCTCGTTAAACCTCAAAGGCTCGAAGATGGGAAGTGAGCATCTTCATCTCCTCCTCCCTTTGAGCAAACACGTCGAAGAGCTCGGTCTAGGACGACATCTCAATCTCTGCCAACTCACCCGCCTGTTCGTCCCTGACGACCAGGCGTCGCTGGAGGAGCAGCTGGCGTGGATCCCCCACTCGCTGCGCTACATCGACGTCTCGGACTTGTCCATCGCGCAGCTCGATCTGGGCACGCTGTTCGGCTCCGTCTGTCCTCTGTTGAAGTCCGTTGCTGAGCCATTGGAGGTTATTGAGCTATCTTCTGAAGTCCTCAAGCGCTTGGAGAAGGTGCCCGATGTAAAGAGGGTGGGCTGGTGCATCAAGGAGACTGGGCGACGGGGATGGCTTGTGAGGGTTCACAGGGGCGATGGGATCAAGGACGAAGGTGCTCGGGAGTGGAAGTGGGGTGCTACGTTTTGGGGGATGCGGAAGGTGCCCGTTGCACGGGCGGAGGTGGGGGGGTTGTATGGTGAGTTTTTTTTTCTTTTTGCTATATACTTCTGCTGACTTGGATTGAAAAGGCCATTACATGTTCAAGAAGACCTGATATGACCTCATTGTCAACCGACTGCGAAGCCTGGAACCGCATCTTCGCTTCTCGATATTCTCTTTGCGGATTGACTGAGAATAACCCCGCCCCGCTCGACACGACACGTATACATATTATGTACACCCCAGGCACACATACACCACAGGACCTACATCTTTTCCTCGTTTCATTCTCACAAAAAAGATCACAGCGTAGCGCCTCACCTGCTATAGCGCGATTGATATTTGGATTTTTCCCCTTCCTGCTTGGCTGCCACAGCGGTTTCGGCATCGCTTTGAAGCATGGAGTCTGGAGTCTGAAGTCTGGAGTCTAGGATCTCATGGAGCCTCTACCGGGGAGACACGCGCGGGAAATGACGGGTGGAACAAAGAATAAACAGCACGCCGGATCTCTTTTCTCCCTTTTTTTCCTTTCTGGGCGCCAGGCGGTGAGCGCGATGGGTCGAGCGGCTGTAACTTTCTGAGCTTCCGAGTTTCTGAGCGCTGAGTATATATATATATTGTTTGGTTAGCTTGCTAGCTTATAGCTGGAGAAGAGTAGGGAAAAAAAGAAGAAGAAATTTATAATCAAATACTTTCGTTTCAGAAATTAAATTTTTTTATTTATCTAATTTTTTTTTTTTTGGAAGTTTTCTCTATTTTATTTCAAGATTCTTGTTTCCTCCCACCCTTCCTCTTTCTTTTTCTTCTTTTTTAAATAAAAAGTTCTTTCTCTCTATCCCGATCCACTCCAATCTTCTACCTCCTCTTTTCCTCCTCCTCTTCTTCCTCTTCTTCCCTTCGGTCTCTGTATCATCAAAATCCAAATCCAAATCAAAACCTCCCCACCAAAAGGAGCCAAGTCAACCAACTTCCTTCGACCTCTATCCTACCTATCCTCATTTACCGACCCGCCCAAGAGAGAGTCTCGACATTGTACGTTCGCATGTGCCAGATCACCACCATTCATCGCAATTAAGAGAAAGGGGAAAGGAGAGGGGAACGAACCAGAAATTCCATTCTGCGCCTTTATGAAGAAGTATAATCGATTCGAAGTTTTGGAATTCGGAATCTTGGAGGATGTGGAGGATGGGAATGAGAATGGAGAGGGGAGGGGAGAGAGGGGAGGAGACACTGGATCGGATTTCTCCTTCTCCTCTTACTTTTCCTTTCGGCTCTGTGGCGCCGTAGCTTACCTAGCTGGGGATCCTCTCTCTCGTTGGGCTAATCACTACGTGAGCGAATCTTTGTGTACTCCTGTCAGATTCATATGGATATACACATCTCGAAATATATATATATATATTTTTTTTTTTCAAAAAGGATGAAGATGGTACGAGGATATCACGAAGAAGTACCCACGTTTCGTGGACATCGATCGGGTGATGGATGGGTTTATGTTGGTTAGTTACTTACTTGTCGCTTGCATGATCGATGATGTCCTCCCTGTGCGGAGGGGCGTTGTCGTTTGGGCCCCTCGGATGGATGATCTCACTTTGTTACATGCGAGTTGTTGGATTGTTTTGACAAGTGAAGCTAGGCTGGAATCTGGAGGGGGGGGGGAGGAGACAGGTTCGGTTTGAAAAAAAAAAAAGAGGGAAAGAAAGGAAAATTGCGTTGGGTTTCTTTCGGCTCCAGCGTGGGTGGGTGTTCGTTTTGGATTTGGGTTTGGGTTTGGGTTTGGGTTTGGGTTTGGGTTTGGGTTTGGATTTGGATTTGGATTTGGATTTGGATTTGGATTTGGACGGGCGGTGATCGTCGATCGATCGATCGCTTAAGTTAGCTTGACTTAGCTTGGCCTGTTGTTGTGTTGTTGTGTTGATGAGCTTTGTGGAAGGCCTTTTTTTTTTTTCTTTTTTTTTTCTCCTTTCCCCTCCGCTCCCCCCCCCCATCACCCACCTAACCACCCCCTAAAAAAAATAAGGGAATGTGCATAATTTATGAATATCTCGATAAAGAAATCGAGCTAGTCTAATCTATGAAAGTGTGTTTGGATGTGGAGAAGTGATTCATGAAAAGAAAGAGATATAGAGAATATCCGCGACACAGAAACAAAAAGATCAAGTAATTAAGAGGTGTTTTTCAAGCAGAGTTTGAGTTTTTATTATATCTGCTATATTTTGAGGTATCTATAGATATATATATATCATTAATCTAGAGAAGGGAGGGAAGTTGTGTTACTCGAGCCTGCCTGGTGGTGAACTTTGAACGGCTGCTAAGCGAGAGAGAGATTGCTGCTTCTTCTATCTTCTTATGATTGTCGTCTCCTCCTCCTCTTCAGCCAGTGAAGGCGAGTGCCATCTTGCCGGGTACCAGCTGCTCGTTCCTCTTGGCCACGGTGATGGATGGCGCCGCGGCGGCCTGTGCCTGGGCCGTGTCGACCATCATGGCCTCGGCGAGGAAGACGCCGCCGTTGGCCTGGCGCTCGATGAGGGCTTGCATCTCGGCCATGGAGACGATGACGTAGCCCATTCCTCCTTGGGCAGCGGCTGGGGCAGCGGCTGCGGCGGCCTGGCGTCCGACGACTAACTTGGCAGGCTCGGCTGCAGTGGCTCCAGCGGCTCCAGCGGCTCCAGCGGCAGCTGCAGGCTCCTTAGCAGGTGCTGCAAGTTCTCCAGCTGCTCCGGATGCTCCAGGCTCCCTAGCAGCTCCAGCAGCTCCAGCAGCTCCAGCAGGTTCTCCAGCAGCTCCGGTTGCTCCAGGCTCCCTAGCGGCTCCAGCACCACCAGCAGCACCAGCAGCTCCAGCAGGTTCTCCAGCAGCTCCGGCTGCTCCAGGCTCCCTAGCGGCTCCAGCACCACCAGCAGCTCCAGCAGCTCCAGCAGCCTTGGTCATGGTGATGATGAACTCTCCGTTGATGTTTGTCACCGGGACAGCGACCCTTCCAGAGTTCATATCAAGGACTGTCTTTGCCATGACGGGGGTGAATGCTGGAGCCAAGAGCAATTGACTAGCGACTGGGTTGTTGTTTGTGTTGGTAGGGTTGTTGTTGGTGTTGCCACCAGTGTTGCCACCAGTGTTGCCGCCAGTGTTGCCGCCAGTGTTGCCGCCAGTGTTGCCACCTGTGTTGCCACCTGTGGTAGGGTCGGTGCCAGTGCCGGTGCCCGTCATGCCACCTGTAGGGTCGGTACCGGTCATACCACCTGTAGGGTCGGTACCGGTCATACCAGTCATGCTGGAGTCTTGTCTCTTCTGTGGGCTGAGACTTCCGGTAGCACCGCCCGGGTTCTGAAGCAGGCCTCGTTGAGCAACACCAATTTGAATCGAATCACCAGCCCCGATACCCATCTGCGCAGCCATTGCCATGACACGGGCAGTGTTCACTATCTGGGTTAGCTGGCGGCCCATCGCTGGCAGCGAGAGGGGGGAGAGGGGGGACCTACAAGGAAGCTGCATCACTGCGGCCTGACTGTTCAACGAAGGGTTGACACCCCCCAGGTTGGTCGTGACAAGGTAGCGGTAGTTGTTCAGTGGTGTACCAACTTGAGCTGTCATAGAAGCACTGACGCCGTTGACCACGTTGGTGTTGAGTTGCATAGGCTGGCTGGCCTTGATCGACATTCGCATACCATCAGAGAACTCGACCTCTTGGATACCAGCACCCGAGACATTGACTTGGTTTCCGAAAGGAGTGAGGACGTTGCTGGTCTCTTGTGTCTGACGGCCGATGGCCATGTACTCGCCGTCGATGTTGGTCATCTTGACAATGCGCACGGTGTTGTCGGTACTAGAATATGAGTTAGATCAGAGCCAGCGACCGCGTTCGAGAAATACGAACGTGTTGACGGCCTTGATTCCTTCCATCACAATCCACGCTTGCCTGTCCTGGGACATCATCGCGACGAAAGTGTTATCGGGTGAGATGTTCATCTGTTGGATGATATTAGGATCAATGGGGAGCTCAATTTGAGCAGCGACGAGATCATTCGCGCCGTTGGTTTGGATTGTCATCGAGTTCTGCGAGAGCTGTACGAAAGGTTGGCCCGTAGAGCCTACAACGTGGTTGGGGGCCAGAGTGGCAGGGCTCTGGTTCACGATCATCTGACGCTGTGTCTGCGAGAAAGTCTCAACTCTGGAGTTGTCCGGAAATTGAACTGAGTTCAGTTGCATCTAGAACATTGATGTCAGCAATCTTCGCACTGAGCCAGCTGGCAGCTGCAGAGGCATTTCTGAATACTCACGTTTCCATTGAGGTTGACGACTTGATTCCACCCGACCTGCTGGGTTTGGGCAGAGACCAGAACATTACAGCTAGCAACTAGCAGAGGGATAATAGAAGTGAAGGAAGGCATTATGAAATAAGAGCCACCGGGGCTGTAAGTAATAAAATAAGCTTGGAAAGAAACGAAAAACGAAAAAAAAAAAAACCAAAAAAAAAAACCCGAACAAAGACCGATGATCTATTGTTGAGGGGACGGTATAAAGAATAATTTTTCCTCTTTTTGGTGCAGGAAACTTCTCTTATACTCCTTGAGTGGCTGCCACATAAGTCTACTTGGCGATGCGTGCCCACTCGCCACAGACGTCGTTTGAGCTTCTCCTTTGGAAGTGCTGTCACGCCGTCGGGCGGGCTTCAAACCGAGCTAAGGCATAATCGATTTCGCGGGTGACCAGTTCCCGGGATATCTCAAAATCCGATCTGATGTTTACTAAGCTCCCGGCAGCATAAGACCCGCTGGGATGATGCGAGAGACGGATAAGCCTCAAAACGTTTGCGTTAGACTTGAGGCAACTTCGCAATATCGATAGAAAAGCTTCTGTGTTATGTGATCGGCACGAATGCATTTTTCTGACGAGGCTTGTTTTCACCCCATGTGCGGGCCGTGCATCCAGGCCGTGCGTCTATGTGAAGTGTTTCCCCGGGAGGATCTCCTCCGGGCAAAGAACAGCAGGTCCCTGCGCTGAGGTCGCTTTTGGTGGGAGAATCAAGCCAGGATCCCTACGGAGCCAGACTCAAATCAGTCCTTGTCGCAACGATCAGAGTCCAGACTGTGAGATTATCTTGGCACTTGCAGTATTCGCTAAAGTTGACTGCCGAAAAATTGAGAGCAAATAAACAGTCTCGCTTAGCGTCGAGGTGAAGATAACCATGATATATCTCGAGAACGCGATATATCGTGACAATTTATTTTGAGCAGCCCAGTGTGGGAAATCTTCCTAGAAGCTTCTAGGTGTCTCTTGGGATATTTATGATTAATCTATTAAGTGTTGACATTGATATGTGCACTCAGAATTGTGAAAGGCCCCACATCCCTCCATTACAGAAATAAATAGGCGGAAAGAAAGGCTGCTCCCAAAGACCATGCCACACCATACGTCTTCTGGACGAAAGTAGCAGAAACCGCTTCACTGACCATTGGATTAGTGGTTGAACCTGGTCCCACGGGGCCGACTCCTGCTGCAGCCGATCCTGTTGGCTGTGAGGAATTGCCGCCCACGATGGCTGCCGGTGTAAGTGTAGCCGGATTTACTGGCGCATTGTTTGCAGCAGGTAGAGGTATACCAGCTGTTGCCAAAGAGTCTGGTAATCCACTGTTCATTGGGTTAGTGTTTCTCTGAACAGTTGTTTCAAAGTCGAGAAGAAGATCTGGTAGATAGGTTTATGAGAACGGGACAATGACAACGTACTTTACAACGATACCTGCTGGCTTCAAGGCCCCTGATGCGCCAGGCGTCGGTGCCGCTGCAGGCATATTGGTTGCCACGATGGCGGGAATAGCCAACTTTGCAGGGTCCATCGACGAAGTAGGCCGAGCGGCTGGGAGAGGAATTCCGCCGGTCCCCATCGGCATCGGGCTGGCCACAATGTTCGCCGGCCTTAACGTCATTTCGTTTATAATCGGATCAGCTGGGGGTGCAGCAGGAGCTGGCATGGCCATAGGAGGAGCGGCTGCAGCAGCCGGCATCATCGGAGCAGGCGGAACCCCAGTTGCAACAAGAGGTGATTTAGTCAACATGACTTCCGAGATAATTGGATCTGGAGGCGGAGCTCCTGCCGCCATTGGTGCGCCCGCCATTGGTGCACCCGCCATTGGTGCACCCGCCATATTTGGAGTAGGTGAAGGCCCATTGGAAACAATTGGTGCTGTCGTCAACATGACTTCCGAGATAATTGGATCTGGAGGTGGAGCTCCCGGAGCGGGAGCAGGCGCCATCTGTCTTTTTATGATAAGCCCTTCATTTTTATAGACGGTTGCCTGCCACGATTAGATTGCAACGTTCTTTGGGTGGGAAAGAAGGACAGCACTTGCCTGGCTGAGATCAGAATAGGCCAACAGTATGAGTACCAAGCCACGACATATCATCTTTGCTTCTTCGGACACGTTTGGAGCAAGTACAGCATGAAAATTTCGAGTCGGCCGGACTCCAACAGATTGTAAAGCCCGAGTCTACTCGAGGGCAAGTTTGATAAAGAGCTTGATTCTTGTGATCAAGAGAGTGTTTTTCTTTTCTTTTCTCAAGCAAAAGACTTTGATAGCGATAATACTTTGACCGGTTTTCTCGTGGGAGAGACTGTCTCTAGGTGGCTGAAACCAGGGAACGGAATATTGTTATCCGAAATATGCCATTTCTGCTTCCATACTGTTTCATCAGCCGGGTAGTAGGGCTTCTGTAGTGCAATCCACGGGGTACCTGGGATGCGAAAAAGCGATAAACTGGTATTATTTTCCCGTAACATCTTGGCAAACAATCGATCAATAGGCGGTGAGGTGAATTTGTAGATTTATAGAACTGTTCCAGACTTGCGATTGCAGATGGTCACGTGACGAAATGAAGATTGAGGACGTGAAACAATTATTGTAGTGTGTCCTGCCCTATTATATACAATTATAGTTAATTACCCACGGTCATCTATGATCTTCTCTAAGTCTACGAGACATTGATTACTTGTACGCCGGCCACAACAATATCATCAGACAACACATTCCCCGCTGGAGCAGAAGAAGTCAAATGAAGGTAGGTAATGCCAGAAACCCCCTGAGGAACTGTGCATGCTCCACCCGTGTAAGGTGTAAAGACCGAGCCTCCTGGCAATCCGCCATTGGTAAATGCACAATTGGTAGCTCCCGTGGCGTTTGCAGCTAAAGCCAATCTGGTGCCGGCCGTCATCAGAGTTTGCGTTGTGTTCGAACCTGCCATGGGCATGGCGGACGGAGCCATCATCTGAAGAGCCGGGAAAGGTGTGACGTTAAGCATCGAGCCGCTCGGGCAAGAAGTGATCAACGGTGCTGCTAACGAAAATACCGATCTTACGCCCAGAGGGGTGTCAAAGGCGGAAGGGATTGCAGCGGCCTTGTTGAGGGTTCGAAGTAGAGACTGGTGACGGGCTTCAACAGTAAGAATCTCTGCAGCCGCGGTCAGAATGGTAGGCATGGATACCAATGGTGCTGCGCCGAGATATCTGTATACCATTATATCAGTACATGCTTCGGGGGCTGCAAGAAGCAAAACTCACGCGGAAACACCAATGTTTTCCAAGGTACCGGCTGTAGCAACCATAGCCTGCGCGGTTGTGAATCCGAAGTTATAGGTACATGGCTGGACGGGCTTGAAACCAGCTCCGGCGATAGCAGTCGTCAAGAAAGTGACATGAGTGTTTTCCGTGGTAGCAACAGATTTGAGGTTTGTGAGATCTGTTGGGCTCATGCCAATTGCCATGAAGCTTGAATCCGGGAACTGATTGAATCCTTGGGCATAGAATGCGCCCTCTAGATTCTCTAGTGTGAGGGCAAACTGGAGGATGTCGACATCTGCCGTTATGGATCAGTTAAAGAAAATCGAGAAAAATCGGAACAGATTTGGGGACGTGTGCCGTCGCATATACTGTTGACGCGTTCGGGTGATGGAGGACAAGATCGCAATGATATGACATACCCGTGATGCCAGCGGCGGAAGCTGCTGCGTTCTGCCTGGCCGCTATACCAAGATTTTTCATAGCACGAGCATCAAGTTTCGGGAGAGCAGATGTGAGCGTGGCAAGGCTCATGGTGGCCAAAATGGCGGTGATACTTTTGAGGTTCATAATTGCGTTTCCAACGTTCGAATTTCGAAGTCGATTGTTGTACTTTGCTAAAAGCGAAGAAATTTTGTCAAGGCCAGCTTGATCTAGTCTGAAAAGAAACAGATTATGGAAGTGTGACAGAGTAATTAAGATTAAGAGTGAGCATTAACAAGCAGTCCAGTGCTTGAGTGAGAAAAAAAGGAACGACGGGTGAAGTGTATTGGCGAAGAACCATGAGCCTAGACTACAATTACTTGCGAAGCTGAGAGTACACCACACCGGCTTCTACTCGTCCGTGGCGAAATCTGCCGGGCCTTTGAGATCCGAGTATTCGAGGAGTGTGTCCATGTGGCATTGAGAATATCGCCACAAGCCCCGGTAGCAAAAGATCTGGACTTTCAAACATTTCCTTTCAAACATTTGCTTTCAAACATTTGCTTCCAAAGATTTGCAACCATAGAGAAACCATCCGCAGATATGGTCCCTGGGCAACAAGGTAGTAAGCGAGAGTTCCTGTTTTGAGAGCGTTTCGATTGCAGACTCGCTTAAGCGATGAACCGGAAATCCTCATGACCGACTGAATCGCTGCGTCCAGGCGTCAGGCCAAAGTCGAACGCTATGGCTAACACTTACACCATGTTGCCACAAGATGTGACAAGATGTGTTAGGCAAATGTCATGGCTGCGAACCACACAGGCCAGAACCTAGACTCCATGCTAGCCAGGACCACACAAGCTGCGCTGAGTCTGTGGGTATATAATGCTTCTGATCCTCCAGTTATTCATTCTCCAGTTCACTTTCGATATTCCAGCTTCAGCCACTACTTCAATTAACAACCCAAATTCGCTAGTCGAACACGGTCCTTAATCATTTAATTTTTAACACTCCTTCATTCCATTTCTTAATAACTTTGAATATCTACGCAACAGGATTTGCTCCGATACACTATCAAAATGAAGTTCTCTGCTGTCGTTGTCCTCTCCCTCGTCGGTACCTCCGTCGCTGTCCCACTGCAGAACGTTGGTCGGGCCAACAAAGGTGCCAAAGCCGCAGCAGCAGCATCTGGAGCACCTGCAGCAAAGTCAACCCCGGCTGCTTCTGGCTCCAACTCGGGCTCCGGCTCAGCCTCTACGAACTCGGGTGCATCGAACACGGGCGCATCGAACAACGGCGCATCGAACAACGGCGCATCGAACAACGGCGCATCGAACACCGGCGCATCGAACACCGGCGCATCGAACACCGGCGCATCGAACACCGGCGGGTCGAACACCGGCGCATCGAACACCGGCGGATCGAACACCGGCGGATCGAACACCGGCGCATCGAACACCGGCGGATCGAGCACCTCGAACTCGGGCAATTCTAACTCGGGCAATTCTAACTCGCCCAATGCCTCTGGGGGTGCTGGGGTGGTCGGGGGAACCAAGCCAAACGCTGATGCTGTCTCCTACGCCGCAGGCGCTTTCGCCAACGATGCGCAAACCGTCTCGAGATCCTTGAACACTCTTGGATCTGAGGTAAGCTTGCCCGTCATTCTTATTCTACTGACAGCCACCCTTGGAATCATATGCTGATTTTGAGTAGACCGACCCTGAGACCATCCGCAATGTCGCCGCTACCGCTTTCCAAGCCGAGTCTGACGAGGATCAGAGACGTAATGTCCTTGCGACCATGGCCGGAAGTGCGGGTGCCCAGTCCAACTCTTTGATTGTTATGAACACCCCAGCTGTCCTCAACGGTCTCATGAACATTCAGAACAACCCAACCCCGGCCACCGCCGCAGCTGAGCTTCCAGCAATTGAGAATGCCAGGTATCTCTCTCCGGTCCGCTTTTATCTTCTATAGTACTAACATTGGTAGAAACCCCAACATTCTTCCTAGCATCACTCAGCTCTCCAACGCAGCCATGAACAATGCCGGCCTGCCAATGATGGCCGTCACATTCCCTCCTACAACTGGATCCTCTGGAACAAACAGCAACGGCGGAGGCAACACCAACACCGGAGGTAACAGCAACACCGGAGGCAACACCAACACCGGAGGCAACACCGGAGGCAACACCAACACAGGAGGCAACAGCAACACCGGAGGCAACACCAACAGCAACACCGGAGGCAACACCAACACCGGAGGCAACACCAACACCGGAGGCAACACCAACAGCAACACCGGAGGCAACACCAACACCGGAGGCAACACCAACACCAGCAATGGAGGTAACACCAACAACGGTGGAAGCAACAGTGGTAACACCAACTAAGCAACGATAGACTCTATCAAGCACATTTCACATCATTGTGACCAGAGTTTATCATTGTACTGCTGCACTGCTGGACAGTTGGAGGGGTATTTGAGATTGCAAACCTCATTTAGCCAATTTTCGTTCTTTTGTCGAAGGATACACGCACACATTTCTACAATGTACACCTAGATAATAGTTAGCGTTAATTAGCTGAGTCATAATCTCAAGCAAAGTCGAACTCAATCTGTTTCTTTCCTTTTGACTCGTGAGATGTTTACCTTTGTTTTTTATTTTGTTTACCACTCTTCTACTCTATTGATCAGCTTAGGCGCACTAGTACTGAGATCTGTTCCTTAGCTTGGTCCTTTTTTTTTTCTCCGATCATTTTTGCTGGAACAGTATGGCGATAGGAATTGGGAGGCTGGGGAGCGTGCGTGCTTGATCTACAGAATAAAAGTCCCCGGCCTGTTCACCGTATGGCGCTCGCTAGTTTCCTAAGCGAGGATTACCGAAGCCCCTGAATCATCCATTTACGAACAGATCCGTTCTGGAAACTTCTGTGCAAGACAGTACAGTAAGGGCCTGATCTCTTAGCGTCGAGCTTTATCCTCGCCAAGATTGAGGATGAAGATGTGGTTGAGTGACATGACATCGGGCTTCTCAGTAGTATACGGAAGACGGTGCACAGATCGTATAGACGGGCATGACCATAAGGGAGTAGGACAATTCGCAATTTGCTGATAGAATCCAGAGTATAGAAGGTGTTTATTCTAGTATGAGAGTGCTGAGAGCTACCTATATACATGGGAGTAGCCTTGAGGCTAGTCCATACAGAGGAATAGGTGAAACCCTATAACCGAACACTTGCAACTACGGCTAGCGGGCAAGGGCGACCGAGGCTCCGATGATTGATGAAGCCGAGGCCCGCGGAGAAGACTTGTAAACATGAGAAGTGCATCGGATTCCATACGCCAAATAAAACTTCGAGCAATCAATCAGTGAGTGCAGGCTGATGAAGGTTGGCGGGCATTTCCCGCCTCGCGATAGGCTTAGGGTGTGTATGGCTCGCAGTTGCGCGTCCGCGCAACTAAGCAGTTGAGTTGATCCTAAACAAGATCATCTCAACTTGGTAGTGGAAGTTGCATGTTTTAAGGATTGTATGGCTCGCAAGTAGTAAATTGAATAGCAATTTGCAACTTAAGACTTAGAAAATACGATTAATTCGCCATTCTAACTACCAATTATTTCTTCATAATAAACTTAAGATTAACAACTCTACCTTAAATGCAGGTAGGGGGTCATTTGAGCGGTCCTCTAACCCTCTCTTATAAAAGACGGTTATTAGATCGTCTAAAATCAGTACTAGTTACAAATCAAGAATAGTTCACCTTTTTGATCGTCCCCGAGCTTGGGACCGTCTTATAGCCGTCCTATAGCCGTCTTATAGCCGTCCCCGCTTATATTTTTAAAACAGGCTCATTGATAAGCTCGTTTTAAAAAATTGAAATAGTTTGATAACTATTTCAAAGAAGATATAGTTGTAAATAAAAACTGTTTTTCAAATGGAATTGTTTGAATAATAATTTAATAAATTTGATGCTAAAACATTTCTCGGTATCGCTGCTACGGTTTATTTATCAACGCTTTAAATTTTCTATAATCGGAATCGACCGATTCAGCAAAAGTCCACCTGAGGCAGTGCATCTTCGTCACGTGTGAAACGGGTGGTATGGTAGGGGTGGTGAAGGGGTAGGCTAGTAAGTAACCGAAGGAAAAAGGAGATTATTTGCTTACTAATTCACGTTCTTCGGGACGGTTTTAAGTTCGAGGACGGCCTTATTGTTGTTGTTGTTGTATTTATTAACGTCGGGCGGGTATCCAAAACGCAATGCTTGGACCCTGGGGACCTCCTATGGGGTACGGCGACGTGCTAAGTAAAGGAATTATATATAAAGTACTATTTAATCGAGAGTAAAAACCACGTTAGGGAAAACCTCTCGTCAAATAGCTGGACACCTGTAAACCCCTTAAAAGCAATTCATAGTGATGTGCGTCGAGTTTTCTCTCGACAACTGTCGAATACGTGTGGCCCTACGGGCGGCTTCGATCCGTATAGTACAAACATCGTTCTCTTTCGTCGTAGAGCTAGGAAGGCTCGCGTTCGTAGCCTTTAAATAGAGCCGGTGTGTTTGTAGAACGCTCTTTCGAAGGCGCAGTACCGTGTTTTCGATCAATCGAACTAAGCCCTTCCCATCCCATCTCTTATACACGTTCCCTCTCTATCGCAAATCCTCCTGGTCTTTTTAGTCGGTATGCCCGTCAGGTATAGATCGTAGTCGGCGTGGTATTCGAGAAGAAGGAGGAGGGAGGTTCGGAATCGCCGGTAAAGGAAAATCTCTTCGAGGAGACGTCGCATATCGATGATTCAATTTCGGCTCTCTAGACTCTTTATCTCTCTTTCTACCGCAGGAGAAAGAAAGAAAAAGAGCTGAAGGTTCGTAGGGGGCACCTCGTACAGGTAAAGAATCGTAGCCCCCCCGAGGACGGCCTTAGGATAGCTATAAGACGGGTTTGAAATGGTCTTAAAACAGTCTTTTCGTAAAAAGACCAACTTTTATAGACAACGATCTAATCGATTAAAACGGTTTTATTTTAATAGTAATCTTTTAGCGAAATGACGAGCTCTTCATAAAAACGGTTTAATCGATTAAAATAATTCTATTTTAGCTACGATTTAAGTATTTAAATCGTTTGTTCTCAAATTCTATTCAATCTTAAGTATCGGCTTATGATGATCCACTACCTATGCTAAGCTTTTGGAACCATCTTTTAAAAAGACCGTCATCGGATTGTCAGCTGACTGTTTGAATAACCCCCTACCTGCCTTTAAGGTACCTTATCATGTCGGTCCCTTTAAACTCGAGGTTTTTTATCACAAAAGCTCCTCTTCCGAGTCTCTCTTTCTTAAGTCCAAGCCTGCTTGAAAGAATTATTAAAAAACCTATTGCACGGAAGAAGGCGCGCGCTACTAACGATACCCTTACCCTTTCGGCTTCTACGACCCTCTCAGCTTCGGTTCTACTGTTGTACAGAAAAATCGCAAGCTGCTCTTTCGTCCGCATATATCGAGTATTTCGCAGTTTGGCTTTGCGTATTAATGAGTCTTCGATATATCGAAAACCCATTTAAGAGAATTTTAGGTTGTTTTTGGTTCTCTGTAGATGGCTTGCAAAAAGCTCTTCTATTAACTGAAGACTTAGTATCTTTAAGGTACCTATGCTAAAGTGTTTTTGCGAAGTTGTTTTTATAATATTGAATAGCGGTGCATGTTACGGTCCTGGTAGGCCTTGGCGTAGTTCCAGAGGTTGGTTGGGATTGGATTAGTCAGCCAATGTCACATGACAGTCCGCCCTAGGGGATGCATATACTCTCGGCATTGTATTGTAGTTCTCTCTTCCCCTCCTCGTCTTTCTTTCTCATTATCAATATTACGATTAGGTAGTACTATGATACTATTCTATTCCAGCCGTAACAGCGCATGCTCTTATCGCAGCGATAATAACACCGATATTGCGATTGCGCAGATTACGCCTTTTCAAAATATCTTTCAAAGAAGCTATTGAAAAAAGGTAACGTTATAAAAAGATACGTAGTAAGAAGGTAATGAAAATAAGCGGAAAGAAAAAGGACGGGAAAAAGCTTGCAACTCGAGCTTGCAACTTGGAAGTTAGAACTCTTTGCTGCAACTTCGATTTGTATGATGCAATTACAAGTTGCAAGATCAGATGCATACTTTATAAGATTTACGTGCACGATCGATACAAATTGCTTGATTCTTGCATCTCGACGCGCAACTTGAAGATGCAAGAATATTTTAGTAGTGCAATTTGGCTTGCATCTGCAAGCCGTGCAGGCTCTTAGGTAGTAGCGCTCGACGCTCCACAATTTTCTTCTGATGTCATTGGTGTTTCAGTGTTAGCGCTACCACACTTCATCCTAGAAATATTTTAAACGTATATATAACAGCCGCCTGCTCCGCCGCCATCGATCTACGAGATCGTCTTCCCACAGCCCTCGTAGCTCAATGGTAGAGCGCGTCACTAGTAATGACGAGGTTGCCGGTTCGATTCCGTCCGAGGGCATCGCTATATTTTTCGTCTTCTGCGGCACTCAGGGTCGATTCGAATGGGATTCCTTCCATCGTGCAGGTGGTCCTGTGCTTTTTCTTTTGGGTTAAGTAACAAATCATGTTTTTTTTAAACTGTCGCCTCCGATTAGAGTCAAAAGACGTACGATGAAATATTTTCCATTCAATTATTCAACGATGGTGTATCGTGAGAGGCTTAGCCGAGGCGGGAAAAAAATCCGCTGCAGTACTTTTCAACGTCTGGTCTATTCAGTGTTTAATTTGGTGAACCAAAATGAAGCTAGCAGCACTCCATACTGAAAGACTGTCTATTCCATACGTGGATTGATCGTCCTGTCCTGCGGGTGATATATCAACCCAACGGTTCTTTTTTCCGCGAAATTGCCGGGTCTTTCATTTTCTGCCCCACGGAAAGATTTTTTTTGATTCCAATATAGACCCGTATATGAAGGTTCACAGCACGAAATAATTGGTCGGGTGGTGTAGTTGGTTATCACATCTCGTTAACAGTTCTGACTGTGGCATAATACCGAGAAGGTCCTGGGATCGAGCCCCAGCCTGATCAAAGTAAACTTTTTGCGGATCTTCACGCGACGCACGTTTTTGGACTTGGGGTGAGTTTTGGGGAGGACATGTGTATGTATAAGGTATATATACGACGGGAACTACGCACGTGTAATAGAAAACACCAAAGAATTCTGTAAAGGATCACACGTCTATTTTCAATGAATTGAATATGTACCATACCGGTTTTTATAGAGCTTATTTGTACCTGCATTCGCATCTTCAGCCAAGGAAAAAATACACCACTCATTGCACCATACCGAATGCCTTTTTTTACAAGTCCCTTCCGACGCCTTGCTAACTAACCAAGAACAAACTCCGGCTTTTCGCCTATCCTCTCGAACTAAGGTAAACTAAACTAACCGTTACGTCCTTATTCCGCGCTGCGACAGTCCTCACCTCCAAAACTCAACAACTACGAATCCGTCACTATCGCGCCCGCGCTATTAGGAATATCCGATGCTCGCTGATGCTGTTACTGTTACTGTCGCTTTTGCAACCACTCGAAGCTGAGTCTGCGTAACGATGGTAGTCACGATACAAATCGACGTCAAAGCAGCGCCTCCCTCTTGCGTCGGAGTCGCCGCGCTAGAAGCCGCACCATTCAGCAAGACGGGAGCAACTACCGTTCCAGGACTGGATGGACCCTGCGGGGATGCTGGAGCGGCAATAGCGGCGCCTTCAGAAATCGTGAACTTCTGGCTTGCGTCGCCTGGCTGGCAGGGGGCTTGGTCGAGGATAGGGATGTCGTCTTGCGCGCTGCTGCTGCTGGTGGTGGTGGTGGTGGTGGTGGTTACGGCGAGACAGGTTCCTGCTGCGTTGGTGGGCTGGAGCGTTAGTGGCTCGGTACTGTCGCTTGCGGAGAAGTTGAAGAGTTGCGAGTTGGTTACGGCGCCGCCTGGGTAGGGGTTTTATTAGAATATCTGGATTGTAGTAAGGGAGGAGGGGGAGGAAGAGGGGGAAAAGGAGGGGAGAGAGGGGGAAGAGAGGAGATATACCTCCGTCAGCTCGACCGCCACACGAGAACATGATGACCGTCTTGCCTGCGGCCCGACGCGGGTCAAAGTTCATACACGCTTGTGTCTAACATAATCCTATCAGCTCCGATACTAGAGTATTATCAAAGGGAAAGTGAGGAGAGGAGAGGTTCTCACGAGCGTATTAACGAGCAATATAGTCCCGACTTGATCATTATGCTTTCCCTTTGAGATGACATCCCATCTCTGGCCCATACTGCCATCGCAAGGCGCGACTTGAATTGGATTCAGGTTCGCGCGGAAATCTCCTGATAATTCATTTACAAACAAGCATTTGCCGTCTGAAGTCTGTTTTGTTTTGTTTCGTTAGCTAACGGATTATACTTTATCTGAGCTCTGAATCAAAGGCTACTCTTTCTAAGATGGGTGGGTAGGTGGATGGATGGATGGGTGCATGCGTGTATACCTTGATCTCGGCGTCTGCAAATGCTCGCGTAGCAGTATCGTCCCGCTGCTGGGCTTCTTTAAAGGCGGCTGGGTTCAGCGAGCTGACGATACGTTTTGAGAAGGGTGAGGCAAAGGATAAGAAGGGCCCTAAAGCGAGAAGTATATAGAGCGAGGCAATCATTTTCTCTCTTTTTTTTTTAATGCTTTTGGCTTTATTCGAAGAGAGAGCGAAGTGGAATAAAGTGGAGTGACGAGGATGCTCTCGGCCAGGTCGAAGAAGAATGTCGTCGATATATCTATCCTGCACAGCAGTAGTTGAGAGGAAAGAAAAGAAGAAGTAAAAAAACCAGGGCACCCAAAGAAAAGAGAGAGAAAGAGAGAAAGAGAGGCGAGAGCAATGCAGAAACACTCTTCGATGCAGGTTATATTTAAAGAAAAAAAAATGAAAGTGGGAATCAAGTACCTTCTCTCCTGAATATATATACAAATACACCCTTTCACTCCACGAGCCACAGCCCAAGGTTTTCAAGCAATCAAAAGAGAAGGAGAAGCGTAGCGAAGCGAAGTGAAATAAACAAAGTAACACAGCTTATCTATCGCGTTTCCGTTTCATATACCGCTCCTAGCAAAGCGCCCCTTCTCTTTCTCCGTATACATACATGTATGTACGTCGGATAGATATCTCTTCCCTTTTTTTCTCTAGGCCCTACCACCGTTTTCGTTTTCGTTTGAGTCCCGAGTAAGGAAGCGAGGAAGTAAGCAAGCAAGCACAAGTCCTAAGACCTGATGCTGAATTTAGAAGCGCGGATGTCATAATGAGGGAAGAAGAGAAGGATGAGTATTTGCGAAACTTGAAGTGTGAGAGAGAGAGTGTGTTCAATTTTCTTCTCTCCGTCTCGTTTAAATTTGAAGGAGAAAAATGTCGCGATAGGGGTTAGGACTGCGATGGCTTAACTGGATACATGGAGGAATGAATAGATAAACGACGCCCCGAATAAATGACGCCCCGAATGAATCATGCTTGTTAAAGCGCTGCTGGCTGGCTTTGATAGGATGAGAGATAGAGCGCTTAGATTTGCTGCAGGGCTGTTTGGGAAATGGATAGAGGTAGCTGGCTGCCGTGGGATGGCTGGCTAGCTGCATCTATTTTATTTTGTTTCGAATGCCTCCCTTAGTAGGCGTCACGTCACGTACGATAAGTATTTTGAGATAGCGCGCGGCAATGCAGCTAGCGGCTACCCAAGCCAGGTAGGTTACACACATATATATATGTATACATGTATGTACATGCGAAATCGCTATGAATGCCCCTTGCCTATCGATACACGCCGCTGACTTAAGAGCGAGCTGGATGCAAAGACCATTCGGGAGTGAGAATGAATTGGGCGTGTTGACGGAGGAACCCGATCAAGCGAATGAATGTACGAGGCCGCTCCAGCTCTGCGCATCGATGCGGAAGTGGGCATGCATACACACTCCCTGATCTAACCACATTATCTTGATGTTTTGAATACGCGACTATTAAACTCCCCGCCCGATTTTGCTCGTAGGACAGGAATATCTAGTTTTGCAGCATAGGTATGTGAAGTGAGGAGCGGCAAGAAAGAGCGCCAACACTTCCGCCCAGCAACAAAATGCAAGGCGAGAATTTCTTTTTTTTTTTCTCTTTCTCCACGTCTACTGCTTCCCTTCTATTACTCTCCTACTCCAAAACGACGATCCAGATCCAGATCTGCGCAGACGATATCTCTGAAATAAGCAGCATCCAGACAAGGTTCCCCGTTCCCGAACGCGTACACTCCGAACATCGCGCCTAGGAATGGCTGTCCGACCGGTGGCACTTTAGTTAAGGACTTGCTTAGTATAACAGCACTTGCGACGGTGGTTGCTTCGGCTTCTTCAGAGCCTGCGAGGTGTAAGGTATAGCTCTTTGGCGCGGCGAGGATCCTTAGCCTGAGTGGACCTTTTTGGATGGAAAAGTACTGTTCCTGGGTGGTGTTAGGTGAGGGGGCCCATTTGAATTCCGGAAGAGAGAGATGGCGCGCCTACCTTGAATGCATCAGCGGTATCTGTCGGTATGGTCACTTTGAGAACCCTTCTCCCATCGGATGTCAGAGTCACTCCGATGCTGGCGAAAGAATGCATGTCCCACCACAACACCAAACCGGCCTCGTATCCAATTCTCGTCGGCGCGAAGTCCAGACGTACGGAAAAGCTCTGCTCGAAGGACGTTTGCCGCCTCAAGAGCATCGTGGGCGCTTCTGGAGATCTCAGATCGTAGCATCCGCCGTGGATGCAAAGCCAGCCCGGCCGCTCGGTTAGCGACCAGCATTTCTTCAGCGGTGTATCTGGGATCGGTCAACACAGGTTGGGGTCAACACAGGTTAGACAAATAGGTCGCCGGTTGCAAAAGGTCTGTCTTACTCTTCTCATACCACCCCAACTCCAAATCATCTATCGCCAGATCGGCCTTCCAGACCCTCTCCTTCGGCCGCTGCACAGCGGCCTCCGGTCCCAGCGTCAGGAGCCCAACTGTCTCCCCTCGATTGAAGACCGGCCAGTCATCCACCCACTCGACGCCCACCAGGAACGTCTCCCGGCCCAGCTGTGGCTCCAGCCATCCCGCATCCGCATCCGCGTCCCTCACAGGCCTCACCCCCAACAGCACAGCCCACCAGCTCCCGCCCTCCCCGGCCTCAAAAACATCCACGTGCCCCGTCCGCTGCACCTTTCCCTCCACCCCGTTATACCACAGCGGGCCCCCCGCTGGCCGCGACACCCACGGCCCCAACACCCCCTCCGCGCTGCGGAACACCCACTCCTGGTGGCCCTGCTCCGTACCGCCCTCGGCGGTGAATAGGTAGTAGTACCTGCCGCGCTTGACGATGTGGGATCCCTCGGCTACTCCGGAAGGGGAGGCGCGGATCACGGTGGGCGCGGTGAGGGTGCGACCCGTCGGCAGGGCGATCTCCGAGATGTGGATTGCAAAGTCTTTCTTTGCGGGGTTGCCGCTGCTGCGGGTGGACGTGCGGGTGGTGGTCGAGAGGTAGACTCTGCCGTCGTCGTCCCAGAAGAGCTGTGCTTGTGTCAGTCGGTCGGTCAGTCGGCGTTGTTGTTTTGGATGAGAACTAAATAACCACGTTACGGCACGTACGTCTTGGTCGAATCCGGGGTTGTCAAAGTAGATCGGGTCGGACCAGCTCGACGAGTCCCAGATGTTCGTCGTCGTCACGTAGAAGCCCCGCGGGAAGATCCTCTCCTGGTCGGTTGGGTAGCCGGTTAGCACCCGTGGTGTGATCCGCTGTAGGCCACCCAGACAAAGAAGTTACGAGCTAGATAGGGGAAAGCCCCGAAGCGAGTTTTGGGATGGGTACATGTATGGATGTGAGTAATATGTATGGTAAGCTTGATGTGAGAGAGAAAAGAGAAGATAGAAAGAGAGAGAGGAAGAGAGAGAGAGAAAGAGAGAGAGAGAGAGAGGCTCCGCAGAATTTACATCCATCTGAGGCCTATACCTCGAGAACACTCCGGTGCACAGGTACCACCTGCCCGTCTTCCCCCCACCGTTCCCATTCTCCTCGATGCGATACCGCAACGTGCTCGCCCAGCTGCCCGCGCCCGCCTCGGGCGTCCGCATCTCGATCTGGCTCCGACGCGTCAGGGCGTGCCCGATCAGCTCCCAGTTGAGCAAGTCGGTGGAGTGGTAGATGGCGCAGCTGGGGAAGAGGGTGAAGGTACTGGTCGTGAGGAAGTAGGATGTGGATGTGGTGGGGGATATGTGGGCTTGGGAGAGTGGGATGCTGCTGCTAGTGGGAGGAGGAACAACGCAGATAGATGGGTCGGGTGAGAAGCCCGGAATGATGGGGTTGGTGAAGAGCGGCGACATTGTGTGTTCTTGGGAGGAAGGGGGGATGTGGGTGAAGTTTGTTTGTAAATAAACAAGTGTTGGCTACGCGAGGCAGGTTAAGTAAGCGAGCTTCTGAGGGTGCCAAGCAAGGAAAGCTCCATCGCTCCCAACATATTTGGTCGGAGGAATTATATTCCACCGCTAAAGAGGTAGACAGGACAGGCACATGATACGCGACAGAATGATAATCAAGAGAAACACTGCAAGAATGATTTGAATGAGGTCCCTGGTTTGTCGAGGAATGAATACACATTTCAACTAAGTATTCTAAGTATGCCTCGACAGGCTTACGCTTTTGATAACTACGGTCGACGCAGCTGAAACACAGGAGTAACTAAAGATGGTCTGCGAGACGAATCTTCGCCTTCTCATTATCCACATATTTTCTTGCGGTTCTTAGCCCTCGCGGGTCAATGCACCACCAACACCGAATGAGGTGTTGGGGCTGATGGTGAAGGTGAGGGGAGGCGACACGCTCTGGGTGAACTTGGTCGTAGCGTTGCCGGTGTAGTTGTAGTAGGCATTGCTATTCACACGTATTAGTGGGAGTCCCAAATCATATCGAGGTAGTGAGGGCAACCAGGCAGGCAGGTGTGGTAAGGGGTCGGGGAGGAACCATGGACCTCAGGGGAGGGCAGGCTTACGTGGCAACGTCTGTGAATTGGTAGGAGACCTGGATATTGGGATCCCCGCCTACGCTGGGGAGCAGGCGGGCTGCAACGCCACGGTTGGCCAGGTTGTTGTCGTTGACGGCGCAGTACGCCAAGGGAGCTCCAACGATCTCACCGGAGCAGAACGCCGAGAACGATGGAACGTCTAGGTAGGCGAATCCTGTAATATTGAAGCCTGCATAGAAGATATTGTTAATTACGGCTCAAGTTCAAGATTTTTGGCTGCCTAGCCGAGGCGGAGGAAGGAGGACTGGACTCACTGTAGAAGTCGCCTCTCCGGGCAGTTCCAGCGTTCCACTCCGAGACGGTCCAGTAGTAGTTGGGGTCGTTGACCTGGCAGGTTCCCACGGCGGCCAGGGAGAGGAGGGAGGCGGCGATGGACTTGGTGTTGAACAACATAGCGAAAGAGTTCTTGGTTGGTTTACGTGACGGATTGAGAGAAAGAGTGTAGTTGTAGAGAGGAGTGTAGTTGTAGAGAGGAGTGCAGATTGGATTGAAGACTTTGATGAACTGCTGTTAAGGGAGAGAGGATTATGATTATATAGTTGAAAAATCTCAAATGTTTGGGTGACGACATACCTCCATCGTTCCTCAAGAGATTTATTTTAGGAAAAGTTTAGTCTTGCAAGGCAAAGCTGTTACTAGCTGCCAATAGTACGGGAAAGCTGCGGAGTCCCGGACTTAGCCTTCGTGATGTTTGGCTGGGATCGGCGTCGGCATGAATACGGAAAGTCTTGACTGTGGCGGGGATACATGAACGGCACCTCCGGCTTGCCCAGCATCATGTCAGGGGCAAATCCACTTGGTATGCCGGCATAATAAAAGATCTGGTCAGATGAGAGAATTACCATAGATTAGTTACGCATACAAATCTGTAGTCCGTACTTCTCCAATATCAAGAATTGATCCATAAGACTGCGTACCGACCGTATCGGCAACATGAGATAAATAAAAATCGAAATTCAAAATACGACGCGCATTGATGACTCCGCCTTTACGAAGAAGTCCTTGGTCCTACCGTTGAACTCAGCCTGAGGCTGAGTCAGAGTCGCGCTGTGTTACCCCTTAATGTATTGACTTTCCCCACGCTCCTGGAATGAGGAAAGTACTACGTAAAACTATAGTAGTATTCGATACTATCCCCCCCATGAATACATGTCGAAATTATAAGTTGGCAAGGGATCTCACCAGGGCTCAAACCAATCAACTTACGTAGTATAAGAATCCATTCTCGAAAAGTATTACTAGTAGTACTACTGTAGTAGTAGTACATCTTTACTACGTACTACGTAGTACGTAGATCAGTATTTAGTCTGTGCAATTGAGTTGACAGGGCTTTGAGCCATTCAGAAACCACCGCTCTACTACCACGGTACAGGCCTAAGTATTACCCCTCGAGGGTGCCTCAAAAGTCTAGTTTCCACTTTAAACCCCCTGTTTTCCCTACCCTCGAGGGGTAATACTTACGCCTGCGACGTAGTATTTATGGATCTAAAATGGGTCCGACATGTATTCATGGGGATAGTACTACTACTACTACGTACGTACGTAGTAGTATCTGACAACTGAAAGCATAAATATGGACTATTGGTACAGCCAAGAGTGCGATTTATGAAATGTTTACGGATCTGCCCACATCTATTGGCCCGTCGTCTCAACCGCACAAGGCCTACACCACCGCCGTTTAACCCTTTCGATCCTACCCGGGCCACCCCTTCTTCCGTTTTATTAAGATATTTCAAACACTTCGCGTTTCCCTCCTCCGTTCTCCTTTTTCAAAAACGCCCTCCTCTTGGAATAGATCGACGATATTGCTTCACCTACCAGAAGATCGCGTTTGAAGCAAGAAAATCCGACGGTTATTTCAGCATGAGTGATTCTCGCAGAAAGGGGGAGAAAAACCTTGTTTAGCGTTTGGTACAAGGCGATGAGGGACTTTCGGACTGGGTTTATGCATGCTTTTCAGATTACTCATTCCAAAGGAAACCTTATATTTTCTTAGGCTAAGTGGGTAAGCTCATGAGGCCGGTCCAATGCATTCTACAGTAGAAAAATAAGCTCGAGGAGTAGCAACTCTCCATACTCCGTAGTAGTAATTCCTAGGCATTACTGTACAATACGACCTCCGAGGCGTAACAGTTACCGCCTCAGGGTAGGGATACCAGGGTGTTTCAAGCGGAGTTCTAAGCTTTTGAGCCACCCTCTGGCTGGACGTACCGTAATTGTTCGGTGGGAGGAGGCAGGGGTGGTACCGGTACGTTAGTACTAGTGTAGTAGATCAAGCGTATACTCTATACGTACAAGAGTATACCGGTACAATTGGCGAAGTCTGATCAGCCGCATTGCTGTTAGATGAGCCCCGGGAATCCTTTTATTACCAAGTATTCTATAAAGAAATCGACACTTACATAATCATCTTTACGGCGTCGAGACTCAAATAGCGAGTCTGATAAAATGAAACTTGTGAACGAATATAAATGTTGGTGTTTATGCCCTCAAAGGAGCAAGCGGGCTACAACCCTCAATACCTTGAAAGGCTGTCGGTAGGATACAAGATAGAGGCATTTGGTCAGACAGTGGTGATCTCCCAGAGCTACTCTAGGGGTCATTAGCATCGATCGATTGCTTGGAAGTCATTTTTTCTCACTTGCCATCCTTGGCCACACTTTCATGTACTCCGTACGGAGTTCAGGAATGCAGGATGGCCCTCATTACTTGGTACAAGCCCGAAATAAACGAACGCTGTCTAAGCGCAATTCTAGAGGTTTCCGTTGACAGGGCTCTTGTGCAGGGTGCACTACGAACCAATGATACTGTATAACGATAACAATTCAAGCAGCATTGCCAAGTATCTAGTGTGCACAGACTAGAATTGTACATTATTTACCCATGATACGAAGTATAGTAGGAGCGTCAAGCTACTTTGAGCTTAGCTAAATTATGTGACAGCTACTACGTCCCAGGCGTAAGTAGTAGTACTATTATTACCCCTCGAGGGTAGGATAACCAGGGGGCTTAAAGTGGAAACTAAACTTTTGAGGCACCCTCGAGGGGTAATACGTAGTACTACGTACTTAGGCCTGTACCGTGGGGATGAGCTGGCTACCGGTACTTCTCTAGCAAGCTTCACATCAAAGCTTGCTAGCTACGTAGCTGTCATCACACCAATCAAAAGCTCAAGGGTGCTTGGCAGCCAAACTCAAAAGTTTACCTCTTTTCCCTTTTCCAAGCAATCAAGTTTGAAGATAAACATGGACTTACATCTTCTAATCGGCTTACCAAACCTGAGTAAGTATAACGAGTTTGTTTACGGAGGATCGATAGGCAAGATTTCATTGTTAGTTGCTGTAGCCGAGGAAAGGCGAGAAATTATGATTTAACGAAGATGCTGTCAGTACCGTTAGTCGTTTCATTATTCATAAAAGGTAAGGGTGCGGAATACTCAACAAGCGAAAATTCAAAGTACATTATATTGCGAGAGAGATATAAGCAAATCTGAATTGGCTGAGATGCTCGTATTGAGAACTAAGAGCCGGACAATATCATACTTACTCAAAACGGGTGTATCGGTCCTTATCATTGGTTGAGATAAGTAGACTCCAGATCTTCATCAAAACGCACTCAACGACGGTGCTAGGAACAATACCAAGAGTTGCAGGAGTAATGAGCGACGAAAGCTGAAGAAACTTGAGTCATGGATCAGCAACAACTTGCGTTACAGCCCGTTTTGCAAGTTCAACCCGCCTGTCTATGTATGTTACAGCTTAGTATACTTATAAGGCAAGCGAAGAGCCGATCTTACTCTTCCACCATGTCTCCAGGGTAAACATCGACATGAGCTGGGTATCAGCCGAGAATGCCGAATCCAAAACAGGAGACTGATACTGATCGTCCTTGATCTCTCTATGATAACCACGGCGAGTATGCGGAACCAACCGATCCCACGAGACTTACTCGCGTAATGAATGCAGATATTGTTCCGTATCTGTAAATAACTCGGTCGGGATGGAAAGTGCCAGCAGACGATTTCCCGAGTAAGAAGAGGGCCCGATATGTACCTCAGCTTCTGCGGTTACAAGTCTTGGTCTTCGACGAGCTGCCTTCCTAATCCGTTGTAGCATAAGTGATATTCGAAAGCAACCGGAGAGCGCCTAGCAAGGAGCACGCAACCATACCTGCCGGTGATCGGCCGTATATGTTTGTCGATGTGAAATTCCTCGTGCCGGCGATAGCTTGCCCTGCAGCGTTACAGCAAGCATCTGCGTGCAGCTACTGACTCCTCTCGAGTCTCTTGAGATGTAAGAGTCGCGATTAGGACCAATCGGCCGGTGCTTCGGGAATAAAAAGGGGGCTACGATTCTTTACTTGTGCGAGGTGCCCCTTATGAGCCTTTAGCTTTCTTTCCTGCGGCAAAGAGAGTCTGGAGAGCCGGAATTGAATCAAGGTGGCTTTCCGAAAAGATTCTCCCTTACCGGCGATCCGAACGGGCCTCCTCTTCTTATCTCGACTACCGTGCCGATTACGATCTATTTTTAACGGGTATACCGATTGGAAATGTTAAGAGAATTTGCGATGAAAGGGGAACGTAGTGAAAAAGATGGAAGAGGGTTTAAAACGATTTACGATATTGCGCTTTCGAAAAGACTACTTGGCTGACTCCGGTTCGGCTTCGAATTATCTTGATAATCGATACCGATATACGTTACTTACGCTACAACCTGCTTTTTAAATCTTTCTTTCGACGAAAATATATTTTTCTGCGATCTATTTTATCCGTAAAAAAAAGCATACTTAATAGCAGCTGCGCTATACCAACTTGAATTGCTTTTAAAAATTATACAAGCTATACGATACCGCGGGGTCAAAGACTTAAGGCTATTTAAAAGAAAGCTTTTCTTTAACGTGGTTTTTACTTTCGATTGGATGGTAATTTGTATATTATTCCTTTATTTGTTGTTGTTGTTGTTGTTGTTGTTGTTATTGTTGTATTTATTAACGTCGGGCGGGTAGCAGGCGAAGCCTGCCGCCCTGGGACCTCTTATAGGGTACGGCGACGTGCTAAGCTAAGGATTAATATACAAGAAGGCCCCAGAAAGCAATTCAAAGTTTTGCAGCGAGAGCTATTGTCGTCTGCGCCCTTCCCTTACGGATAAGATGGATCATAGTGAAAGGAAATCTCTCGCCAAAGGAAAACTACAAAAGAGAGTCAGGCAGGTATAGACTGCTGTAGCTAGCTTATAGCGTAGCTATGCGAGTCGCATAACGACCAGTATCAAGGCCGGACCGGGGTCAGCCGAAAGAGCACTTGACAGTGCGAGAGAAACAATTCTTCTACTTAGCACGTCGCCTTATAAGAGGTGCTAAGGTCCAAGCATTGCTTTTTATATACCCGCCCGACGTTAATAAATACCATAACAACAATAATAACTTCGGGAATAGAAATCAAGTCTCGCATTATCCGTATCCGCTGCAGCACATAAAGAGAGAAGCGGAGAAGCGTTCGATAAGCAATATTCAAACCTTTCTTTTGGCATCGGAAGAGCCGCTGGTGGCACTGGCTAGTTGGCATTAACCTCTGGCGGCATGGTCGCTTCATAAACTATAGCATCGATACAGAGAGAAAGTGAATGCAAGCGAGCAGGACATACTATAGACCTTTCAAGCCGAGCTCGCACGGCTGCATAAGAGGCGAAGTATCTATATCACGATGCAGCATCGCAGCTACTCATTAAATACGCCGCGCTCTAGGAGTCGGGTTTCCCTTCCCTGATCTGTAAGCTGGCAGCTATCCGCAACACGACTCGTAGAGCAATTGCCCTGCAGGAGCCCTTCTTGCTTGCTTTCGTGAGGGGAAAACGACAACGGCAGGATCATGTAGCTGCCCTCGCTTCAAGACCGAGCAAGCTGCGCAACCGCACTCGAAATCCGAGGACGCCTACAAGATCCAGAAACGACTCACCCCATCGGTTTACATAGTAAGCGATGGAAAAGCCGATCGTATATAGTTATAGATTCAAACGCAAGAGATCGCTTTTCCTATCAAGTGTCGCAGAAGTCGGATGTATTACGCTAGATGAAGGAAAGACTGGCCCATGCTGGAAAGCAGCCGTGCCCGAAGGCTCCAAGATGCGGACTTACAGTAGTTCACCACTGTTAAATTTGTGGCCGAGGATATTCTAGAGGGATTGCAAATGCCGTCTAGATGCGGCCCCCTTGACCCAGTTACTCGCCAAGGAACGCATATAAATCTGTAGCTAGTCAAGGCCGCAACTGGCTGACGAGCTGCGATGTACGCCTCGACTCCCTGACATCCACAGGCTGCTTATGTATCAACCATCTTGTTTCCATTGTACATCGCCTGGACAAACCCTCGGTCCTTTGATCGGGCTGTTGCTTACAGCAGATGCATGAATTCCCTTACCTGCACTACTCCCGACTGACTGCGGATCTAGAGCAATGCAAGGCATGTTCTAGATCTCTGGAGCCAGACAGCACTTACGTTCTTATCTCTAACTCCCCGGTCGCTAATTCAAAGTCGCTAGCTTTTTAGCATAAGAACTGATCGCGAGTTATACCACTATCACGCAACTAGCCTGCAGCGCTGCTCTTTGCGTCGATTACTATGCATTATACTCGGATCGGCATTACCTTGTGAGAACCGAGCAGGTACCTGCTATCTTTTATAACTAGTTGTTTATATAACCAATTTAATTATTTATAATCTGATCCAGATGATACGGTGTCTTTGTAGACAGACCGGTTGAGATCGAAGTCAATAAATAGTAAGGGGCGGGCTCGGTTAGACTAAGCGAGAGCCGGATGCAGACACTTTTTACTTTTAAGATTTGACTAAGATAAGGACCCGTAAATGTTATGATTATCAGGTTAATACGTAGTAATAGAGTGATTTTTAACCTTTTAAAGCATCTAAAACCCTTTTTTTTTAAAAAAAAAAAGTAGAAAAAAAGAAGAAGAAAAAAGGTTGGGAGGCTGCAAGCCCATTGCTAGCAGCTACCCCACGATATTTTAAATCCCGACGAGAAGTATCAATCTGAAATTTCTTACATGCAAGAATATGTGCACCATGTCGATAGATAATAAATAGAATCAACAGCTCGAGAACCATCGGCCAGGCCCTTGCTAAGCTTCATTTGATAAAAGACCTGCATCAAATCGAAATACCGATCTACTATCATAACATCCGGCCACCTCATTCCGAAAGCTTTCGCAAGCATTTATTATATATATAAATAAAATAATGTATTAATTTATAGGGTTTCAGCTTGGCGAGTCTTTCTCCTTTTATATGACATACCAACATTAGCTTATAATCGTAGAAGTCCGATGAAAGAAAAATAGACGCCTCTTTTATCCTCGGCGTGAGTTAAAGCATGGAAGCAATCAGCATCATCGTTGCTCACGCGTTTTTCTTATATAATTCGACCTCGTACTCCACTCCACGTTCCCCCTCATCCATAACTTTTGTTGCTAATCGCATTCTTGCCCCACCGAAACCACTCCACTCTTTACCGCTCTGATCCCCTTACCATATGACATAGTATTGGGACTGATATAGTATCGTGGAAAAAAAAGGGGGGAGAGGCTGGGCAGTGGGGAAGGTCTAACCGAGGTTGTTTACTCGTCGTACCCCGCGAACCTGACGGATGCCAAAAAAGAAAGGGGGGAAAGTTCACCGGAAGAGTTGGAAGAAGAGGTAAGGATACCAAGAGTTGATAAATAGCTGACATGCAAATATGAGTGGTGAAAGAAGGATAAAAGGACACACGCCCACGAGCGAAAAGAGAAAAGAAGCAGAAACGCATCATGCGAAGAAAGTTAACGAAAAGTATGTCGGTCCCCCGGCCCAGACCATAGCACAGCACAGCAGACAGTAGCAGCGCAGGGCCGCAGCACCGCATCCACCTCGTCCCCCTCGCTTTGCGTCGCTTTTGTGGGCAATGATGGTAACCTCTCAAAAGCGCCACCGATCCTCCCTTACCCCACCGCGAGGCGCACAAAGCGGGACAGGATATCCGTGGTCGTGGACTTTGTTGCATTTCGCAGAATTGTGGATACATCCACCATACCGTAAAGGTCGGCCAGCAGGCGAGGAGACGCCTCCGTAGTCGCAGAGCGGAGGGAGGAGAAGGGGGACGGACGGACGGACAGGTGGGCTCGTCTACCTGCTCAGTCAGATCCCGTGATCAGCGCCCTCCCCCTTTCTCGCTCCTCTTCGGCTAGTGAGAGATCGAGAACATCACGACGGTCAGATCGCTCGGAGAAATGGAAGAAAAATTCAAATTTGGTGGCTTTTGTTGCACGTCGACCATATTTCTCCGAAGTAGTCAGGCTCGTTCGTGGTCGGAGTGGCTGGCTGGCTGAAAGTTGAAACCTGGATACTGAAGCAGATACTCCGTAAAGAAAGAGCCGGCTCGCTCCATCATCACCGCTATCCACTCGAGAATGAAGCTGCCAAAAGTCCGTATGGAATCCGCAGCAAGTAGCAATAAGGTAGGGGGCAAAAAAATGAAAGGTGGGCGGGACCATATCACGCCTCTGCGCCCAGCTAGCTAGCTACTTATCAACCAGGAGTCAAATGCAGTCAGTCAAGTGCAGCCAGCAGGATCCCGACCCCGTTCCTTGATTGAATTGTTGCACATCGCAGAATAAATTGCAAATTTCCATATCCAGCCATCTCTGCCGAACATGAGATAGACAAGAGGTCTAGTTCCAGGTAGTACGAACAAGTGCATGCCGGTCTCAAGGATGCATTGCGGATCTCCCGAGCGCGACGAAAGTGAGGAGGAGATCTGAGCTGAGGACGCAGGTCTAGGGGCCGAAAACGAAAAGCATGAGTGAGCTCTGCAGTAGTGAAAACGTCAATCGAGAGGCTAGAGCTCAATGGCAACGCTATCCCGGGAAAGAGGTTTAGGTTGCGGTAGCGCCGATCAGATCGCAAGGGCAAGACAGAGACGAACTTTCGGGCGAACGAGGGCTGTGAATACAATATAGCTACTTTTGTATTGTAAGTGTTCTGTAGATCATGGGCATCTTGTGCGCGAAGAAGGGGTGAGCAAGTAGTATAGATTGATCGGGATTTCTAGCCTCGAGGATGAAATACATTCTAGAGAAGAGGTAGAGGATCTGACAATGAAGGAGAGAATGATGGGTTGAAGCAGACTAAGATATAGTTCGAAGTCGAGGAGAGACGTCCAATGCAGAGAGCAGTATTGTACTGTATCGCATCGAATAGCATAGTAAGTGTATAACGAATCCCAGAGTCGGATCTCACAGCATCTCCACTCTTTATTACAATCTTCACCACAACCTCCCTCAGCGCATAACCCGCTCTCGGCCACTTTCCACTTTCCTCTCCATCCCAACACTGTAAGCACTCCACCACGCGCTCCAAACTGAACAAGCAAAAGCCCGCTCGCAGCCCATCTCATCTCGCAGCCCACGGGCCAAAGATCCCACCTATCATCACTACCGCGAGATGAACTTAGGCCGCTTCCCAATCATCAGGAATACTAACGGCTGCTACGCTCTAAGAGGACGCATAGAATATCTCCGACGGGTTTCTGCGACGTGCAACAAAAGACTGTCGTGATAGTTTTGGCTTGTGCAGGTAGGCTCTGAGAAAACGGCGGACTGGGTCTTAGGGTAGATGGTGGTTAGGAGTGGTGGCTTAGGCAGGCAGGTGAGGCAGCAGAAAGAGGAGGGTCCGGGGGAAGGCATGTTTCATGATGGCGATGATGATGATGATGATGTCGATGGTGCCGGGCCGTATTGCATGCTCGCTTCAGCGATCTGGATCGGTTTTGGTTATTACAGAGACTCTTCGCACTCTGGTCCTGTCACTGCGTGGAGCGTATCTCTCGCTGATTGGTTGGATGGATTTGATGTGCGCGGAGGTAGATCCGGTAGTCGAAAGGGCAAGGGATGCCTTTTCACCGGGTGCTTATTAGCTGCTGTGGTCGGGTAACTACTTTGATTGCGAGGTAAGATCTTAGCGCTCTCCCAGAATAACGGGTGCTAGATATAGCCATAGCAGTTAGCTAACCTTTCCTTATGATCCAGTTTCTTTCCTTCGGAGCTGCTCTCCGTACAAACACTAGAGAGCTTCGGGTCCTAACTACGAACAGCCGAATCGCTTATATATGGCTGTATACCTACAGTCAAAATCGTGAGAAGTCGAAGAGCGCGAGACTTCGCTTATCTTATACTGACTCCAGTAGGACCCTTCCTCCTCCGGAGCGGAGAGGTAGTTATAATCAAGTGCTACAATTACCATCAGCACACGCTATATCGGAAAGGCATCTCCTGCCTCTCTTTTGATCAATCGATATAAGACTCCAAAATTTTATTCAATGATGATCATCGGTCTTCGCTTGGCCTTGCTAAATCTCATATGTCGATGAGCCTGTTCGTTAAATACTGGGCGTGATGAAGGGATACAATAATCTGGAGGATCAGGTACAAGAAGGGCTAAACAAGCACACTTTTTTCTTGTGGATGAAAAAGAACACCGGATTCAATAAGTCACTAAATGCGTCGCCTCGAGGTCTGGGGGCATAGTATAGGCCAATGTCGAGGACGACTTAACAAGTGGACTAGAAGCGAATATTCTGCAATTCGACAGTCGATTGATTACTAGCATAATTATCATTCATCCTTTTTTTTTTAAAAAAAAACTTACGATCTGTAGAGGGGAGGGAGACGTAAGGCTCGAAAGAGAGCTCTACTCCGTAGATACTAACCCAAATACACAATCATTACCGACCGTACGAATTAATCTAGCCAGCATCTCCATCTCCAACACCCAGACTTTAGCAAAAGAAAGAAAAGAACAAAAGAAGATACGATATACGAAAGTTTTAAAGCTATCCTCCAGCCTTTCATAACGACGTAAGGATACTAACTAAAGCTCACACAAATCACCTAGTCCTCTATACACATATGTACACACACACATATATACATGTACACATATATATATCACCGCAAAAAGTGCAACAAGGTGCAAAAACTGCTTCCAAGAGAATTGATATCAAATGCACTCACTCACCCCTTTCCCTCCCACGTGCCGCGTAACTCCAACATCCATCCCCGAAACCCGGTACACCCACACACCAACCAACCCTCTAACTACCAAGTAAGCAACCAACGCAACCTACGTATTATCAATCCCCGTCCCTCCCGCGGCCGACATCTGCAACTGCCAAGACCCAACCGATCGAGGAACGCAAGATCAAACGACGGCATCGATCTGTACTCTCCTTATATCGTACCATGGAAGAAAGAAAGAAGACTCGGTACTCCTCCGGGACCCCTCCGCGCTCCGCTTCGTAGGACAAAAACCCGATCGAAAGTGCATACGGAGGAATGGTCGGGTGGGCGCAGAATCGGGCGGTCGCAGATTCGGGATCGGGGAGCAGATTAGAAGAGGAGAGATGAGGTACGACGGAGCCTTCTGTCGCACGAGTAATGATAGGTAGGTAGGTGGATGGGTAGGTAGGTAGGTGGGTATTGAATGAGTAAGTGAGTAGGTGAGTATATGAGTAAGCAGCACGAACGTAGAATGTGACGATGATGATGGTGATGATGATAATAATGACGAAAAATGAAATGACGAAAGGGGGAAAGGGGGAAAGGGGAAAAGGGGGAAAGGAGGAAAAGTGGCGTCGACTCGGGCGAAGCCTGTATACCGTAATAACACAGATATAATAGAAAGGTATAAGAAAGAGAGGGAAAAAAAAAAACAAAAAAAAACCCCCCCGTAACTAGTAAAAGAAGGAGAGAAAAGTAATATCACCCACCTACCTACCGTACCTTACCTTACCTTATCCGTCCTTTTCTAGTAAATAATATCCAGCGAATCAACCCCCACCAAATAAAAACTATCTATCGTAACTCTTCATCAACCTATTTTTTGGGGGGAGGTTAAAAACCTGGCAAAAAAAGACAAAGGAAAAAGAAAAGGAAAAGGCGGAAATGCATACATACCCTTAATTCCGGAATGGCGGTTCAAAGATCCCATCTCATCTCATCCCGCGTCCCGCGTTCCCCGTTGGCGATCAGTCGATGCATGCATGCGTGCATACCATCTGCAATGCAAACGCAATGCAATGCACACATACGTAGTCCCTTAAAGGCAGGGGGTTTACTGTATTCAAACCCTCAGCTAACAATCTGATGACAGTCTCTCAAAAGATGATCCCAAGAGGTCAGCATAGGTAATAATAGATCACCCCAGGCCGATCGATACCTTGAAACGGAACAAACAGAACCAGAAAACAAAAATGATGTCAAATGATTGAAATCGCCGCTAAGATAAAAATCATTCTAACCAAGTGGATCGTGGTTTGGGAAAAAGTCGGTCCTTTCCCATTACGAAAGGACCGTCTCCGAGCGCTTGAGGGCCATTTTGGGACCGTCTTATGGGCCGTCCTAAGGCCGTCGTCCCTGAATCTGGAACCGTTTTCGGAGGACTGAGATTAGTAAAGCAGATAAGTAGGTAGTAAGATATGCTTTTCAGCTCTCCTCTCCTTTACCTGCCCCCTTTTACTTGTCCCTTCGCTACCCTGCTGCGTAGTGTCACGCAAGCTTTTGCTGATCCGATCGATTCCGATGATAAGAATTTCAAAGCACTCATATAGAAGCCGTAGCAGCGATACCGAGAGATGTCTTCGCCTCGATCTTATTCGATGGTTATCGAAACGATACTAATCAAGAAAGGGGGTTGATATTTGAATCGTATTTTGTTATAGACGAGCATGTAAATATCTTGAAGATTTAAAACGAGTTCCTGAGTAGACGTGTTTAAAAAATCTTGACGAAGACGGCTAGGACGGTCTCGAGCTCGAGGACGATCGAAAAGGTGAACTATTCTGGGTTTGTGACGAGTACTGATTTTGGACGGTCCAATTACCGTTTTTTCTAGAAGAAGGTCAGAAGATCGCTCGAATGACCTCCTGCTTGCTTTTAAGGTACCTACCGTACCTAAGTACAGGATAAATATATACATATATATATCTACATCTTCCATTTCTCCCCTCCCTTCCCCGTCCCTCCCACTCCCTTCTCTTCTCTTCTCTTCTCTTCTCTTCTCTTCTCTTCTCTTCTCTTCT